GCGGGCCGCGGTGGGGCGCGCCTCCGGCTCTTCGCGAGCCCGCTAACGCCGCGGTGCGGCAACTGGGGCTTTCAGTACGACCGATCGAACCCTCACAAATGGGCTACCTATATACCTCCGACAACGCAGAACGGAGATGGGGCAGTAGACGTAGTAATGACGCATGGCCCGCCGAGGGGCGTCCGCGACGGAAGGGGAATGGGGTGCGCGGGACTGCTGGCGGCTATAGAGCGCGCGCGGCCGCGCGTGCACTGCTTCGGACATATCCATGGGGCATGGGGCGCCGAGATAGTCGCCTGGAAGCGCGAGAGCGTTCCTACAAGTACATGTACTGCACCGATCTACAGCAACTTGGTTGATGCAAAGCGTTCCCGGGTTGTAGCGAGCCTGCTGCCGGCTACCAAGTTTACTAATAGGGAGGGGCACTGCTGCGCCGTAGACATCTCTTCAGACGGAGAGCACTTCGTGGAATGGGGCGCGCAGACGCTCTTCATAAACGCGGCGGTGGAGCTCCGGGCCAGGCCGCCTCGAATGCCGTGGATGGTTGACATAGACTTGCCGGTGGCAGACGAGGACGACATTACTGCGGCCGCTGAGACCATGTATCAGTTGCTGGTGTAAGTGCAGGAAGCTCGTGGCCAGGATTGAACTGTTCCGGTTATAGAGGAAAATCTATAACTATATACTTTGACAACAACCAACTCCCCACTAAGGACCTTGCGCAAAGCGCTTTTAGCATTAGGAGTACCCTAAAATTTGCTGCTTTCTTTTGTATTTCTCTGTTTTTCAATTCCCTCTATAGCCGTTGCCGTTGCCGACTAAAGTTAACACTTTATAGCCATGCCCCTGCCTTATAGTCCTCCGTCTGCTTACACCTATACATTATTCTGTTCTATGTCTGTATAGGTAGCTATTTATCCCCCTATTCTCCTCTCTCTCCTCTTCTTTCTTATAAATTACGGGTCTGTAGGCAATTACAAATCACGTAGGCAATCTAGTAGGCGATCTAGTAGGCAATCTGTAGGCAATCACGATAGTCGTCAATCACGATAGGTAGGATGTCATCAATCACGAAAGGTAGGATATCGTCGATCACAATAGGTAGGATATCGTCAATTCTAATCAGTAGGATCGTCAATCATGTCGCCAATCACAATCGGTAAGATCAACGATAGGCAGGTGATTGATATTGTAGGTAGATATTCAATCGATTGGATCACTCCTGTAGGTAGGTATTAATCACTGCAAAAGGTGGCTGATTGATCACTCCTGCAGGTGGTTGGTTGATCGGTGGTTGGTTGACTACAGAGATAGGTGGTTGGTTGACTACAGAGATAGGTGGTTGGTTGACTACAGAGATAGGTGGTTGATTGATCACTGCGATGGGTGTTTGATTGATCAGTGGTTGATTGGTCACGATGATTGATATTGCAGATGGACATCAATCAATTCGATCACTATTGCAGGTGGAAATTTGAAAGATTCAATCGCTATTGTAGGTGAAAATCCAATCGATCACTATTGCAGGTGGTAATCAAATCAAATCGATCAGTACAGCAGGTAGAAATTTGAAAGATTCAATCACTGTTGCAGGTGGAAAGTTCTGTTCTTCTTCTGTTCAGTCCATATAGAACACTCAGCAGCAGCTGACCATACGTCTTTGAGGCGTCCACAGGCAATCGTCTAACCATGTCTCAAGAATCATCAACTAATCTCGCCAGGTCCACGCGTTGCGCAACGCTGCAAGTCAAATACTGTGAAGACTTCTCCCTATTCAACATCCTCTGAGGTTTTCTTATTTATTGGTCATGCGACGCGAAGGTGATTCAGAATAAACCATATAAGCATTGTATTGCATTCTAACTTTTCCTAGAGGGCAGCCTTGGCCTGCTTGATCCAATCGTACTCTTCATGCAGATAGTAATGAGCTCTCAGGTCGCCAGACCTAGCATGTCCCTCAAAGTTCTCCGCCCTCGAACACCTTGCGCACAATTGCCCAAGCTCAGCGCTGACCCTGTCGTCACGTACTTCCTGATATGTCTGTGTCTTGAGGAACTTGCCCACCCAAAGACCACCAGTGTAGTTGCCCGCCTTGCGGGTTGGCAATACGTGGTTAGTCCCGATACACTATAATGGTGTTAGTGAAATGACCGAGAGGATGTTTTCCAAACAACGCTACCCTTTTATCTAGCGGGAAAGGCCTTTTCGAAGACACTGGAGAATGTGGGGTGTCAGTGGAGAAAAGCGACTCACCTTATCGCCGTAAGATACGCATGTTCTTTCGCCTAAGAAAAGTGCACCATAGTTTGTCATCTTCTCAAGTGCCTCTCTTGGTCTCTCTGTCAAAATTTGGACGTGCTCGCTGCAGTACTCATCCGCAACTCTGAATGCCTCGTCAATGCCATCCACCAGGACGACTTCACCAAAATCCTCCCAAGATCGGCTAGCGAGGTCGGCCGTGGGCAACTGCTTCAATAGTGTCTGAACGACTTTGATAGTCTGCCGTCCCACCTCTTCCGAGCTCGTTATCAGTACAGCGGGTGAGTCTGGACCATGCTCAGCTTGCGAGAGCAAATCCGTAGCCACAGTGAAAGGGTCCGCATACTCGTCTGCGACGATGAGGGTCTCAGTCGGGCCGGCAAAGAGGTCGATGCCAATCTCGCCAAAGAGGAGACGTTTCGCCTCTGCAACGAAGGCATTGCCGGGTCCAGCAATGAAGTTGACTTTCTTGATACTTTCAGTACCGATGGCCATAGCTGCAATTGCTTGTGTACCACCTAGGATGTGAATCTCGTCGGCACCAGCGAAGTGAGCTGCCGCGACCGTGGCATTTGGCAGCTGGCCCAGGATAGGTGGCGTGCATGCAATGATTTCTTTCACCCCAGCCACCTTAGCAGTAGTGACAGTCATATGCGCAGATGCAAGCAATGGATACCGACCGCCGGGAATGTATCTAGTAATATTAGAATACACCGCGACCATACCTACTTGCATTGCTGGGGGTCTAACTCACGCGCCGACACGGTCAATTGGGTTATTCTTGTGACCAACGACACCTGGTTGGATCTCAACCTCCAAGTCTTTAATCGTAGAACGCTGGGCCTGGGCAAATCTTCGCACGTTTTCTTGTGCTGATTTGATGTCCTTGATAGTTTGAGCAGGGAGCTCCGCAATGCAGGCTTCGATCTGTCCCGGGGACAGCTTGAAAGAAGGGGGTGACCACTTATCAAACCGCTCCGAATAGCTTCGCACAGCTTTGTCGCCATTGGTTCTGATGTCTTGTATGATTCCCTGAACAAGCTGCGTGACTTTCTGATTTCCCTCCGCGTTGGACGTGACAAGCGCGGATTTGAGGTGTATGGGAGCCATCGTGATATCTGAACATCAATTCACGGAAAGTGTTTCGACTATATAGCAGAAGGTGTAAACAAGCACTTCTTCGAGTCGGCGAACCAAAGTCCAGATTTTGAGCCGAATAAAGTAATATTGCTGAATTGTGATTAGCTACCAAGAAACGCTACGACTGGCCACAGATTTGAATCTTCGCCTCCATAGCCGTCGCCGTGAGTGGACATCTTCACAGTTCGCTGACCTTCTCTAGTTTCGCTGGTGGCTGGTGGAGGTTCGCCGCATAGTTCGCCATAAAGTTCGCTACAAAGTTCGCTATAAAGTTCGCTACAAAGTTCGCTACAAAGTTCGCTATAAAGTTCGCTACAAAGTTCGCTACAAAGTTCGCTCCGAAAGTTCGCTCCAAAGTGCAACCAACAAATCACATCCGCCACCCGCACTTCGCTCCACGAGTACACAGGAGGATATTCGCAGAGCCCGACAATGGGTTCATATTGAATTGTGCTACTAGCAGTATACGAAAGATAATCCAATGACGATCTTCAGACTTGTGCATGGCGCTTTCCCTCGGAGAAGGCAACCAAACAATGCACTACAACTCACAGTAATGTGCTGCCTGCTCAAAGCTTTCCAAAGTTCGGCATTGCATTTTCCGATCAGAAGAACGTTGGTTCACGGAAAGCTCATGTGGAAAGGTCTCTTCGATGGCGTGAAGGTGTGTTTCGTCTATGCGTCACTTATCCCTGCCTGGTGCGTAAATATCTTGCGTATCCTGCAAAGGCCAGCAACCGATTGTGCAAGTTGATGCATTGTTAAAGTAGTGTCGATAGTGTCAATATGATGCATTAAATTATTATTATTTTCCTAATTCACCTCAATTAAGTCAGCATTATGTGTGAATCCATGTCATGCATCACTGCTCTCCAGTCTATAGGCCCAAGGCCAGTTGGCTCGTCGTCTCTAGAGCGGAGCCTGTCTACCCGTCGCCAGACTTCCAGAACCACTTTCTTGGCTTCTAGCACATTGCCGACTCCTCTCTCGGCGGCTTTGGAGAACCATATCAATGCTCGGTGCCGGAGCTCGACCTGTATCGACTCGACAGCTGCAATGAATGCAGGCCACATGACATTCCCGCGTTGGAGTTGCGTTTCTCGTGGTGTAATGCAGTCAATATTTTCGAGTCGATCCCAGATGTTACTGATCAAAGTCTGGTGATGATGATGCATGCCTTTGTTCCGAGCTGACGAGTGTCGGACATGACCATCGGGTGTATCGTTATCGAGGCTTGCTTGATAGATGGCCGGAATGACTCTATGAAAATAGACTATTACAGCGTAGTGGAACGCCAATTGCAGATTCTCCACAAGTTCGTCGCTAATGACTTTGGGCAGCGTGTCGGTGCTGCTTACGGTAGTCAAATCCGAAGTCAACACGCCATTGGCAAGGCAGGAGATGTTGCGCTCCTTGGAGGTAGGAACAAGAAATTGCGATGGATCGTCCTCGAAGCTACAGAGGTGCCGGTGTAAGTCCTTAACCTGGCTCAATAAGGCGGGCGATGCAAATATGGTCCTAGTGCAAAGTGAGCCAAGCTTGATAGTTTGCTGCAGCAAGGACAGTGTTCGCCAGCTGACCCCAAATGACGAGTTCAAAATGAAATGCTGAGGATTGGTCACAAATTGTTCGAGGCCTTCCTCCTCTTCACGTCCTCTATATGCTTCATCAGTGTCCCTAGCACCAGATTCGGAGCCTTGTTGCTGGGATGGGGACGAGCAAGACGTCTCAGTGAGCCGTGCAGTGTTTGCGACTGTCTCGTAGCAAAGGAGTATCTGGTACAGCATATTGAGGATAGCATTGGACTTCCAAGTCTGTTCGGTGGCATACAATTGAATGATTCTCCGAGCGAGGTGCAGGTGCGCCCTACAATCAATGCCCCGAGGATCAAATACGTCGATGGAAATCAAGCTCAAAGCGGCAGCCACGGAAGTGCATTTGTCTCTAAGACTTTGGGTGTGCTGCCCCTCCCCAATGTTAGCGACTTGCTCAAGTAGTTTTTCGGCTTTTTGTCCGTAGGAGCGTGCCCTTTCAATGTCCTTTTGCCTCGAGCCTCTTTGTTGACTTGCTCGTTGATAAGCCGCCACGGAGATAAGTGCATGCCGTAAGGAAGACTGGCTCGTTGTCGAGGGGTTCCCAAAGGCCAGGTTGAAATATATTTGAAGCCACGGATTGCTCGCTGAGTCGATTGTTGGCATCATCACCCCTGTCACAATCGATCGATAGTGATGCAGAAGATCATCTTGGACGGATTCGCTCCGGAGTGTGTTGGGCACTGATGTTACATAGTTGTCGGTTGACAGCTGTCGCTGGCTTGGATCCGGCACATCCTGCGAAATGACGTCCGCTCCAGAGTGAGGATGATGATGCATGGGTTCAACAGCGTGACGGCGGCTGTCGGTACGACGGACCTTAGTCGCACGCTCTGAATGACTGACTTGTGCTTTGGGGCCAGTCTCTGTCTGTCGCAGGTTCTCCACAAAACCTCGACAAATATAGCCTCTTGATCTTTGACAATTGTGACAGATGGGGCGACGTCCATCACACTATAGTAATCAGTGAACTTATCCCCGTAATGGCGGGTGATAATAGGTCTAAGAGCTAAACAAAGACCTTTGCAGGTAACTTACCTTGATTTTCCGTTCCCTGCATGTTTGACATCCCTCAGAAGTCGAGCGTTAGACGGGGTATAAGAGAGATACATATTTACAACCAGGGAGCTTACAGTGAAGGTCCTCCCTCGCGGTCTCTTACTTCCCTGAGCCGCAATGTTGTCGCCTATCCCCTCTGCAAAGTCTGACCGTTCAGGAAAGGCATTGGGAAATGCAGGAACGAGCCACGCATCGTTAAGTGCATTTCCCCCGGTTGTGAGATCAAACAGATCTTGCTCCGTGATCAGGTTGTCAACGTTGAGGAAGTCCATTGAGGCGTGTTTCGTATGACAAATGGGAGAAATAGTGCTAGACACGAGACAAGAGAGTCATACAGTTGCGGGCGAGGATGAGGAAGAGGAGTGCGCCATCGACCAAAATGTCGTTGATAGACGCCCAGGCCCAGTAGATAGGTAGCGCGGCAGTGCGTAGTTAACTAATCGATAGGGTCGATTGCGCCCGATACAACTGTGGGGAAACGTCACCAGTTTTAAGTATAGACCTATTAGTAGGAAGCATTCTACACTATGAACAAGGTGCTGAACACAGATAAGGAGGAGACAGTCCATGACCAATCTTGTCATGAAGCGTAGACATGGAGATTGAATATCAGCGATCGCTTACGGCTTTCAATAATCTACCTTTGTCCGGCCGGACATGCGCTAGAATTGCTAAACTTGCTAAGCGCAACGTTCTCCATCGTCTCCAAAGGGTACACACAACCGCTTCACCCTATATGAATAAGATACGCCTACCAACAAACCAGGTGACTTTTCAGCATGGATGAAAGGGGTAACGGATATGCCGACGGTATTCCTCTTGATTGAGAGATGTTCCGGCAGAGATCTGCTCTCGAGCTGATGCTAGAGATGCTGATCAAAACCATCTCCTGTTCTCAAGTTTATCCCACCATCTGCCTTCCTCCCCTTCCTCTCGGGGTCCTACAAACTCTAGCACTCTATTCTCCTCTCCAATCCGTATATCCAAGTCAAAAATATCGTTAGCCCAACGTTGGTCATCTCTTGCACCCAAGCAAAAGCTTGCACGAACGCGGACCCCACCTGGTCGACTTTTTGCTTCTTCACTGAGATGTGGTCCGATGTCATTAGCTACGCGATAAGCAAGTGCACTTGAAGAATATTTCGTCTTAAGAGCTACTGCCCAGCGGTCGAAGTGCTGAGGTCGTGTATACGTCTCATTGCCAAGACTGTGCGGCGCTTGGGTTGGGTTCCCTGATTGACAACTAAGCGCCGGATCCGCAGGCGGAGTGATAACAACAGGTGCCTTTGATGGAGATGATCGTGAATTTTTCCAGGACTGGATGATCTCCGAGTCTCGGTAGCCATGTTCGAAATAGGTGAGAAGCCATAGGGAGATAATCAATTGTCGCAACTTATGGAAGTGTCGTAGAGGATACAGTAGGGGTTCTGTGATAGGCAGGAAATCAGACAGAATAGGACTTCCATTGTATCCACATAGTTTGAGTTCTTCCAAGGTGTCCGCATGGTGCGTCGCGATTGTATGTAGGAATGGATAACCTGGCGGCCAACCATAGGTGGCCGAGAATTTAAAGTTGTGAAGTCGAGGTAGTGGTTCATTAAACAGATTTGTTAGGGACGTACGGTCCTCCTCCTGGAGGTCGTAGGTAGCATTGCCGAGTCCCGGATCGAGCCCTCTAAGCCCCCTGCCTCGGTCGCCCCATGTGTTGCCGGCTGGAAATGCAACACCAATCTGTATTGAATGAATCAGCAGAGATCATGTTTTTCAGCGCCGTTAAGAGCTTACCATAACTAGCTTTTTTAGTGAACAATGATGCAAGGCTCTCAAAATTTCCCGTTTCTCGTCACGCGGAATGCCCCCTTCAAGTTTAATCGATTCCAGTTGCCTCATGAAGGGTGCAAATTCGCTGATGAACCTCCGTCTACGTATTTTTTGATTACAAGACGAGTTGTACGCATCGATGTTGTCACTGATCAATTCGCCGCTGTTGCTGTAGTAGGAATCTAATCGGAGGTCTATCAAGGTTTTGCCGAGTGTGGCGACGACGGCTCGACAACGTACATTGATATCCTCAGACATCCTATGGTGTGAATAGAATCTATCCAGGGGCCAGGACAAGCACTGTATCCGTGGATGAGCCTCAAGGAACTCTAAGAAGACGGTCTCGAGTAGGTATAGTTTCCGGGGCAGATTGGTCATCGGGACGACTGCATTTCGCACTTGGAACGCACGTAGATGTGGGAACCGTAGTTTTGATAGCTTATGGAATGTCTTGGCAACATTTCTTTCGTGATCGTTGCGCTCATTTGGCCGCCAGAGTATCCAATCGAGATTGAGTTTGGTCAACGTCTGCGTTGACATGCTCAGTAATTGCAGTATGGGCAGATTGGGCTTTCTAGAAGACAAGGGGATAGGCAACACATGTGCTGTGTGTTGATCCAAGAATGCTTCGATCTCTGGGAGTTCTGACCATATTGCAGCCTCGAAATTGGCAAGTCTCTTATCTCTGACGCTGTTTGATGGCTGCGACACTAATGGAGGAGCGTCCGTGTCACTGAAGCGAACGCTGGCAGACAACCAGCCACCTGCGCCATCATGGAGGGGTAGCGTAAAGCCTCCACGATCGAGGGTGTATTCTGGGAATTTCATGAGATTACTTTCAGGGTTGGATTCTGCCCGGAGACGACGTATGCGAAGACTTTCCAAACCGCCCTGGATGAGCGTCGCTCCAAAATCAATTGAAGCATCTGCAAGTGAGCAGCTCTCAAGCCAGAGCCTCCGAAGTGGTCTATCTCTCGCAGTGTCCAAGAGACCTTCAAGCAACATTCTAGTAATATGCCAGTGCCCATAGATGATTCTCAGCGTCTGCACATTCACCAAATTCTTTATTGCGAGCCTCAGGAGACGGTGCAATCTTTGATCGCAGGACAACGTGTCACTGTGAAAGTGCATGAAAGGGATTTCAGAGAATATAGTCGGCGTTGGGAGGTGGCAGCGATGTGTGAGTATGTGTACTTGAGCCGCAAGATGAGGATGCTTCGCGAGCAGGTATAGCTTCTGTATGATGGGTGTATCATCATGGTCGTCTCGAATCTGGCGTGGTACGAGTAGAGCCGTGTCTGGAAAGTCTAACCCTTCATCTTCCTCTTGAAGATCTGGTTCCTCTTCATGATCTCTCCATGTATCGATCAAAGACACACTGCGCCAGAGCAATTCGGAGGCATGGGGGTAGAGGCGGGTGGATACAAGCGCGGTATTTCGTAGATCTTCTGTGGACAGATAGGAGGCTATGATCTTCAATAATTCATCTGGAAGTCGTAACATCTGGAAGGGTCAGTCAGAAGATCAAAGCCAGCTGGTGCTGTTGGATAATAGTCTTCTCTACGAACCGGCTGTTGAAGCTCAGTGTCGTTGCCAGAAGCGGGGGAGCAGCAGCTAGCTGGCATCATGGCGGGGATCGTGGAATTTCATTGAGAACGCTTGGATTAAATAAGCGCCAGCGATACGAGTAGGTAGGGATGTTTTGATCGTTGAAGCTTGTCGATTGCACCTGGTGAGATCGACATAGTGGAGGAGGTAAGACCAGCCGTTACGCCGTCGATGGGAGGTGACGCGCATCGCACCCCACCCTATCTCAACCAAGCCTAACTAGGTTAGGTAGGTAGTCTAGCTAGTAACATCGAACGTTCTGTCGTTCACAATAAATAACCAATGCAATGAAACACGATCAATTCATCTCAATTCATTCCCATGCAAGAAGTCAACTAATCAATCGATGCAACTGAATTCATTTGAAATTCTTCCGTAAGAACACGTCTGAATCGAATGTAGATAACGCCCAAAGAAATGCTCAATGTCCCATCCCTACATCTCCTTCTATTCCCAGACAAAACCCCATCTCAGAAAGGTCAGGATCAGGACAATCAGCACACCTGCTTGAAGCCAGAGCAAGCATTGCAGATGCAATCTGCCTTCTTGGGTTTATCGCAAGCCACGCACCCAGTCCTGCACGTCCAATCGGTAGGTCCAAAAGACGCGGTAACACTGTTGTTGAGCAATGTCAGCCAGATCCGCATACCGAAGCCAATCCGCGTATTATGAGATGAACAAAAACAACGTACCAAGCACCATTTCCGGGGCAGTATGTAGCCGATCCTTTGCTCTGCTCGCCTTCGAACTGCCACTCAACGCTGGATCCAGGGTCGTTGCAGTCCTGCTTGCCGTTGCTTGTCTTCGCCATGACAACACTGCAAAGATTCTTGCCGCCTTGGCTAATATCCCACGAGCTCTCTTCGTGACGAGCGGGATCCAAGCCGGAGCCTTGGTCGAAGGCGAGGGCGGCTTGGAAGCTGGTGCATTCAGCAGCGACCAAAGGGGCTGCAACGAATGCAGCGAGAATGATAGACTTGAAAGAAACCATTTTTACTTTTTTTACCGGAAAAAAAGATATGCTTGAGTGAAGGAGAGAAAATTGAAAAGGAAAAGAAAGGAAAGGAAAGGAACGAAATGCTTTGAAGTTGTGATGTGATCTAATGAGAAGATCCATCATAACGCAGGAAGAGCCTTGCAATATATACTAGTATCTCGGAGCATAGTAACAATCCCAATTGAGTTCTATTTTCTTCCTTGGTCCAAAGCCTCGCAGGAAATTCGTTCAACGGCCTCCGTCAGTCTCATGTTCGGGTTTGAAGATATTCATAGATGTATACGGCATTGTGACGGGCTTAATCATCGCTGCCAAGTCCCGGAGAGGTCAAGTTTCAGGGTTCAAGGCCTAGACCCGCAACCATCCTCGCATGTGATTGGAGGATTTTCTTACACTGCAAGGTTGACGGCACGTGTGACCTCGTGAATAGAACCACGTCCGATTCGTCCTGACCAGACTTCCGAAAATCTCTGTCTTTGTATTCAGTCTGAAATCTTCGGGTTTCGCACTAGATCTTTAATCGCACTGAATTAATGCCATACTTAGGCTAACAGCTCGTCAAAAAAATGCAGCAAGAATGATTATGAAGTCAAACATAGCAGCAGAAATAAGCTTGGGTATCATAACGTTGTTACATGCTAATCAAGTGTGCAATGCCATAACGCCAATTCCCCCAGATTCCCGCTTAACCTATCAATAAATCCCGTGTCATCGATATTCCAAAGCGAATTTACGAGGTATGCTTCTACTCTCCCTAGCAAATAGCTTGCGCGCCATTATAGCTTAGCTGCTCCTTGCACCAAAGAAGCATCGTCAATCCCCGTACAGTTCATATTTGGCGTCTCGCTTATTTCTATAGATCAGCTTAATTAACTGTACTGTACATCGAACTACCGTTGACAGAAACGCAAGGTAAATGGTCTATCATTGCGGGGCAAACATTGGAAGTAGAAGCACCTACCTCTTCACTAAAAGATCACCCCAGAATGGAACCCTGGGCAGAACATCCAAATTATGTCCGATGGGTCTTTGGAGTGTCTTTGACAATAACGTTCACATATCTAAAGTGTAGGGTTCGATTGCTACGGCCTCTACCGACTTGTTCCATGAGTAGTTCCACTCACATCACAAGCACGACCCGCGGTCAAGGAATACAGGTAGAATAGCATTGTATTCCTCAAAACACATCTCCAAGTTGACTATAAGAGCAATTTGACCTTTTCTGCAATCACACAATGGCAATGACACCTGAAATTCACCATATTCGTAGAAGTGGCCAAGTCTACATAACTCAATCTCACACAACATCACCACAACAGAGCGCAAAATTCAGAGAAAAGAAAATCATCCTTGATCTAAAAGCAGGTTCTAAAAGTACAAGCATCTCCCCGATGCTCACCCACGCGCAGTCCCCACACTAAGCCCCAATGTCTCCAAAACCAGAGCAGCCAAACACCTGGCACTGCCAGGCATTTTCCGTTGGCACCAATTGGCCGGAAGTACTAAACGTGAAAAACAGGCAATGTCAGTCAAAACCCAAAACCAACGATAGCATCGAAAATCAGGGAGACACCAGTGCGAACTTACCAGTCGTCCTCCTTTCGGCAAACGGTGATGTCATATTTCGTTGCATCGGCCTCGTTTTCCTTCCACTCGAAGGTTGCGCCGGGAGTATCGCAGTCGAACTTGTTAGGAAGATCCTTTTGCGTTTTGCCAGTGTCGCACACTTTTGTGCCGTCGGCAGCGGTGGCGCTCCAGTAGGCCATCTTGCCCCTTGAGGCTGGACCCTCCCCGTTCAAGACCTGGCCGGAGATTCTGAACTTTTCAGCTGCAACTAGTTGAGAGGCAGCGAGGGCCGTGGCGAGGAGGATAGATTTGAAAGAAGGCATTTTGTGTTTGTGCAAGAGAACGAATTGTGGAAAGAGAGAAAGATGGAACGATTGGCTGATAAAAGATTGTTGTAGTGAAAGAAGGATGTAATGCTAAACTGATTGAACATTATTGGACTTGAAGGAAAGCAACATTCTTATACTTCATTCAACAGACTGTCACGACGTAAATGTTGCATTGAAGATGAATCGCTGTTACAAAGGGAATGTTTCAAGTGTCCGACTGCCTCGTTTTCCGCCATTGCGATGCAGACTGGATACAAACGGGAATTTGTGGAGCTTAATCATCCCAAGCACCTCCGAACATTAAAAATAGAGAAATCCGGGGTATCTCTCAAGGGATCGTCAGTCAAAGTGTGGGTCCGAAATGGCATTGTCAGATTGAGATTGGGATGGAAGGGTCTGATTTGCTCGCCAATCTAAGGTAATCGAGAGCGTCGATGTTGATCTACTGCCAAACAGTACCTATTGCCCTCACTAGTAGAAAGATTTTAGACTTCACCAAACATCGCATATATCGTTGAAGAAGCAGGCTCAATCATGACTGTCAACACAACCATGCATGATGCCAGTGAGATATTCAAATCAAAAGAATAATGAGTTTAGAAAACGAGACCACCCTTACTCAACCAAAACATTTGATTTGGTCAAGATGCTATGAAAGATTCAACCTCATAAATGCCCTTCTAAGAAACACCCAGTTGTCGCTAAAAGCAATGCAAATTCAGACATCCCAAATCTCACACCTCAAAGCCATGTGCATTCATCGCTGAACTGGTTCAGTCGTGCAGATAGACCCAGAACCCCAGCAATGAACCGGATCTTCCGTGCACTGGAACTGCATCGAGTTTTCAAGCTTATCCGCCTGCTTAAGCGTTCCCGATGCACTATAAAGAAACCAACCACATTAGCCAACCATCCTCAAACCCAAAACTACATCATCAAAAGGACCGAATCTCGAGGAAAGAACCTACCATGCGCCAGAATCCCCAGTCCAGCAGTACTCAGCGTTTACAGTCAAAGCGCTAGGGTCGAACGCCCACTTAACGTTGCCCCCTTCAGCGATGCAGTCGAATGGGTTTGTGACACCTTTGCGTAGCTCGCCGCTGTTGCAGTATTCACCGCCTTCGAGGGCAGAGACGACGAATTGGGATTGAAGCTGGTTTGTGTCGGTGCTGTTTCCGAGGACTGAGACGTGGAGGTTGAAGCAGGTGCCGGCCGCGCTCACCAGCGGGGCGGCGATGATGGCGCTCAGGACGACGGCTTTGAAGGAATTCATTGTGAGCGTGATTGGGGATAACTGTAATGAGATTTCTTGAGGTTTTATGGATAAAGAAAAGAGTGTTATAAACGAATGTGTTCAACGAGCGAGTGATGAATTGGTAGAAGGTGCGACCAGAATGCAGATTTTGATGTAGGTTCTTGATTATATATTGAGGGTGACATTTCCTATGGATGAATGCATTCGTTGGAGAGACAGGTTTCAAGTGTCCGTCGCAGCTCTATGTCGCTATAAATTGAAACCATGTCTGCAGTATTCTGTGGGGCTTAATCATCGAAATGACTTCCGGATACCTTATAACGACCACAAAGAAATGGTCTCGAGGCATGATGATTCGCCCAAATGCGAAACCTGAGATCCCAATTCGTACGCACTGTCGAAAAACTCCATGCCCTATACTTCTTCGAACGATCAATTATTCCTTAGCATTGCAGCAGCCTTAGCCTCCCGCATCGCCTTGAAATCGGGGTTGTTCTGAATCCACGCGCATCGAAACATCCCGATACTTGGCTTGACATCCTCGAAACCAAATCTAGGGTACAGCTTCTGGCCAATGGGCTCCGCGACCATGCTAACATAGGCCTGCGGTGCGTGTTCGTCGATGTGGTCAACAAGACTCTGCATGATGCGTTTTCCTATGCTTTTGCCTTGGTGGTCGGGATGCACGGCTACATCGCAAAGCTGCAAGAAAAGTGCTCCGTCTCCGAGTAAGCGGCCCATACCGACGGGGTGCTGGTCCAGCCCGGGGGTTGTGTCGTCTTGCATGTGTATGCGTTCGTAGGCTGTGAAACAGGCAAAGGAGTTTGCTAGAGCTTTGGCTGCCGCTTCTAGTGGGGGAGGGGTCAGGTTGGCGGCTTTGCGTAGGTCGTGGTACTCCTGCGCGGTTGGTATCCGCTGGAGGATGACATATTGCTGTGAGTTGTCCATTTTTTTGTAAATCGAAGGATGATACGTTCCTAGGTCGTGTTTGCTATTCGTCGTTGCTGTGTGGGTATTTGTGCTGAACTGTACGATTGATATGACCGCAGAGTTGTTGGATTTATACTTTTGGCGATAACTACACAGTAGATGAATGACAGAATTTGGAATAGGCTCCAAGACTTCAATTCTAGGCGGCCACCGGAATAAGTGAATTTAGAAAATACAAATATGATTCCGTATGTATTCAAGTTTGGTGTGCTGATGGCTCAACTTCTGTCATTAGTCAGCCGGAGTTTGATCGGAATGAAAGTGATGTTCGACGAGTTGGCCGATTTTCAATATTCCGCAAATGAGGATACACTTGTCCAATTAAATTTATTTAGATGAGTCATAGAGTTATCGATATGATCGTTAGAATAGCCTAGTACAGTACGTCGTGAGGAGTATGGTTTTTCGAAAGTGAGTTCATGTAGTCATGAATCGATTTTAGAATCTGGTATAATTTGGGTATTGAGACACTAAATATACTGACTATTTCTCTGGTCCTGAACCGTTGTGATGTAAAATACACTAGTTAATCTTAAAAATTGACGATTGAAAAAAAGAAAATTTATTCAGCACTCGTCGTATACACACGTGTGATCAGACTCCGAGAATGCTATGGAAAGTGGTGTTCGCTCTTTCATGGCAGCACCATAAATATGTCTATAAACATGATACCGCGAAGGACCACGTTCGATGCAAACGTTTGGACTCAAATTGCAGGGCTCTAGGTCGTCACTGCCAGCATTTTCGACGTTGTCATCAGATGTTGGTGTTGTGAGGCGCATGTCGTTGAGCTCCAAGTGTCTTGTCGTTGGTGTGTTCTCATTGGTTATGTATGGACATTGCCATTGATGGGACGCCTGATTGAGATATCCGCTTTCTTTAGGAGGATTAGTTTGCCTATCAGATGAACAGGAAAACCCCAAGTTCTTGAGATTTTCTGCTTTATTTGTAACGGGCGGGTTGTATTTGACGTGCTTCCTGGAAAGGGACTGGAATTTGTTTTCGATTCTGGGTGGAGTCATTTGTGAGCAGACATGCATCCCACATGAGGATCTCAAAGCTTACACAGAGGAAACCAGCCCTAAGCTCTTATTCTGTGCAACTGTATATTCATTGAGAGAGCCCGGAGAGGATTGCTCAAGTTCAGCAGATGGTATGGTGCTTGTGGTAGGCGCAAAGATATCATCCGCTTTTTGGGTTGAATTGTCGACAAGAAGATCCAAATCGTCCGACCAAGACGCAAAGGCTATGCATCTATCTGTATTCGCTGTATTTGTTGGACGGCTTGAACGACTTGGGCTATATCCGGGGCGGATCTTGGCCAAATCAGGATGCGAGGGGAATCGAGGAGGTGATACAGCTGTGTTAGTCTTATTGAGCCTAGCCGACTCGAAGATAGCCTTCATTTCGACAGAGTGACCTGCCCTAGCTGGCGATGTACGAACTGCGGAAGTACGATGTACGCGGCGAACCCCAATATTGGCATATAGCGGTGTAGAGGGTGGCTCTTGGCGCATAGGACTGCTCGGAGCAGAGAGGGTCATGTTTTGGCTCTGGTAGCCGGTAGAGAGAGTATCGGCGGAGATAACAGGAGCCATTGTTTTCGACATATGTCCAATTTGGCTGCTCCCAGAAGCGCCAGTCTGATTTGCTCGACGGTCTGTGTTGTGTTCGTTCAGCGCTTTGCACTGAATAACCATGATGTCACGACACGCCCTCACCAATGTGCTGGACAACGATATTGTCCGACGGACATGAGGGAGACCCCATATAGACTGAGAACTAATTTCTGCGGCTCCTTGTGGTTTCTCTTCGCTACGCTGAGTGTCAGTGATCAGTGTTCAAGGTGGCTTATTGTATGCGACCACGCCATTGAGTAACGAACCTGTGATTGGGTCATAAGATTGAGAACATATACGTCCCACCAAACATACTCACTTACCTTGTGGTCAGAATTTGTCCTCTTTTTCGCCTGGAGGATAGGTCCGACGATACTGAGGATCTGGGTTTAGCGTTTACGTAGGGAGCCATACAAGGCCATGGTGGCGCGACGATGTGATAGAAGTACGACTCTCTAGACCATGAGTATCAGCAGGTCCATCATCAGCTGGCAGGTGATAGGTGAGCAAATTGATGGAGAGATGCATGCGATTTTGTGACGGTAACAAGATGGAGAAAGAGATAAACAAACAAACAAGTGAACAGAGAAAGGAAAGCTCCGGACTATGTCATGTGGCATGGCTCCTTCCCTGGGGCGGGTTCTATCTCGTTATCGATATACGCACACAACTATTGACAGCCAACATCACTTGACAACCTACCTGCAACCTCATGAAAATACATGGCCACCCACGGTGTATACAGCACAAGCCTATAGTTCTCTACCGCTATCTAATTTATGCATCATTGCGAACATCCCCCGGAATGCCTCGTATATTGCAAGCTGGAACAGAGAGCATGGTGGGTTCATTCGGCTGTTGAAAAAGAGATAGAGCATGGTATGAGTAAGACAGCTTCCCTACTACTGTGTAGGCAATACATACACTGTATGTATTTACGGAGTATTGTAGAGCTATTATTACTGCGCGGTGCAGATGGTACCTCGCAGTAATAGGCATTTACCCATCTCGTTTACAGCGCGACCCTCTAATTTACCGGGTTCTACCACGGCTCACAGAATCTTCAGATCGCGATTCCAAAATTCCAAAGCAACCAGAAAAATAAGATTCAACAAACGAGATTTGCATATTTTGCTCAAAGGCTGCGCGTGGCGTTCGCCAGATCTCGGGAAGCACCGTGTGTGAAGATGGATCGTTTCGAAGCAGAATCTTGTTCAGTTTTCATTTCTCTGAAGATTGCAGGCTGATCTAGTCAAGGCTTGCGTACTATGTATAGTGACGATCACTTCCGCGTGGGTTGCGAAGATTAGATGAGCGTCATCCTATCCTGGTCGGCTAATTTTTCTGGACGCTGCACCCTATTCCTGCACCGTTGTTGGCCATCCCAAGTAACTACCTCGTACTCGTACTGTGCCGGTGCACCTCCAGTGTACCCGTCCTGTGTAGAGCAGGTCACGCCGCAGCGAGCCGTTACAGGTACAATCGCTGAGCCCGCTGCGCTGGCACCGTACCTTAATATAACACTCGACTGCCTGGATTCAATTAGGGTGCGACTCGTAGTCTCAGGCTGGCACTACATACACAAAGGGGTAATAACATGAGCACGACCAGGCTTAGAACCTGGCCTCAGTAGTTCATGCAGTCGCCTCACGCGGTTCGCAGACAACGTTGGTTGCAGCTGCCATACGATGTACCTACCGTGTGCGTTGCAGTGCAACGACTCTTCCGACGCCTCCGAACGCAACCGAACGCAACGCGACATGTCTGGGAATCAGTCACGCTGCCGAAAAGCGCGCGGACGAGATGGGAGAGGGATAGACACTGGGGTTGAGACCTTGATACAGCTTAGGGCGCCAGGCATCTTACGCACGGTGCCAGGGCGATACGGCTTAGAACACTCGTCTGCTGCACCGTTCAATAATTTCGGAACACTCATGCTCCACCACAGCACTACCGCAGGATGATGACGAACAAACGGGTTCGTCTTTCAATAGACTACTCTGGGACTTAGACGGAATAATTACCGTGCCTGCAGCAGCAGCGACGGCAACAGTCTGCCTAGATCATGATGCCTAGCAGCCAAACGTCTATGGGCATTATTGGAGAGCTGAAGAGGCCCTACTCTTTCGTCCTCGCTCTGCTCCTACTGGATCGTCCTTGTGCGGAGGCTGCCCTCGCATGCATCGGTTCCCCTCCCTCTCTCCCCTCCATCAAGCCTCCGAAGCCCGCCTCGTGCTCATCGCGGGAGCAAAGCGTGTTGTGCGCAAGAGAGGGAGCGTGTGAGCGTGTATTGCGGTACATGAGGGCTCCCTGGATCCTTGTGTGCTGTGTCTCTTCCCTGGGGGCTTTCTCACGCTAGTGTCGCACCAGTCAGTGTCCCAATGAAATCGTGGAAGACTTCGCGGGCAATCCCCCCTAAAGTCGTCTAGGGGCCCTTTGGGTCCTTTTGCTTGTATGTGAATGGCGTTTTCGCTTCCAGCGCTGGCCCGCTCTGTCTGTGCACCTGGTCTGACTTCAAAGACTCAAGTCAGGTCCTCAGAAACCTTCCTGGCCCTGCCCTACTCAGCATTTCAGCTCTGACCACCTCAAGAGCCTCGCTGCTCTTTGACTGTGTGATTGCCTCTCTGCATCGCCCTGTTCAAGACATTCTACGCTGTCTTTTCGCAACTCTACACTCTTCATCCTACACCCACCATTTCACTCTCTCCCTCTGGTGCTGGCTCGGCCATTGTCGCGAGCTTGAAGCTCTTTTCAACACAGCTATCTGCTGCATTTGTCTTCTCTTCGCTCTTTTCAGCCTCCCAATTTTGGATTCCCCTCTTTTTATTGCGCCACCGTTCGATTGGGCTTGTCTCGCCTCCATTGCGACCCGGAATCGTCTTACCGAATCTATCAGCATACTAAATCCTACTTCGACTGCTACTCGAACCTCCCTGAACTTTCTGTTCTGTCGAACACAATCCAGCATTGCGACTTACAAACGAAGAACACACGAGCACCTCTCTCCGACAGTTGTCGTTTGATCTCGAGCCACGACTATGCACCGATAGTGTATGTTCTAACCTCTCTCTTGTTTGAAACCCCCATCAGGAAATTCAATTGCAATGCTGCAACGGACAATGTTACAACTTTGTCTACTATTTCCCCGACCTCCCGTTATCCGCTACTTCCTTATCCATCTGTCTGCCTCTTTCAAGGTCTTCAGTTTCAGTTTCCCCCACCTCGCATATTCACGTCCCACGCCTTTGGAAATGCCCTTACCGTCCTATTCACCTCCTGTCATGCTAGGGACTTTCTCTAATCTTGAGTGGCTGTAGGTTTCTTTAATTCCTAATTCATGAACGCTGAGCCTATCCCTGCCACTGTCCTGGCCTGGTCGACACTGAACGTGCACTCTTGTTCCCAGGTCGAAAGCAAGGAACCATTCCCTTCGGTACCTGACAGTACCGTCGACTAACCCGCCCTTGCCAATCTCTGACAGTTCCTCCTCTATCAGAAGCGCCTTTCTGCTCTAGGTGCCCGTAGGTCTTGGCCTTGACTTTGGACGAATTTGTAATTATACTTGGACGGACCTCTACTTGCAGCCTGATATTGCCTTCCTTTACCTGGATCAACGACCGACATCGTACTAGATCAACCGCTAGCGGTTGCGAGTTCCGAGCTATAGCAGCCTGTCACGCCTTTGAGACAGCTGCCAAAGAGCGCGTCGCTCCACATCTAGGCCAGAAGCAGTGCTTTTCACTTCTCATTCGCATCCCCCGGACGTTCACACCACCTGCATTCTTGTGTCGGTGAATAGACACATAAATCAACATTGAAATTCGACACATAATTGATGAGCTACGATCCTCGCATGGCCGCCAGGCCATATGGTTCGCCAGATGATTACGAGGAGGACTCGAGGGCGGCAAAGGGCTCGGTACGAGCTGCAAGAGAAAGGGCGATGGCTGCGCGTGGACAAGGTCAACAGGAGGACCGACAGCGAATAGTTGGATTGCCCCAGAGGCCAAACCAACTTGTCTCCCAATATTCCTCTCAGAATCAGCCCCGACCGCAGGCGCAACAGAATCTTTCCCCCGAGGACGCTCGACGGGGTGCTAATTTCGCTCCTTCTCCACAATGGCCTCTCCCCAATGGTTCCGAGGATGGTGCAGACTCGATACCCAAATCATCAAGTCGAGGACCCCCGCCGCAGCGACCCCCGCGACCTCTATCCGATGAACTTCCCATACAACCAAACTCTCCAAGCCAATATCGCACATCATATCAAAGCGACGAAGTCTTCTCGCCAAGCTCATCATCGCGACCTCTCACCACTTCATCTGCAGCATCTGAGGCATCTTCACTAGGTTCTATCCCCGATTTCCCAGTTCCGCAGCCGCCAATGCCAACTGCCCAAGCTTTACCTCGACGTCTTCCAAGTCTCGGTCCTCCCCCCTCAGCTCGACGAGGTCCATCATCATATTACACTCAGATGTCCTATGTGTCTCCAATCGCAGAAGAATCATCCGACAGTCGTTCCGATCTGATGCGCTCACATCATGGATCCTTCGCATCCAGTAACGTCTTTCCTACTAACAGGGACAACTTTTACGCTGCAGACGACGGAAATCGGTCGGATGACGAAGAAACAATAACCAGTGATCATGAGAAGGATTACGAGAAGGACTGGGAAAAAGACTTTGAAAAGGAGGACCGGAGCTCTAGGGGCAGTGATCATGACGACAGGAGCGAGCTCGTCACACCCGCATTAGTGCGTCAAGCAAGTCTGGGTAGACGCACCAAACCATCATTGATGACGATAAGATCTGTGGACAGCTTCGGAGACAAAAAGGTACCTTCAATTAAAAGGAAAGCTGTGGAAGATGGAGGCGTTACCGCTGTTGGCATTGGAGGAGCTGTGTTAGCCGCAAGAGATGGACTCGCAGGACGGAGATCCCCACCGGAGAGCTCGTTGAGTAATGGCAATGCTCTTCTCGATCCATCGTCGTCATCAAACGAGTCGCTGGCTTCATTTCAGAATATGAAGCTGAGAGGAGGGACGTCGGAGTCGCAAAGGCCTTTCGTCTTCGACATGAACGACTTGGCCTCGCCCACCAGCCCCCAGGAGCAATTGAACAAGCCAACCTTGGCTGATCGCATTGGAAGAAGGCCACCGAAACTCGACATAGATGCTGTGCGTGACGCTGAGGCGCGTGGGAGCCTCACTAGTCTGCCCGAACTCATTCGACGAGCAACAAGATTAGCAGCCAACCTGGACCGTGGAAAGACTGCCAGCAGGTTGGGTCTTGATTTCTGGGAGAGCGGTGCGCCAGCGGAAAAGAACATTCGAGGATCTGGCTCGCTGACTGACATGTTGGCGGCATTTCCCCCTCCTGGTGAGGCCACGCCTACTGGGAACCGCACACCAAACCCCAGGCGCATGTCGAACTTTGCCATTGGAAACAGGAAGGACGTGTCTGGCTCCTCGTTGGGGAGCGGAAGCACTCGGAGACGGAGATGCTGTGGCATGCCAATGTGGACCTTTGTGACACTCTTGATAGTGCTACTTTTCCTCATTGCCGCAGCTGTTGTCATACCGATTGTCCTCATTGTCCTACCAAAGATGAGGGATAACCAGAATGCCCCCGCGCAGAGCACGAGTGGTAACAATGCCAACCCTGGGTCCACGCCCCCTGTAGCTGTACCTACTGGAGGTGCCCGACCCGAACAATGCGAGGGCATCATCTCATGTCAAAATGGCGGTGTCGCCATTGCACAGTCTGATAGGTCCTGCAATTGTGTTTGCATCAACGGTTTCACTGGTAGGACATGTTCCCAGCAGTCTGATGCAGGATGTACCACGACGGACATTGCTGGAACAGCAAACAATGCGACTGTGGGCACCGGTATTCCCCGCCTCCTGGAAAGCGCACAGAACAACTTCAGCATCCCTCTGGATCCGCCCCAGTTGCTGTCCCTCTTCTCCAGCAACGGCTTGACCTGTACCTCTGAAAATGCGCTGATCACGTTCAATGGGCTCGCGTCACGCTTTGTGCCTATCCTCGTCGACGAGGCATTGGAGCCATCACGCACGCTCCCTCGCCTGGAAGCGCCACATTCCGATAATGATGTGCACAAACTCCACGAGCGCCAAACCATTGGTGAAGTCGGAACCCCCAACACAGGCAATCAGAACAATCCCAATAACGCAGCGACACCTACGGAAAGCGCAAGTCCTACATCGACCGAGCCGATCTCCAGCAATCCTACGGCACTGGACTTTGCGCGAATTGGAGTACTGTTCGTGTTCCAAGAGAGCCGCACAATGGACACAGCTGCGAATGCTCAAGTATCCCTGCAGCGGTTCTTGACGGCTGATCGTGCAGGCAAACGCAATGGAAACACTGTGGATCTCGGCCCTTTCACACTCGACCTAGTCAAATACACCATCGATTTCGGGAACGGCACCACCCTCAGAGCATTGCCAGAGAGCCCGTCCTGAGATACCTGGAACCACTCCCAAATCTATTCGTCACCTTCACCCATCTCTTTAATTTCCTATTGTATTATATTCGGCGTTACGTCCTTTGAGCCGGCAAATTCTCTCGCCTGCTTACCGTCACCATCGCCATCCACTATCCTTTAGACCTAACATCCCACCTATAGCCGGCTAGTCCCCTGGCAGAACGACAAAAAACCGTTTCACCCGCCGTCTTGAAGACGAGCTGCGATCTATGGATTGGATCTAATTTCTTGTTTCTTTCTTTGTTGCGTATGTGTGTGGTATTTTATGTGTGCGCGGATTGGGAGTTGCAAAGGAGAGAGATTGGGCTTAATATACCCCCGTTTGCTGTTGCTGCTGTTGCTTGCTTGGATGTAACTAGTAAAAGGTAGTGGGAGGGGATGTTGTTCGTCGCATCATTGAATGAATGGAGGGGCCACATTGTTGTATATAGATAGCCAAAACGCAGTAGAGATGAAGCGTAATGTGAGAATGCGAGAACACATCAAACCATATTTCACATTCATCCCTCTAATGCTACTCGTAAGATATCTACTACTAGCGACAAATCCAACCTACACGCGCTCGGTACCTCTCTCCCGAATATCAGTCTGCTCCCAGCTCCTTCCCCAAAACACGATCTCGGTAGATAACTAACTACCTTTCTCCTACCAAGATCTCAACGTGCCCTTCCCTTCTCTCAAAGGTAAACCATCACACTTAGCGCCCCGATCCCCGATCCCTAAACCCTCGAAACCCACAATCGCAAATGCCGAAGCGCATTAGCCCCAAACCCTAAAAGATCCACCTACACGAGAACGAGACTAACACCCCGGCATTTGCGATTAAAGCTACAAGATATCTTATTCGCGATTGTCATTTGCGAATGAGAAACTGCGCGTGGGTACCTTTCCTGTGTAGATAGGTAGGCTAACTAGCCTCGGGAATGCGGGGTGGGTGCGATTTGGGGATGGAGGGGGGAGGGGGAGGGTTTCGGAATCGGAACGAGGGAGATGTGACGTATAAAAGGGAGGGTCTTCCACCCACACTTTTGATTCCGGGTTGTTCTTATGCAGGACTATTCGATTACTGTTAGTCGATACCATTTTTGATTGTTTGGCTTTCGTTGGACATTGGCGATTGACGTCCTGGTTGTACTTGTATGTTCAAGATTGAATTGAGGGGAGAGATATTGGCTCCACTTGCTCGCGAGGCTTACATCGTTGTCTACCTGAAAAAGTGAAGTAGCTTTGAAGCTTCGGTATTTTATATCAGAAACTGCATACCCGGCCCCGGAATTGCAATTCGAAAGCAGGGTTATCACCGGAAGAGGAAAGAAATCCACACCCTCCTCACGCAGACCTCGGAATCAAGAGAAAGGAAGACAGACACGATGGTATTCTACAAGCCCGGGGAAACCGACCACGGTCTCCCCAACGACCCCTTCAAAGTACGTTCCCATATCCCTCACCTCCAGTCCTTTCTTTTCCTTTGCCATCACAAGTTTCCCCGTCAAGGCTAACCCACGAACCAACCCAACAGGCGTGCGTCGTCCCCCGCCCCATCGGCTGGATCTCCACCGTCTCAGGCACGACCGGCACCGCCAACCTAGCCCCCTACTCCCAATTCAACAACCTCACCTTCGACCCGCCGTACGTCATGTTCAGCGCGAACCAAACCCCCACCGCCGCGCAAAAGGACACCGCCGCCAACGCCGAAGCCACAGGCGTCTTCTGCTGGAACCTCGCGACGTACGACCTCAAAGACTATGTGAACGCCTCCGCCGAGCAGGTCGACGCTTCCGTCGACGAGTTCGAGCACGTGGGGCTCGAGAAGGAGGACTCGAGGCTCAGCTTCGTGGACGTGCGGAGTCAGGGAAGGAGGGTCGCGGTGCCGTTGGTCAAGAGGAGTCCCGTGAAGTTCGAGTGCGTGCATTATAGTACGCTGAGGTTGCCGGGGAATCCGCCGATGGGGGCGGTGGATGTGGTGATTGGGAGGGTGGTGGGGATTCATATTGATGATAGGGTGTTGACGGATGGGAGGATCGATGTCAGGAAGACGGTGCCGATTGCGAGGTGTGGGTATTTTGAGTATGCGGCGATTAGGGAGACGTTTGAGATGAGGATTCCGGGGGAGAATAAGAGTTGGTTGACGGGGTTGGAGGGGAGTACGAAGGGACATAGGGCTATGTTGGAGGGGGAGACGGCGACGACGCAGAAGGATGAGGAGTCCGGGCAGGTGGTTGAGAAGTGAGAAATTGATTTGAGATTCGATTCTCGTGCGGGCCGTCTAGTAGATGTGTAGATGCTCAAAGATGTAGCCGCCCAAACCCGATAGAATACGAAGACGACGATAATGCCATGTCCCGCTGATGGTCACCAAAGAACTCCCAGAACGCCAAAAACTGAGAATGCATCTTCAGAACTCGCATGTCTCCAAAGCCCTACTCTTCCCTTTCTCATTCACACTACTCCCGCCACCATCTCCTGTACCCACTGCACTGTGCGGTAACACCGTCCTCTCGCTCTCCCTGACATCCATCCCCGGCCCACGAATCTTGCCCGCAACGTCCAGCCCGATCTCAACCCCCTTGATAAGCCCCTCCAACGCCGCGAAAATATCCCCCTGCGACGCATCTCTCGCGTCCTTCAACTTCCCCTCGCCCGGCTCCCCCTTCGCCTTCCCTTTCCCCTTCCCTCCAATCTCCACCCCCTCAATCCTAAGCATGTACCCCTGATCCGGCGCCTCCTCGTCGAACGACGGCGCCGTCCGCACATTCGCACTCGTAATTTGCCACTCCGACGACAGGGACTGCGCATCCAGTATCTCGTGGCCGTCCGCGCCCACATCGACAACAATATACCTCTCCTTGACGCCCGGTATCGGCGGCGGAAGCGGGGACTCGACGTGCGGCGAGTCGTGCACCCGGTCTCTCTCGTCGTCATCCTCGTCGTCGCCGGCTTGGCTGGGGTCTTGCTCGCTCTGCTGTTGCCTCCGGCGCCGCTGCTCCTCTTGCTCTTCGTGCTCGCCGCTTTCGGGCGAAGTTTCGGGCAGGTACTTCGTGTCGTCGAGGCCGAGACTGCGCATCGCGGCGGCGGTCATGATGACGGGGTCGTCGTCTGCGAAGACGTAGTGTACGTATGGGTGGTAGTGCTCGCCTGTCGTCGTGTCTTCGATGAGGGTGAAGAAGGGGTTGAAGTTTTGCGGGGGGAGGAGCATTTGGTGGGAATCGGGTTCGGGGTAGGGGATTTCGCCATCGTCTTCGTGGTATGGAGGGTCGAGAGGGTCGTCGTGCTGGGTAGGCTGTGATTCTTCGGGTGGTGGAGAGTCGTCTGCCTGCGCGGATGGCGGGTCGTCGAAGTGGTGGAGGAGGTGCTCGCGCGGGGAGCGTGTGGCTTGGGGTAGGGGAGGGGACTTGGACTGCCGTATGCTTGAAGGTCTACTTGAGGACATGGTGCTGGAGGATGTGTGGTGGGTGTTGTGGTTGTTATTGTTGAGTTACGGTTGGGGTACCGTACCCAGATTATTAGATGAATGGCACATGGGTAGGGCTGAACTAGCTTAGCTTGGGGGAGCTTCCGGGGGAGAGCATTATCGATAACGGCGGGCAGGGGTCAGCTTGAGCCGCATCCTGGAGCATTTGGGCTATAGATCATGCACATATTGTGACTAGACGGTTACTCCGACATACTATGTTCATATGAAAATGGCTTGTCTTTAATGGGAATGATTTCATTCAAACAGACATACGAATTCTATGTATTCGCAGTGGTATGGGTATCTTCCAAAACGCCAAAAATGTCGCTCTATCATCTTCCAGCACAACAATCCGCGACGACCTCCACCTCTCAGCCCATATCGAACCTCCGAGTGAGTTCCGACATCGTTCGCGTCAAGCGGGGGTATCCAGCGCAGTGCCAGATTCATCGCCCTGGACTTCCGTATCGTCGGCGACAGCATCTTTGCTCTTGAACGCTATTGAGAACCAGTTAGCGATCGCTACGTATTGGTCAAGGGCAATGGACTTACGCTGTCTGCACATAGGACACTTCTCCTGCGCACTCTCCTGCTTCAGCCAGGAGAATATACAATGCTAGTTGATACGTTAGCACCCATCTCCACCCCAGAAACAGCAGAAGCTTTAACGGGAACGAACCATGTGGAACGAATGGTTGCATTCTCCCAGCACTACCCCATCGTTAATTAGCATGCCATAGGACATTGGTACTGGAGGATGCTCGCAAACGTACACAGCGGACACTCGTCACCCGGGTATTTGCACTTGGAGCATGTGCTGTCGTAGGGGTTTCGACAGATGCCGCAGACGTCGTCATCGGGCATGTCCCAGCGCCACGCCGCGACGGCGTTCCACTCCTTTATCGTGACTTTCATGTTGTTACCCACGCGCTTTCTGGCACCAGAGGAAGACGAGAGTGATGTTAGTATCTGCGGGGGCAGAATGGGACGGGACGACAGGCGTGGGATGTCGTAGGTTCGCGTGCGGTGTGGATAGGCGTGTGGGCGTAGATGTGGGATTGATTAGATGGTGGTCGTTATTAGTTTGTTTTGTTCTGGGAAAAAGTCGTCTGGCAGCCCCGCCAAGCGGGCCCCAGGGCAACAGTATACACTAACACCCATTACCCGTCCACCCGTCTTGAAGAGAATCCACTTTCCGGGCGCGTTTCATAAGGCTGAGTTCTCTTCTACGCTAATGGGACCTGAGTGTAATATGAAAGTAGATAACAAGCACATGGATAGGGAGTGAGCGAGCGGATCACCTGTGTCCCCGCGAATGTTTGTTTACTGCGCAGCTGGTGTATTTAGCGAGCCGACGCTCTGGTCCATATCATACCCGCCCAGCTCAATTGCTCTTAATATCGAACACTTAATTATTTCTTCAAGCTTTATCTCTGATCATAATGACCGAAAATCACACAAACTTCCAAGCACGGCTCGATTTCATCCAGCATCTGCTTCGTGAGCAGTTCAACGTCGAAGTAAAGTCGCACAGCACCTTTCAGGGACAAACGACTAACCTAGTGTATGTCTGAAGGCCACAGAGATTGTTCCTATTCAATATGATCCGGAATGTCCCTTCAAGTACAACAACTTCGTCTACCGCATTACTGTACATTCGCCTCTTCGCAGAGATGGGCCACAACAGCCTGGCGCTATGGCCGCGCCTGAAGATGCAAGAGAGTTCATCATGCGGCTCACGAACCGCAACGCCGAGGGAATGAATCCACACACACGGGTGGAAAACGAGGTCGCTATGATCTCACTCGCCGCAGACGCTCTCAGCGGCTTCGAACCACACATCGTTCCATCCGTATATGGCTGGGGTAGCGCGGCGCTGCCGACCTCGCAGGGCTGGATCCTCCAAGAGCTCATGCCTGGAGTCCCTCTCGACGAAACCTTCGACGACAGGTCTCTCGAGGAAAAGCAAAACATCCTCGGGCAAATGGCTACGTTTCTCAAGGCACTGCAAGACTTCCAGCTCCCGGAGAGCATAAAAGAATATGGCGGAGTCACCTTTGCCGAATCTGGACACATCGTGAGCGCCCAAATGACGAGCGTGGGTAGTGGACCTTGGCCATCATATGAAAAGTACTTCCTCGATCGCCTCGAACGCGCTCTCAGAACGGCGGGAAGCAATCCCTACATCAACGGCTGGCAAGCGAATGGGGTCAGGAAACGCCTCGAGGACTTCGTTACGAGCGGTGTTCCGGCACAGTTCGAGAAATTTCGGTCCTCCAACGACAAGGCTATCGTACATGCTGACTTCCGTAAGTGGGAATCGCCTTGTTTGATACTATGCTTCTATTGCAAGGCTAGTGCTAATGCTTTTCGACGCGCAGCCCCGAACAACATACTCTACGACCCCTCAAACAAGCGCCTTACAGCCTTGATTGACGACGACTTTGCATGCATCCTACACCCGTCCTACGACCTCCGCTCCTTCAGCGGCGCGGGGAGTCAGTTCCAAGGCTGGTCTGACATCGAGTCTAGCGAGCAGACCGCACTGCGAGATGCGAAGCTGCACGGCTTCCCATCGCCATTGCCCGAGGACACCGAGGACGGTGTGAAATGGGACGTCGCGAAGGCGTGGGAGGATGAACTGGAGAAGCTGGATGTGAAGAGGCCGAGGACGATGGAGGGGATTGAGAAGGTTGCAGATGTCGATGCTGTGCTGAGGTCAATATTGCCGTGGAGGGTTACGAACTCGGATATCTTGAGGCTGCAGTCTGAGGAGGTGATTTTGAAGTGTAGGAATGAGAATGAAGGGCAGTTGATTAAGCTGCTGGATCGTCTGGGGTTTTAACCTAGGTAAATGTGGCTGTAATGTCCTCTACTATGACCACGGCTACCACAACACCCTTTACCTTAGGTATCTTAGGTATCTATACAATAGATGTCCAGATGATAAACAAACACAATAGGACGGGAGGGGCAACTTACACTGGTGGCCCAAGCTCCTGACCCTGGGTGCCTGGGAACGACGTAAGGACCCACTTTTATTCCGAACGTCCAAGTTCGTTCAACTCCAAGCAAAGCAAAGAAGTTACAAGCAACAGCTCAACTTCAGAGATAACACCTTTCTCCACGCTCTGCACACTCCACTCTATTTGCTTTGTCTAGCCCTGCTATCTCTCCGCAGCCAGAAGCAATTCCAGAACGACCCGTCCATGCACGCTAATTGATCACATTCCACCCCGCTAAAAGCTTCCAAGCGATCGGACCCCTCAAAGCAAATCGGACAACCGTTGCTGGCCGATCAGCGCTGTCGTGCTCACCAAAGGGCAAGCATTCAATCCATTAATCAATCAATCAAGTCAAGTCCTATCTCATCCCGCCGCGGGGAAAGATACTTGTACGGAGCTTCACCTCCATCGTCACAAGCCGTGCCTCTTCCTCCTCCTCCTCCTCCTCCTCCTCCTCCTCCTCTTCTTCTTCAACTTCCTCCTCCTACCAAAAGCTCGTCATTGCTCCACTTTCTCGCTCTACTCCGACCTCGGGATACTCTTCGATACACACTACTGAATAACACTATCACCTTTCTCGTCTCCTGCCGCAACCTCGCCAAACATGTTGCTCGCAAGCTTCCGCTGCTTTGCGCGGCCATTCTCCTCCTCTCCCCTCACCCGCTCTGCCTTTCGGAACGCCACCACCACAACAACATTCGCATTCTCCTCCACCAGCAAAAGAGCCATGTCCTCCCACTTCACATTGGATACCTACCTCGTCACTCCCGCAGAGCTGCACGACGCCCTCCAGAAGAACGTTCACTCCAAGATATCCACAGCTCCGAAGATCATTCCCTTGTGCGCATCATGGTTCCTCCCAAATGACGGCCGCAACGGCTACGAAGTCTTCAAGGAAAGCCGCATCCCTCACTCACGGTTCTTCGATCTCGACGCCGTCAAGGACCCCAATTCCCCATACCCGCACATGCTGCCTTCCGCACAGGACTTTGCAAAAGCAATGGGAAAGTTGGGCATAAGGAGGGACGATAGCGTTGTTGTGTACGACTCCAAGGAATTGGGCATCTTCAGCGCACCCAGAGTGGGCTGGACACTTCAGGTCTTTGGACATCCAAACGTGCACGTCTTGAACAACTTCAAAAAGTGGGTAGAGGAGGGTTACGAGCTCGAGAGCGGGGACGTACATCCAGTGCCAGAGACCACTTACCCCGTCCCCGAGCTCGACGCAAGTAAGGTCGTAGCCTTCGAGGAGGTCAAGGACATCGCGAAGGAGCAGGGTAAAGAGGGCGCCGAAGAAGTGCAGATCCTAGATGCGAGGAGCAAGGGTCGATGGGAGGGAACGGACCCTGAACCGCGTGAAGGTACACAGTACACCGGCTCTCATACCTTCACCTGGCAATTTTATCTACGCTGGGAAAGTTTCCCAGATACTGACTGCAACGTCCAGGTCTCTCATCCGGCCACATCCCCCACTCCATCTCTGTCCCCGTCTCCGAGCTCCTCGACCCAGACACTAAAGCTTTCCTCCCCTCCTCAGACCTCAAAGCCATCTTCCGATCCAAAGGCGTCGACCCCTCCAAACCCATAATCAGCAGCTGCGGCACGGGAGTCACTGCCGCCGTCATCGACGCAGCCCTCGTCGAAGCCGGTTACCCCGTCGAGACGAAGAGGATCTACGACGGGAGCTGGACCGAGTGGGCGCAGCGCGTGGGTCCCCACGATAATCTGATCGTCATGGTTGAAGATGCATGAAGGAAGTTTCTTTTTCCATGGCTTTCACTGCATGCATTTGTTTTCTCTCCCTCCCATTGTGCTTCATGGCCTGTGTAGGATGTATCTCTCTACTTCTTCCATTTTCTTCTGCCTGGCCTTCTGTCTGCGAATGACCATCATTCGCTGGAACGATACCCAATTTTCTCTGTACTTCTTTCTTGCTTTGCCTTCTTCTATCAGGCAGGCGTTTCTAGTTATAGTTTTCTAGCTATAGCTCCAGCTTTTGCCTTCTCCAATCAAATCAAAATGACCCGAGCTGAGTGGAAATGGGAATTTGAATCAAATGGAAATTCGAAAAAGCAAAGTAGAGTTTATCCCATGTGACCCCCATCTCCCCACGTCCAAATCCCCCCTCCACTCCCGAAAATCTCACGATAGTTACTGCTTACTGCAATATATGCCTGAGATAGTCATACATACTGTATACACAAAAGGCCTTTCACACATTGGCATAGGTGTGAGCATCCTGTCTACCTAGGTAGTTATCGTGATATACATATGAGTATCTTTCTGCGTCGAGTCTTGGCGGTGGCAGCTATTGCGAGGATTATCTTGAAATTGCGGCTTGTCCCGCCTGGTTGTGTCACATAGCTTAGCACGCCGTGTGCGTTGGCAATTAGAGCAAACTTCTTCAACACATCACAAGCTTCATTTCCATCATGAACCGGTCTGTAGCAGTACCGGTCCGTATCATTACTCACGAATGCATATTGTGTTATAGAGTCCATCAAGCTCAAGAGAAGGTCCTCGCAGGTATGAATAGGCCCCCTCATCTATGAGTACACTGATCGTTTGAACAGTAGTTGGATCTAATTCATTTGAGGGATATACTCATTCTTTTGACATCGTCCCAAACACTGTGAAAAGAGAAGTGCCTCTATACAAGAATAGCACGGCCCAATCCATATTAATTTGCTTCCCATCGTGCAAGCATCCCTACTGTGGATGCAATAGGTCCACTACTAATGCGTTCCTCCTCCATTCTGATTGTGTCCAAATATTACACAACATTTCGAACACCATTCCGATGCGTGCCATATGGATATTTTGCCGCTGCATCCAGCCAAAATTTCTCTCCTGTAAACCTGGCTACTCCACGCGATGGATGGCCGGAGCCCTGGACGACAGTTCAACGCGAGAACTTCTTCCAAAGTCCGTTTCAATGACCCTCAACTACGTCTCAGAACTTCCCGTCGAACTTCAAATTATCATCCTCGAGCTTTCTGGGCCGGGCACATTCATAGCGATGCTCTCGGTCGTTTTGGGCGTTCTCCCCGTGTTGCTGTCAAAGCAGCTCTATGAATTTTGCTTGCGTGATACAGAGCTCGACTGTTCCCAAGCAATCTACGCGGAATATATCACTCTTCGGGGGCAGACGTACATATCTAACCTCAGCAACAAGCATGACCATGGTATGTCCAAGGTACCTACACAAGCGGCGCCTAGAATACTCGCAATGTCAATGGACAGTTTCGGCATCCGCAGAGTATCCCGTGTACAGGAGGCTCGCGATTCCAGGCTGCTTGGAGACTTGTGGTATCGATTTGAGATACTACCTCAGAAATCTGGTAGCATGATCACTCTGAGACGCAATGTAGGTTACGCTCTGTCGACGCGTCCTTTGCATTGGCTGACAGGCACCAGCCATTGGTGATTGACGACGTTATACTTGATCGTCACAACCACCGCAGGTTTCTTTGGGATTCTCCAATGAAGCCTGAAATCATACCGCACCAATGGTATGATCCATCGCCCGAGAATTCGGACTGCTATGGATTCAAACGTGTTTCTTTGAACGGCAGTGTGAGTGGGATCGCCGTCTCATGTGGTCAAGGGACGAATATGAGTTTCCACGCCATTCGCGAGGGACAGAGAGATGCATCGATCCACGTCAAGACCGAAGTGGCAGCGAAGCAACCTTTGACTTGGATCTATTTCCCTCTTGCCGAAGGGGAGACAATTTGCGGTGTTTGGGTCATGACCAACTATGGAGGGTTGGCGAATGTTTGTGTAAGGATCCCAATAAACCCCCTCCGCACATCAGTGCCGGACTACTCATTAATATCTTTGCTCTCCCCAGGTTTACACAACCCTCGGCCGATCGCGCATATTTGCAAGTTTCAAAGAGCCATGGTACCGCTGCGGCGACCGCTACCAATGCATCAATTCGGGCGCGGACGGGAGCATCACGGCCCTCTACTACGACAGCCTCCGTTTGCGATCGGAGCGCAGCCTTCGGGTCGGCGTTGTGAGTTCACATGACGACGTCTTCGACGTCCCGGAAAATCCTCCCTGGGCGGATTGTCCCATCCCGGAAGTGTGTCTGCAGACCGACCCGGAATGGTTCCATTCGCAGGCTTCGCTCCGAGATGTCGTTTCGGCGGAAACCTGCGAAGACGGGTTGACGGGCGTCTGCCTGGGCGTGTTGCTTCGTTATAGGAATGGCCGAGAGGAGACTTTGGGCCAATGGCGCTTCGATCAGACTGTTGCAACGTTTGAACATGATCCCTGCATACGGTCAATGTCCTATCGCATAGATCGCAGCAAAGGGAAACCCCGGATGAGGGCCGTCTCTTTTGGTGCTTGCCTAGCTGACGAGAGCTCCGAGGGCGTGAGCATTCAGATGCAAGGCCATCTTATATGGTGGTTCAGCGACTATGGGGGGGGTTTCGTAGTCCATTTGTCAGATACAGGACGGGATTGACTCCCGCCGTTGTAAAGTCTCGTTTCTCGGCATATGTTCTCGTTACCACACCCTACATAGCCACATACACGCACTCTTTTTCTTTTGCAAGCAAACGCCGTGCTCGAGTATCAACAACAACAAGCGCTGCTCCTGCGATGACGGACCGGCCTATGCACTTCAAGGATTACTTTAGGGCTGCGGGGTTCAGCCTGGGGACTTTACCGTACACAAAATGTAGATAATATCTCCTTAAACCTGCTTACTCTTTGTACCTTAGCCTCTCCTTAGCCTCTACCCTTTCTTATATCCTTTACAAAAGAAATATTAATTAATTTTTCTAATATACAAATTCCGCCTGGTCGGCTCTCCCATGTGTGAGCTGAGCTTGGGTTGGGCGGTAGCACCACACGAACTCTGATATCCATAACCAGTATATCGATAACCAGTAGGTCCTCAGCTCCAAGCTCTTCCTCGTTCGCTATCCCCACATACAACCATGCAGTCTGTCGGGGTGATGTGTATAGGTAGAGATCTTTCTCTATGCGGTGCCATTTGCATGGACTTAAATCGCAGGTGGAAGGAGGAATGGTCGGGGAGATATACACGGTCAGATCCGTGATGACTGAGTGGGCGAAACGGTCGCGGCATGAGGAATGGATGTTGCCTCTTTGGAGGAGAAGATCCCTAGAAACTCAAGAGTACGAAACATGATAATGGCTAAAACCGCGGATGCAATCGCAAAATGCAAGGTCACATCATAAAAGGACATGCGAGGCTAGTGTTCGGTTCGGGCTCAGGTTCAGGTCAATAAGAGAGTGATGAGCGTCGAGGTGAATTTAGCGACTATTTAGTGCACCTGGCCTGGTCCCTATGAGAAGGGTCGTGTTCGAGCGCGAGAGGAGGATCGTGGTCGATGAAGAGGATCGTGCCGGAACGAGGAATGAGTGTCACAAGGAGCAACCCTGCAACGACTTGGCGTCGCGAGGGCGTTCGTTTTTGTTTCTCAAGACAATTCATCTCGCGAACTCATGCTCTTCAGTCTCTCCCGTGTACTCCGTACGCTCAGCTCACAACTTCCTCTCAGTACACGTTCTTGCTTATGTGTCGGCAATACTTTTCTCTGGTTTTATAGAACTCGGAGGGCTTACCTTGTAAACCGCCCATTACTTTCCACATGCCTATATACTACATCAATAACCTCCCTGCATCGGTAATAGAGCATTTGGACAGACTTGGTGAATATCTAAGCACCGGTGACCGCGCCCATTCCACCTTGGCACTTCTCAATGGTGCTGACCTAGTTCGATACGACGCATGTCCTGAATCAATCGCATTGGCAGAGGAGTACTTCAAGCATGTGGTTTGTTATCTTCATCTCAAGACTCAAGTTTCATGCTAAATACAGTCACAGCCCCAGGTATTAGGGTCAGCAATAGAGAATCTCGAGCTACAGGAAATTGAAACAGAACCGCTACCCTGGAAATTCGACGATAACGAACTAGGCTTCCTCCATGGTTTGGAAGAGTTGAATGTAGTCATACCCATTTTTCAACCCGCAACGCACCCCCACCGTAGCCAGACCAGCATGATCACAATCAGAAAACATTCGGAGGGTGGTTGTATCGAGCTAAGGCCACACCAAATGGCAATACTCATGCCCGGCGTTCGCTTTCATGCTTCATCATCCGTCCCTGTCTTTGTCATTCCCCACCCTACTACCTCTAGCAAACTTGGAGATCGATAATACTTCTTGCGTGGAACTGGAGCAGCATATTTCACGTGTATGCTAATTTCCCCTTCTTTTATGACTGAGGCTCCATGAAAAGAATTTGTTGCTACAATCATATCCTGGTCTCGCTCGTTCGACATGAAAGGGGTCTCGTTCACCTCGCTTGTGGCGCCCGTGATGCGTGAATCGTGTACATCATCATTCTCGAAAGCATGCCGAGTATTAGGATTCAGTTTTGATGCGAAGCCCCGAATGATACTGGTTTCACCAGCCAACCGCTGTAGCCCTTCATGGCTCAGGGTCTTCAGGTAGCAGCGAAGATTTTCGAGTAGTGTTCTGTGTTGTGTTTCAAACTTTTCTGCGGTTACGCCTAGAGATTCTAGGCATTTGAGGATATCAGTTGTCGCCTCGAGGTTAAGTGGCCCGAGTATCGGCTTGAGGAGCGCAGCTTCTGGATTTCGATCCCCCAATAACCACTCAACCTCTTCCTGCCTGACCCGCGAAAGACTGCATAAGGTTAGCGCTGCTGGTCAATCGGCATTCTCTCTTACACTTTCTGTGTAGCTATGGTTCTCAGAATCCCAGGCGCTCGTGGTACACAGTTTGAAAAGTGGTTAGAGTCTCCGATCATTTTCTGCATCATCGTCCTGTGTTCGGCCTGAAGATTCTCACAAATCTTATCAAGGGCTATTGTCTTATTACCTCGGCCTCGAGTAGACAGCGTTGAAACTGACAGATAGCCTTCGTATATATATCCAAGTAGTAGCACGTACAGTCTGTACAACCACTTGTCCTCTGTCCTGCCTGCTTTCACTCTTCTTGCTCTATCAAACAAGATTGCTATTTGCGCCTGGCCCTGCTCGCTAGGACAAATATCGCTATGAGTCCGAAAGCATGTCCCCTTCGTGATGACTGCAGCAAGATAGGTTACTCTTTCTTTATCAACGGCGGGGAGGTCAGCGCTGGAGGTTTGTGGCTCGCGGGACGTCTGCGGCATGCTGGATGTCTGGGCATGGCTCCCCTGAGGTGCCATATTTGTTGACGGGAGAGGAACGCGTCCTCAGTTTTCCATCCTCCCATGGATTCGGGCAGATGAAATAACGTAAGCATCGGTGGCATTGGACGAATGGCATCGAGGAACAATCCAGTCTATTCCCGACCCCTCATGATCAGCTACTCGCTTAACCCCAGCTTTCATAACCTCAAATTGAACAACACGACTCCGTGATTTCCCCCTCAACGCAGAGAGCAGCAAGGTCTTGGGTCATACGAAACACGCAGGTGGCTAGATCTGGAAAGACCATGCATATCCTTTCCTCTTAGCCAGTATTACAACCTCTGGATAGGTCCGGCGCGAATATATGTATGACGACGCTGTGTGACTTCAAGATACACCGCAAATTCACAATCAGTCAGGAGCTACATTCACTGCTGTGGATCACAATTTTGAGGTCGAAGAGGGGGGGGGCTATTGAAATGAACCTGGTATGTACGGAGTACTAGCCGTCCCCGCGAATTCAATAATAACAACTATAAGGCAGCGATCATTAAGCACAACGAACTGGAGATAACGCTTCAACGAGCGGACGAAGAACTAGCCAAAGCGATCGAAGAAAAAGCCAAAGTTGACGAAAAACTGGCGAGGCTTTTCCAAGATCTTGAGCATGCTGGGCTCACTATGGGCTGTTTGAAGTGCGCCGTCAAGGTTAAAACAATTTGTCGATTGCTAGAGAAATTCGAACGAGAATGTAAGTAAAATTGTGAAGGGGGTTTTGGTCAGCGATCGTACTTCTGCATCAGGGTCCGATGCCTGTGAGTCCTACATTTTGATGGCTTCATGCAATATCCTGCTTTTCTAGCGTAGGTCACACAGATAGCGACGTGTACAATCAAACGACCATCCACGAACTAACGCACGGCTGTGTGATGTTTCATGTGCCTAGTCACTGAACACAACATGCTTCCCATTTCGATCAGATGCATATGCCGTCAAACCCACCAAACCCGCCATTCCTTATATGCGTGCTGGGCCATTGGTTCTGTAGTCGCCTTGTAGCCAAGTATCTCAACTCCACTTGGCTTATGCACTTGCAGGACCCATGCGCGAACAAGGCTAATAGATCTGTTTCATCCATGTCCCAATGAGGAGGGCATGCGAGGTTCGTTTGCTGTTGCGCGAGAGGGTCCTTGCGGCCAAAGAAAGCCTGTATATGTACCTAGGCACAGGTAGTGGCACCAAGCTAACAGCCCGTGTATCCTGCCAGGACACTCATTTGCCGCTCTTCATGTGCATGGCGATTGGTCACATCCTCTAGAAATTGCTCATAAACACTTGAGGAGACCCCCCATTTTGGCTGTCCCGTCCCCAAGTCATTATGCTGCGTTTACCAGTGGAATTGCTTACCAGAATTGCCTTATACCTTGACCCATACATTGAGTCTCTAGACGAACCCTTCTTCGAAATACATCCAAACGCTTCTCAAAGAAATCGCAAGGACATCTATGCTTTTTGTCTCATTTCTCGAGAATGCCGAGCTGTTGGGCAACAAATTCTTTATCGAAGTGTACGGATCGAGTCAACGAAACATGCGAAAACCTTGTCATGTACACTGCGGATGCATCCTGAGCTCCCCACGAAAGTTCGCAGGCTGCAATTGACAACAACAAAGACCGAAAACGAGCCAGAGTTAATTCCAGGATTCCTTTCCGTAATGTCAAACGTAGCCATGCTCGATCTCAACGTGCAGTGGAGCGGACAGCCGACTTTTGCGCTTGACGCCATCACTAAGCCATTGAACGCCGATCCCCTTCAGCACGTTACAACGTTACAACTTACCGGTGACATGCTCGCAATCCTATCCTACGAACTTCCGTGCCTATCAAGGCTTTGGCTAAAAGAGCTTCCGGATGAACTACCGAACATCCAAAGAAGTCATGAGATTGGGTTCCTAGGGATCGAGGCCCCTCTTCGATCAACAGAACCCGTGAGTTATATGAACGAACCCGGCCCTTGGTGGAGTAGTTTCGAAAGATTGGGGTGTGTGCAAGTAAAGGAGCTCGAGGTTTTCTTTCACAGCGTCGACCACGAACTTGCCGGCATGCACTTTACCGGTCAGTATCTGATAGACCAGGTACACAAACTGTGGCCGGATCTTCAGAAGCTTGACATCAAGCTGGACAGTCACATTTGGTTCGAAACAACAGCTTCATTTCAACGCTTTGAGTCTCTTACGCACCTGAGTGTCCCATACCATTTGCTTCTGGACGAACACTGTGATAAGAGCAAAAATAGTCTACCCTATGGCCTTCAAGAGTTAGAAATCATCTTAGAAATTTCCGAGTACGAAGTGACATACTCTGAGGCTTTCAGAGAGGATAGTCTGAATTTTCAAATTTTGCACCGACCATTAAGAGCAAGTATGGCTGTGTTGACGAACAGAAATTTGATTTGGAAAACATTTTGTCAATTATTTTAAAAATGAAATTGTAAATTCGAGAAACAAGGAACGGGAGGTATAGAACAGATTCTTATGCCCTATTCTTTTTTTTTAATCGTGGTTTCCACAGCAGTGCCGTTGCATCCAAATTCTTTTTGAGACGTGCATTACATCGAATATGGTGCAGCCAGCACCCTATAGACGCTGGCGACCAGGGAATGATTGCATATAGATGAGATAAGAAACGAGGGCTTGGTGTATGCATGAATGCTGGTTTGTCCACGGGCCTTCAGTTTTCTTCTCGAGGTGGGGCAAGCTGTGCCGCCTCAGCAGCAGTGAGCGCTATTGTCGTGCTCTCGCCGCAGCTAAAGGAGTGTTGCAGCAGCATTTGACAGCGGGTAGACATTGATTGTTTTGACTGTTTCGATCTTGCCAAAGTGGATTAAGATATAAGGCCAAGCCGTGGGCATAAGTCAAGTGCATTACCAGGCATATCTAAACGTACACCTGGCACACTGCTCCGAACCATGTCATGGCCAACAATAGCTTCCACCTTGTACTCATCTCTTGTGTTTGACCCTCTGTCAATGCCTTGTGGTGCCATATGAGTATTGCCAGTCTTAGCTGGCGGGCTGTCTCCATGGCCGGTTGCAGAATCGCCTTGAAGCTATTAGTAGTGAATGAGCTAGAATATCATGCGACTCTCGTTCAAAAGCAACTATGGCGGCGTCATTAACTTGTTGCCTCGTCGGCTTCATTGGGCTGTGAAGCACCGAGGCACTTCGCTCACGAAGCGTCACTCGGTGATATCCATCCACGCCATCCGAAATGTAACTAGGACTTAGCTCTTGATAGTCACTGTGAACAGGGTTCCAGTGGTCCACATCGGCATCTCCTGTGAGGTTTGTGAATGTGAAGTTCTCGATCGATGATGGTGGGCCCACTGGGAGCGACACTGGCGACCAAGCTGATAGTGCATACGCGCTGTACTTGCCAACGCGTACATATTCTCACCCATTTCCATAGTGTCTTTGAATTTGTTGGGAAGGTTCAGAAGTAAGGTGGAGTTTGAGAGCTAGAGACTCAATGATGACACAGTCGTCGCCACTTCCATACAGTTCTTTGTGAGGGGCACTGTTAAGGCCGCTTTGATTGTCGTCGCATTATAGATGATAGCGGCGTTTGACTACCACTGCCACGTCTTCCATAGCTACTATCAGCCGTGCTAACGGCAAGGGATGATGTGCGGGAAGATGACTTGCTTGTATTCTTGAAAGCGGCGGCGATTTCCACAGATTCGATGCTAGTGTTGACGAACGTATACTCCAATAACGCTGTCTGCTCTGTTTCTGTTTCAGACTTGACATCCGCCTTGCTCTGGCGGGTGAGTTGCGTCTTCTTTGGCTGACTAGAGCCATCGGTCATCGGTTTGGTTATTTCTTCTCTTTCGAGTTCTCAGTTTCTTAAGTGAATGGATACCGTGGACGTCTTGGAGATGAAACTGGAATTCCAAAGCGGAATGAGCGGGAGCAGAACATTGTTGTGTTCAAAATTCGCATTTCACCGGCTGTTCTCCCAGAGTATCAATGGGTCTCTGTATGTGGGGTTGCCACTTCGATTTACTCTTGAACTGGTACATCAGTTTGCTGGCCGGCGGTCTTGGGTCTACGAGACAGTCATTGCAGAAACCTGGCATCGCAAGAACGCCATTGAAGACCAGAGGATCGAGGAAGACGGGGAAATTCTCCAAATCATTGACATGATCCTGGCAGAGAATTTCCCACGACTCTACGGAGTAAGTCGAAGAACCAATCGCTGTAAAGGAAACTAAGTTCTGCAGAGCTACGAACTTGCTGCGTGGTGATGCGCGAAACCTGCTATATGGACAGGACATTGTATCTAATAGTTGACTTGGTTTTCTGTTCCAGTCTTGGGTGTTTTACTTCTGTAAATGGCTGGAAGGGTACTCGTAAGTGGCGCAACCCAACCCAACCTACGAAAACCTTCGGATACACGGCCTAATGCCAAATGCCACTGCAGAGTACATTACACAGTCTACACCTAACAGGACGCTACCGAGTCAGTAACCTGCTCGAGCTGCGAACGGGGACAATCGAAGAGAAAGAAGTTGAAACCGTGGATGCATCCAGAGACGCCGAAGGAGGGGGTGAGTTGTACTGTCTGTCTGAGCACCGCAATGTCCTTGGAGTATTTGGGCATTCAAGATGCTGAGTTGGAATGTTGTCATGTCCATTGATGGGGGCTACGAGAGTATACATAGATAAGTAGGTCAGGTAGTCTACCTAGTAAGGACATACAATACAAGTGATTAGTTAGGTGCTGCCAGCGCAGACGAAGCTCGCATACCCCACAGCACCACGAATTCACTCAACCAAGCCTAACCACTATCTCGCACTTCGCACAAACAACACGATCACAGCAACCCATACAGGACCAAACCCACCATCGAACTAGGTCCCGAATTCTCGCTTCCACACAACAAGAAACCCATGGACGACCGCATTCCCAACAAACAACCCCATCGTATCCGCTATCAACAATCCAACACCTCAACAACCTTTCCTATAACGCCTCTTCGTATTGGTGGAATCCCTCCCTCGCCTACATCCACGCCCACCACGCCGCATCTAGAAGCTTTTCCGTGTTAACTTACGTAGGGATGGAGCTATGTGGTATAATGTATGCATCCTGTGTAGTAACTAGTGTGTGCGTGTACTGTGTATAGAGCGATAAACAAGCATCGCACCATGAATCCTTAGCTCCCGCGGAGGCAGTTACTTGTGTGTGTGTGTGTGTGTGTGTGTGTGTGTGTGTGTGTGTGCGTGCGGCGCTATGGGCCGAGGAAGTGTAAGCGAGTCGACGGGAGGGAATGCCGACAAGTACCTAGATAGTCGAATCTAGATTTCTGGATTCCTGATACTTGGTCCGAATATGCATGCCAGTTCCATTGGGGAACCGTGGAGGCCGCTCCGTTTGGGCGTGGGGGTGTGCAAATCTACCTAGGTACCTACCTAGGTATGCATGTGTAAAGATGTGCAGTCTTACTCGATACAGCGCCTGTAATGTACGTGCGGCTCGATGTTACGGATCGAGAAGGAGATGTGCTTTATATAGACTGCATTCAATATCGAAAGCTACCTTACCTACGGAAGTGTTTTTTTGAATGATGGTGTGCGCTTTCGCCAGATGGCTGAGACATGCGTTGATGGAACCACGGCGCGGGAAATGGGATGTAGATTAATTCTGCGTCTGGAAAGTATGCAGGATTCTTGTTTGATGGGGAGGTAGTGTATTGGAGGTGGAGTTTACGTGGGTTATGGCTATGTGATCTACTGTCCATTCTGAATGTATATGTCAAAGCAAGACAACCAAGCCAAGTGTTATATTAGAACCTCTGATGAGCAAAACAAAACATCTCAATATGCGTGAAGAAAGTAACAACGAAAGAAAGCCCCGCCCGTCTTTGGGCTGAACTGGTATCAACAGACAAAGCAAACATCAAATCGAACGAACGAAATAACACCCTGTCCCCGTATCTACACTCCCGGGACATCAAAGTCAGGATGAGCAGGCCAATTCCCCAGGCCCGCGGGATCGCCTCCAATGCGCACCCAGATCGCCACACTAGGCACGCCATTCGCATTGAGCGCAAACACCTGGAACCAACCGGGCGGACACACATGCGCGTTCGGCGGCGCCGTGATCGTGTAAGTGTTCCCACCGGCGGAACTGACGGCCGGGAAAATCGTCCTCTGGCCCATTGAATTTCCGTGGGTTGATGATCCGGCGCCCATGAGCGATACCCTCGCGATGGGCTGCGTGGACACCAATGTAACTTGCTGCCCGTACGACCAATCTCGATTCGTGATGTTGACGGCAGGTCGCGTGGGGTTGCCCATGAGGTACGGGGGCACGAACACCTCGACGCGGTATTCCTCTGCGAAGCGCTCGTCCTGGGGGTTGGAGCCGGACACGAGGACGCGGCCGTCGTCGAGGAGGATGGCTTCGGAGTGGTAGAGGCGGTCGACGATCGTGTTGGCCATGACGCTGAAGCGGTTGTTGACGGGTTTTGTGGGGTCGTAGAGGACGGCGTTGTGGTTTGGCTGCGTGGCGAGTCCGAACCCGGCGAAGCCTTGGTGCGCGCCGTTGAGGATCATGTAGGTTCCATCTGGGAGGGCGGTCATGCAGCTGAGGACGCGTCTTGAAGGCTGGATGGATGGTTAGTCTGGTTTCAACATGTTTGACGATAGAGTGTCTTACCATGCGTTCGATAGTCCATTCTGCATTAGGGACTTCAGGGGCGATAGTGACGCAGTTATCTAGGGCGTAGCCTTGGAATGGTGTGGAACCACCACAGATCATGATCTCCAGGGGATCATTGTACGGAGCATGTTGCGGCAAAAGAACGGCAGTTCCCTCGAAGGGATAGGTACGGCCAGCGAGGAAGTTGTTAACTGCGCCAGGAACATTGGGAAGCTGCTTAGAGACCGTCAAGGATCTCTCATCCAAGATAATTGCCTCATTGTAGTAAGAAGCGAAGACACCGCCAGACGGGAGAACTGCAAGGAAAGGATACAGGTTGTTCGGGTCAGTACGATTCAGCCAGTCGCAGTATACAGTCGGGCCAACAGGAGGGAGGATTTCGAGTGTCGGGACTGGTGCACCGTTGGAGCCTTCTTCACCTCCAACGATGAGAATAGAACCGTTGGCCATGACCATGGAGGTAGGATACCACCGACCGTCTTGAAGGTGGAGTTCTTGGACATTCTCTTGCCAGTCATTCTTGCCCCATACGCCTGGTGACCCATCAGGCCAGTAGAGACGCACGCCGAAGGTAGCATCCAGAGCCCAGCCGCCGACGTTAAGTTGTCGACCGACCTTGTCGGGAAGTGTGAGCGAGGCTGAGCAGAAAATATCTGTCTTGACATGCATAGGCCTCCAAGCAGCAGTGAAGTTGTTCAATTGAGAAAGATCGAGCTCGTATGCTCCAGTGGTGTTGGGAGCGCCGGTTCCCGATTTCTCGAGAAAGGTGACTTTGCCATTGGGCGCGGCTTGTGTGATGAGAGGTACTACTACACCGCCGATGAGGAACTGATACTGTCCAGCTGCATTGCCTGTTGGGTAGTTCCAGGTGGTGAGCGGTGGGCCCTTCCAATTGTAATATGAAAGGCGCCTTGGACCTCCGCATATTGTGGTAGCGTTCCCAGTGCAAGTGGCCTGGCACTCAGTCTCAGATACCAACTTTTTTCCTGCAGCTTCTACATCGCTGATGTCGCCACAATCTGGATAACGTCAGGCAGTTGTACACTGACCAAGGGGTTGTGAGAACTTACAGCATTCAAGGCCAAACTCCAAACCACCAGCATTGTATCCAAATGCAGAACATTGCGAGATGCAATTGTTCGCCGTGTTGTTCTTAGTCAAGATGATCTGATACGGCAGTACGTGGTCCTGTCCATCATCCGACAAGCATCCAACATACGACCAACTACCCGTGAGGTTGGTCTTCTGCACAGATGGAACGGGATACACTGTAAGGGAATCATTAGAGTAAACGCTCATCCTATTACCTGCGCCACATTTCTCCGAGGCATCACCGGCGCATCCCATGTTGCAGTCTGCCTCCGAGGTCTTGGTAGCAGCGTTGCGTAGGAAGTCATCACAGAAACACTGCGCTGCGTATTGCATTCCTGCAACACCGTAGCCAAGTTTGCTGCATGTTGCTATGCATGACTCGATGGTGAGTTTGTTGTTGTCGGGCTGACCGTTGCTCATGATTCGGCCGTTGGCACCGTCTATCCAACAGCCTTTGTAGGACCAGCCAGTAGGAATTTCAGCCCTCGCGGTTGTCGTAGAAGTAGCAACACTTGATACTGTGGTAGGTGTGCCAGAAGGCGAAATGGTGGTTGACCCGTCCTCACCATACTGATAAGCATTAAGTCGGTTTGGACCTCCGCACATTTCCTATACTGATCAACAATTGAACATGTGAACAGCTTCAACATGCTTACCTGAGCATTGCCATTACAAGGCATGTTGCAGCCACTGTTGCCATCGGGCGCAGGACCGCCGCCATTGCTAAACGAGTTGCCGCAGTAGCACTCTCCGCCGTATTCAGTTCCAGCGAGTCTGTAACCGGCAGTGCGGCAAGCCGTCAGGCAAGATTCGGTAGTGAAGGCCCCGCCAGGATAGACCTGGGTTGTCAGGGCTCTCCCGCCGCTGACATTGTCGGCATAGCATCCGAGAGAGTTCCATCCTTCCGGTGCTTGTCGGGAAGTGTAGAGGTTGAGTCGGTTGGTCCCGCCGCAGTACTCGGTCGCGTTACCATTACACACCTAACTAAGATAAGCCTGGGCTCGATAGGACAAAGAAACATGATCGTAGCTTACAGTATCACAAGTAGTTGCATCTGCGGAGGTAGCCGTGCTTGCTATCTTGTTTCCGCAATCTGGACATGTTAGTAATTTGCTCTATCAAGATGGCGAACACTGATGCCTTTGCGTAACTTACAGCATTGCCCGCCATTCTCGACACCAGCATAGAGATATTCCTGAGCCGCACAAGCTGACATGCACAAAGCCACGGTGAGAGACTCTGCACCTCCGGTAGTGGTCACCCCTGCGCTCAAGGTGCGTGCATTTGCACTATCACTGGATTATCTTTAGTGAGTGTCCGCGGTAATGTTGAACAAGGGACGCTGCTTCATGTGGCTTATGTCGGTATCTGATATTCTGAAAAAGAAATACCCACCCATGCACGGCATTCCAGAAGTGCAGATAGGAAAAGGAACGAGCAGTGAGGTACGTGAATCCAGCGGTACACTACTGAATGAGGATGGCAAGCATGCAAAACAGGATACTCTACGCCCGACAACTTGAGCAAAGGATCGAATGCAACTTACGTATAGCAACCGAGTGATCGGTACCCGTTAGCACCTGGATTCACGAAGGGACCAACAGGGCCTGCTGGTATCGTGGTGTTGAAAACGGTTAGTCTGTTCGGCCCACCACATGGCTCTGCTGCGTTGCCTGGTGTCACAGTCAACATACATACTGCAAGTAATTGAACGAGGTGGAGAGGAAATCCTTACCATTGCATGCCATGTTGCAGTCTGCATCGTCGGCGATTACGGCGGTACTGCTCAAGGATTTACCGCAGTCTACGATCATCTTCAGTTAGCAGTTCTCGAATAGATGGGACGCAAACATACAGCATTCCCCTGCGTATTCCGTACCAGCATAGTAATTTCCGCTATCTACACAGGAGGATACACAGGCAGCATTGGTCATGGAACCACTGCTGAAGGCCCAAACCGTCAAGCTACGCTGACCTACGGAGTCTCTATCAATCGACGTTAGCTCGAGGTGTGGTCGACTTCCAATGCCAAGTTGGGTAAACTTACGTGACGCATCCTGTATAACTCCAATTGGCACGGGGCGAGGTAGGTGGTCCAAGTTGAGCAGAACTCAATGTTGCCTTTTAATTTGTGATTAGCATCGAATTCCGCCGTCTGGATGCAAGCTCATGGCTACACATACTAGCAGGAATGGCAAGGCAGCTGCTGTCCTCAACCAAGGAAATGTAAACGCCATTTCTCCTGGTCTCGCTCATGAATTAGGTAGTCAAGATGAATCTGAACGAAGGTATAAGGTGGGCTGCTAATGTCTGTAACGACTGGGATAGAAAGCAAAGACGCAAAACTCCGCAATTGCGTGTTTAAGGAGAAAGATAAACAATTGTTGTAGGTTGTGTTGCAACGATTAAAGAGCGTCAGGCTGGTGAGTCGACTGCACTTGGCCGGTCAGGAGGCACTGCGCTACGAAGCCACTCGTCGGTATCTTACCCATCGTGGTGTATCTGATTCTGACTATGGCCAGCCTCTCAGGCCAGATTGGAACCACTAAACCCATTGCTGTGGTTGAAAAGGCTGAACGAGAGTTTTATTGAATACAGGCATCAGCGCGTGGCTAGCTGTGTCAATTGTTCAGATACGAGAGTAACTCCGCTGCAGAGCGGATGCGATTCCCTACAGCTCCCATGTCACAGGCAAGGATAAGGTCGTTGAACCGAGAGCAGTTCAAAGTGATGGGGGTCCCTTGAGAGATTGAGCCCAGACGGTCTAGATAATTGGCGAGGCGAAGCAAACGGTATACGAGCAATGAAGGATTGCAGGTAATATGTAGGATCGACCAGGGTGGAATAAGCTGTTATCGTCGATATTGGCTCGCATCTGGGCGGCACTGCTAGCGAGACAAGCATTAATGCATGGCATGCACGACCCACTGTTTCCTATTGGACAAAGCTCCAGAACGTATCATAGGATTTGAAGCCGACATGATAGATACTGTACAATGTTTTCCGTGCATTTGTAGCCGAATTCAGCTCCTAAGAATTGTAGTAATACGAAGAGCCAACGGGAGCCTCAAAACGGGCATAATTCGGGAATGGGATTACCCAACAGTTACTGGTTTCCGTCCTACCTTCGGACTTCGAGTAAAGTGTTACTTTGGAACAGGGCTCTTAAGGCAAATTCAATTACTTGAATGCTAGCAACGCGAGAACATCTTCTTACTTGATATTAATGTACTCGAGAACTCCGTTAAAACTATGTACAGTCTGTTCGTGAATCATCATCTATGCATTCGAATTCAATCAACATGCACCCTGGCGCCACATCTTGACGCTCTTCACTGTGAGGCCCCGCGTATCTCCCTCGCCCCAGGTAGGGTACCAGGCGCCCTGTCCGTCCCAAAACTCTTTCATGGCCGTCGGGGACTGATCACCCCAAGGCTTGTTGCCAACACCGTCAGGGAAGAATCCATTGGTGCTGCCTACAGCAACATTGAGGATGAGGTAGAAGTCCTGATCGAAAGGTGTGTTTGGCTTGCCAGTCTGGGACCATGGATCGTACAGCGCAGAGTGATTGACAAGCGCTTTACCGAACTCGCCGCGATCCCACATGTTGCGGTATTTCGAGTTGAATCGAATGAAAAAGACTTGCTATTCCTCATGTCAGCAGAGCCACTCTGGGAGATCATTGAAATGCTGTTCGGAAAGTGACATACAAGTAGTCTGCTATCAATGTAGGTGTAGAGATAGTTTTCGCTCCACTGCGTACCTGAGTAAGTAACGGTTCAATATAGTGCGAATTTCTGGAACATACCTCAAGACCGAATGTATGGTAAGCTTCTGAATAGTCTGTTCTTCGAACTGTAAAGGTGTAAATAGTTGGCAAATATGGTTTTCATCTTGCGACTTACTTCGGTGCTGTCCCGAGGTCTTCCAGAACGCATCGGCTTCGGAAAGCGGCCCCCAGTGCAGGGCACTGATCAATGAATCTCTCCCTCCACTGGTGTAATCATCACCATTGTTACCTCTACTCTCGGCAATATCAATTTCTATACAGACGTTAGCGAGTAAAGATCGTGTAGGTTACCTATGAGCTTACCTCCGCTCTTCGGCCAGATTCCGTATTTGTCCTCCGAAGGCATCATCCAAATGGCAGGCCAGAGCCAATCTCCGCGCGGCATCTTTGCGACCACTTCAACCTTTCCATATGTGATCTGCTTCTTTCCCTTGGTGGATAGACGTGCACTTCGAACAGGGTTGACTATAGTCCCGGCAGTCTTGTTACTCCTAATGGAGCAATTGTCAATCCCCGTAGTAGTGCATTCACCAGAAGTGGTCAGATTGAGCACGAAGTTGTCAATCAGTTGCTCCTTCGTGATGTCGGTGCTTTCGATGGTCAAGGTCGGTACGATATGAAGACCCTCCGCATCCGTGTAGGCATTCTTGGGATCCTCTGTAGTCCATTCAAAACTTCCACTTCCAAATCCACCTCTCTGTATTTCGTAGCTCCAGGTATTCTTATCAATGGAAGCAAAATTATCTTCTAATATTAAACAATATTCGTGGTTTGTCACAGAGGCGTATGCGAAGTAGCAGATTACTGCACCAATCACGACGCCGATGCCCACCGATCCGTAAAAGATCGCTCTCTCCCATTTCAGTTTCGGGTGCTTGCTATCTGCCCATGGCTTTTCGTCGTACCTTTGCTGAAGTCAGTCAACCAGTACAAAGAAAAAAGTGAAAACATTGTGACCTTACTCTCCAGCTACTAGTCGAGCACTTTTGAATTTCCTTCGTCGCGCCGGGTATACTCCTAAATAATGTGTTAGGCAAGATGTCTCCATTATCTATTATAGAACGTACCATTTGCTCCCGAAGAAGGGAAGTACGATGATTGTCGACCGCTCGACGTGTGCCCGTCAACCGATGGTGCTCGACTCAATAAATTCGGAGTTGTGAAGGGATTCGTTGTTCCTGGAGTGTGCACTGAGGCAGCACGAGACATGGTGATGGCGCGACAATAGAATTCACCACTGGTGATTATCGTGAAATATTCTTGAATTGAAGTGATGAATTACATTAAGAATATAGTCTGGAAAGTGAAACTCAATTGGCAGATCGACGCTAAGCACCTTGCATGGGAAGCAATACGAGTACATCTTGAGGGAACCAGGTGTGTTGAGATAAGAGACGGCGCGGCCGTTCAACGCCTGGAACGCCTCCGCCGAATTGTGGTAGCATGACTGCATAAATGGCATATGAAAACGTCAATACGTAGCAGCCACGCGGTAAGAAAGTTAACAACACAAGTTAACGAGGTCATACACCCAATTGAGGTCATTCTTGCTCTGTGCCAATAAAGCAGAGAATGATGACATGGGACGCTGCACGCCCGCAGGGTGAACCGCTGCCACAGGGGGTCGTGCATGGATAGCGCACATCAGGATCAGCCAAAACATGCGGGCCGTTAAGAACAGGAAGCCGACAAGGCGAGTGGACAAGAGGCTATCTAGTGCCTGGACTCTTGTTCCTCGCCTTACTATGATTCAAGCCTGGACGTTGGGCCAGCCGATCGATGTGAGCGTACCAAGCCCCATTTTTTAAGAATGGAAACGTCTCGGATTGGGATAGCATTGCATTACAGAGTGACATTGAGCTGCTGGAGACAAGCAGGACTCAGTCCACCAAAGAGATAATAGATAAAGATACGAGTTTGGCTGTGGATGTGGATGTGGACGTGGACGTGAGGTTGGTAGTGGCGGGCGGGACGGGAGCGTTTCCATCTCAACACGAGTGAAGTTGGAGGGATTTAAAGAAAGGCGACATATGATTGGTCCCTCCGGCATGCCAGTACTGTTATGTAATGATATGCACGGATCCAACCCTATGCGCATTCAGAGTTGTGTTGCCTCCTGTGTTCCTCGTCAAACTTCCATTACCCAGGCCAGGCGCTCTCTCATAGTCGTTCGAACAATGGCATCTTCGAATTGGGCCTTTTCCACGAGGGACCATCTGTTTACGCCATAAGATCCTGCGGAAACATTGTTGGCATCGAGTATCGGCGATCGTCCCCTAAGAATTCATTACACCTTGTTTATCGACCATGGGCGTCCTTAGGCTATATCCAATCATCTTGCCCTCATGCAAAGGAGCCTGAAGACTATCTACCTATGCTACAGCGTATTGTTGCCAGTGATACAGCCAATGTCCGTATTTGGATTCGACGGTGCTGCCGATACATTTGGAGGCGTTTATTGTTGGCAAATGTCGCACATGCATGGCATTATCGAAACTTCGACCTCCTGTACCAGCAATATGGTTAACCCCAGTACGAGTGCACCTGCGGCCACGGCCATGCCTCCGTTTAGTTGTTCTCTCTGCACAGGCATTATGGGCCTGTCGACATTCGCTTCTTTTCTCCCATGCTCACCCGTAAACAGCTCGATTGTCAAACTGTGCTCGTGTCGTAGGCGATGGTGAATCTCTCAGTCTTGTTTACCATACGTTCAGAACCGTTTTGTTTCATTAGTTCATACAGCTCTTAGTATGGTTATTCCGTATTTCGAAAAGCTTGGATTCAGTGTCTTGATGGCTAATGCATTTATCTCAGTATGTAGCTTTGGGGCGGGAAGCACCCCGACCATTGTCCAGGCAGAAGTCGGCCCGTCCGCGTTTGCCAACAGCTTTATGTACCGGTAAAGGATGCAAGTCCAGATTAAGCACATGGAACCGCCAGTGTACGATTGCAGCTGCTCCGCTCGGTTCTTGGGCCTTCTTTTGGGCGAACCAAGTCCGTGCTGTCCCATCTCTGTGCAACATCTCGCAATCATCTGGACCAAAGGACGAAGTAGGCAATTGTGTGCTATACGTGGTCCATCCAGTATAACACTTTCGTAACGTGGGGGCACAATTGATGGTACTCCATTCCCATGATACATACGCCAATGTTGGTGGCACATTGTCCAAGGCACACCCAAGTGAATGTAATGTCTGATCACGATCCTTGGCTGTGTTGATATCTCTTTCCAAATGACTCTCGCTACCATTAGCTGCATAACATCGCATTTCTAGAACTCCTTTGCTCGCAATTGAGACCGTAAATAAGCGGACTGCTGATCGAATCGAGACATGCAGTCCTCTATACGGAGCCGCCAGTTTCCTCCTATCGGATTCCATATGCGATTCGACGAGACTCGACCACAGAATCCCAATAAAACAGAGCGTTAAGACTAGCAGCCTCAGCCCGAGTCAGGCAATCAGCTCTGATGCAGTTTCAACCCACATGCTTATCGGATTGAGATAGATGCATTTGGCCTATCAGAACCTTGTTCGATTGGTGTTGTCAGCTTAACCCGAATACAGCAGCCCTGAACGGCACGAATGATCTGACGGCATATGCTGCAAGCCAGGGTCTTTATATCCGGAAAGCATTCGCTCCATACTTTGGAGCCAACAACGCGAGCCGGCATATCTCTTGCATTTGCTTCTCTATTCTTCTAACAATTACATCCCCATAGGAAGTATTTGTTTGAAGTCCTCTGGAGGTCACGATGATGACCTCGAGTGATGCAAATTCCTCGCGAGGTGCTTCGCGAGGAGAAAATGGAGCTGCCATCAATGCTCCGCTTTCGCATCTCAACAAGCGGGAAAGTAGTGCTGTCTCTAGCATTGTGTCAAATCGAACGAACAATGATCGGCACGATATTGTATGCGACGCTTCAGAAAGTTTGTTTGAATCATAAGCTTACCTCTCAGTAGATGGTACGGTTTCTGCACAAAAGGTGTTCGCAAGCAAAATGGCTAGAGCTTTCCGAAGACGAGTATGGGGCCATTGATGGCAGTGAAGCAAACCTTGGTGTAATGTTACGGCGGACGGACGGCATATACACAGCTGAACCTCTTTTCCTGAACCGAGTAAGTATTGTCAATCATTCCAAAGCGACTTACCTCGGGCATCCAGTACTTGCATCGGATTGACCATGTTTCTCATTCAAGTCCATGTGTTCATTTTGCATATTCAACAATGCTGACCTTCATTCCCATGACAGGACCTCGTCGCCGCGATCGAAAGACTTGGAGCAGCCGTTGCTTTTACCATGTCTTCAGATATAACACATGCGCTCCTCCAACAGCTCACACCTCTTCAAAGGGAGCTCACACTGGACCCACGCGGATTCGTGCTACCGATCGTCAGCTCAGTGAGGGACATCGCCACGCCAAAGTCATCAGTGACGCGGGACTCATACGTGTGTCTGTGTAAAGAAGAGAGACTCGTGTTAGTCTGGGGAGACACCGTACCGAGCATACTTGCGCATGGTACAGACATCGAGACTAAGCTACTTGGACTCGTCTGGGGATCTCATATTCCTTCGCACCAGTCTATCTCTCCAATCCCACCGGCTACACAGTATAACTCTCAGCAGACAAGCGCACATGGTCAGACAAGATCTTCCATGTTCCCCATCTCGAGTCCTCTCGATTCTGAGATGAGTGAGAAGCTTGGTGTCATTGATCGTGCGATAGAGGTCGAAGAGATGGGCGACAAGGCATACGACCCTGAGAAAGAAGCGGACCTCCCTGAGCGAAAGTTCTTATTGGTACATGCCGTGACCATTGGAATCGCGATGGTAAACATGTGTGTCGCCATCTGCTTTTACAACATACTGACCGGATCCAGGTCCTTGTCATCGTAGTTGAAATGGCCTGTTTGGCAAAGGTTTGTGGTTTCCAACCAATTTGGGTCCTTTAGCTGACGCAACATAGCTCATAACAGAGTATCGTCTGGATGGAAAGATGATTCGTTTTGCCTTGGTAAGTTTGATCCCTTCTGTCGTGATCCCGTAGCGAGAGCCAGTGGGTCCAGGGTGCCCAACCGGGGCTCTTTATCTTGCCATCATGCATCTAACAACAATTTACAAATTATACTTCCTTTTGAATTTCTACTGATGATGTTGATTTTAGGTCGCGACCATCCCACTTTTCGCTTCTTTTTCCCTAGTAAGTCTGCCAATCACCGTTTATTTGTCGTCGATCGTGACTGTTCTGGATCGTGGTGGCTGGCTGAAAACGCCACCATGTTCAGAGAGCATCCAGTGATTGAATTTCCCCAATACGTTATTGGAAACGAAGCTAATATTATGAAATTGTAGTTTTACTTTATTGTTATAGGTTTGTTCAAGGATTCTGAAACCTACAATGTGGCTATACTGATAGGAGATAGGTGGTTCTCTTGGGCAGCTTTTCGGTCCACTTTCTGCATTACAGGACAATAGCATTTATTATTCAGGCGAGTCATGCTGTGTTTGACACTGTGATTGAATGCTAATGGAAAACAGGCAAAGCCCCGAAACGAGGCCGCCACTCCAAATATGAGTTGCCGCACGTCACCATCCAGATGCCCGTTTACAAAGAAGGGTTGAAGGGTGTTGTCATTCCAACAGTTACCTCCCTTCTTGCGGCCGTTAAGTACTATGAAGAACAAGGCGGTACGGCGAGCATTTTCGTCAACGAAGATGGTATGCAATGTGTTTCGCCAGAGATGCAGGAAGCGCGAAAGGCCTTCTACGAGCTGAACAATATTGGTTGGGTCGCACGGCCGAAACACAATGAACCGAAGAAGAAATCTTCTGGGGGCCTGTTCTCCCGGAAGAAGGCCGCGGATAGCGAGGCCGCAGAAGTGGAAGACACTAATTACTTCACTCGTCGCGGACACTTCAAGAAGGCTTCTAACATGAACTACTGCCTTAACTTCAGCCTCAGGGTAGAGGACGAGCTGTTGAGATTGATCAGCGAAGAGTGCGCCCGAAGAGGGTGCACTCAAGATGATCTCACAATTGAAGATGAGGATGCTCTGTATCAGCAGGCTCGTGGAAATGAGCTTGAGAAGGATGAAGGTCGCACATGGGCAGCAGGAAACATCCGTGTGGGTGAAATCATTCTAATCGTTGATTCCGACACCCGTGTTCCTGAGGATTGCTTACTTTTTGGTGCACTCGAGATGCATGAAAGTCCAGAGGTTGCTCTTTTGCAGCACGCGTCTGGAATTATGCAGGTATGTTCCGCTCCATTCTAATGTCGAACTCCGCTAATTGAATCTGCACAGGTGGTCAATAACACCTTCGAGAACGGTATCACGTACTTCACCGATCTAGTGTACACATCTATCCAATATGCTGTCGGCAACGGCGATTGTGCCCCCTTCGTCGGCCACAACACATTCATCAGATGGAAAGCGATTCAGAGCATTGCATTTGAAGAGGATGGACAAACCAAGTTCTGGTCTGAGGATCACGTGTCTGAGGACTTCGATGTCAGTCTTCGTCTGCAGATCAATAAGTTCGTCGTTCGATTGGCAACATACCACAATGGAGGGTTCAAAGAAGGTGTGTCATTGACTGTCTACGACGAGCTAGCTCGTTGGGAGAAGTACGCATACGGCTGCAATGAACTCGTGTTCCACCCGCTGGTTAAGTGGCCTAGGAAAGGACCCATAACGCCCTTGTGAGTTGATCGATGTTCCTCTTTCCTTTGAGTCCCCTAACCTCTCGAATTTAGATTCCGAAAGTTTCTCCTGAGCCCAATTAAGGTAACATCCAAGATGACCATCCTTGCGTACATCGGCACCTACTATGCCATCGCTTCAGCAATCCCCCTCACGCTTGCCAACTACATTCTTGTAGGCTGGTTCAACGACGACGTCGATCAATTCTACATCACAAGCTGGAAGATCTTTGTTGGCATGGCCGTGGTCTTCAACGTCCTAAGCCCCCTCGCATACGCCATGTTGCGACATCGACTGGGCCAAAAGACCTTCTTTTGGTCATTGGTTGAAACAATCAAATGGATGCCTTTCTTCTTGCTCTTCTTCGGTGGAATCTCCTTCCATCTCCTCAAGGCCATCTTCTGCCACTTCTTCAGCGTGAACATCTCGTGGACGGCCACGGCGAAGGAACTGACAGAGTCGGGCTTCAGGGTTGGTCTGGATCGAATTGTCAAGGACTTCAAGTATATGTACTTGTTCCTTGCGCCTATCATCGGGGGTATGATCTACTGTGCTCTCTTCGCGCCTAGAGGGTGGTTGATCAGCGATTTTGCGGCTATAGTGCCGTTGGCTAATCAGGTTGGATGCCACGCGTTGCTGCCTGTAAGTGAACTTGAATCCTCCGGTCTTTGGACATCACGCTGACCAAATACAGTTTGCGCTCGGTCTCTTCTGAGTGATTTTACTTTCCTCATCCTCCGACAATGTCTCTCAAGTCTCACGGCTGTTTTTACCAGTCAACCTCAATAACCTCTTGTTCATTCGCCAACAACACCGAAATAGTTGTATTTTAGCACTCCTTACCAGCATAGCCGACGGACAGGACTTTTGGAAATCATCATTTGATAGATCATGATTGCATTTCTCTATAATTTGATCTCTCAATGTCGATATATTTTGTAAAGCTGCGCATATGGGTAGGTACACAAGTGCAGTGCAGAGTATAATGTGGTTGGGAGATATTGGGACAATTTAAAGAATGGGGTTAATTACACTGGTACAAGTATTTTGCTTGCCGGTATGCCGATATGATTATTTTCACAAAGTAGTACTTTAATTTCATGATACATTTTTACGTTTCTTAAGTTGTGATACTCAAGTAAAAATAGGTAAGATCTTCTACCTACGAAACGGGGGTATAGAGCGATTCACATGAAGCTCCATTGCTTCTGTCCTTACTTCCTTTTTCAAAGCACGAGCAGGTGATTCAAGGCGATTACCAAAGAAAACGTCAGCGAATCTCGACGATTTTGACTTTCTTAACTTCTCCTCCCTCACTCCGAATTCTGCGACTCGACGTATCCCCTGAATCCCATCAGACCCAACCAAACGGCCTCCTCCAACCTGATAGTTCTGCTCCCTTGATTCGGCACCAAGTTCACCCACGCGTCGAACACTGTGTGTGCCGTCTCCTTGGTCAGGCCTTTCGATCTAAACTCGGGGTCGTTGGCGACGGCGGGCTCAAGGCCAGTCACGCCGCCGAATACGAGGAGGAGGTGCTTGAACTGAGAGGGGACTTTGTTGGGTCCGCCTGCGGAGGCGGATGATGACGTTCGTCGTGAGCTCTTTCCCGGCTTAGTGGCATCGGGCAGAACTTGAGAGAGCGGGACGCCGCGTTCGCTCGTCCCAATCACGTAGTCGTAACCACCTTCGAACGGGCACTCCACCAGGACGTTAGAGAGGCTATCTACGAGCCTCGGCTGGTATCCCCAATAGTACCCAGCTTCTTCGCGCGGAAGGCTGGCCGCCACGGGTTGAGGCTCCAACGCCGCGATCTGTTTTTCTGACAAGTGCGGCCACGATGGTGGCGGATCGGCAGTGTTGAACTTGATCGTGACGCGCTGGCCTGGCGGTATCTTCATGTCCAATCTGACAGGATATGAGAGACCACATTCCACGAGCGACGACGAATCTCCACTTGCGCCCCTCTTCCCTCCCGCATACTGCTGGGGGTCCAACGCCACCCCTTCACGATACTGCATCCATTCCTCCTTTTTCATATGATGCGGCATGTCCAGCGTCGGCATCTTGCCCGCGCCCTTGAGATTCGCATGCTGCGGGAACAGCGCCTGGCGCAAGTGCCCCGGACACTCCAGGTAGCTGAGCACGTGGTACAGGAACTGATCCGGGTTGTCCCAGGCCTCGTTATCTTCCGTAACCTCCTGCAGCACCTCCTTCTTCGTCTTCTTCTTCGCGTTCTTCCCCTTGCCCTTGGCCGCCCACTGCAGGTTCGGCGGCACCGTCTCCGGCTCGTCGTCAAAGATTACGATCTCGTCCACGCAAAAGACGGCGGCGGCGCGGGCGATGCGTGCTGCGAGGTCCGTCTTCTGGTCGAAGTTCTTCGTGTTCGCAATGAAGCTGCCGGGGAGCGCGATCGACAGTGTCCAGTCTCTGCCACCCGCGGGTTTGTAGACGGCGGATGGCCGTGTGGTATCTAGCTCGCCATCCTCTTCTTCTCCTTCTTCTGGACGCGAGATTTTCTGGCGCTTCGATGACGACGGTTCATGGTCGGCGGAGGCATCGGGGTTACGTTCGGGATGGTGGACAACGACCGAGGGTTGCTTTCTTTTCTTTGCGATGTGTTAGCTGGGTTACGAAGAACAATTCACGTGGTATTTGACTATAGCAAGTAGAAACGTACCTTAGCCTTATCAAAAACACCGCTAGATTTCGCCATTGTTTACGTTTTCATGAAATTAAAGAGAAAGAAGGAAAAATTGGGTATGGAGGCTGTTGACTTGGAAGAAAGCAAAGATTTCCCCGCGACAGATCAAGCTTCCCACACGCGCGGTTAGACGCAACTAAACGCAAACTTCCTTAAGCGACTTGGATTGCGCGTGGAGGCTGAAGGATCCCTGCCTGGCCTGTCACCTCCGAGCATTAGATTAACAAACTGTTCAGGCAACCATGATCCTTCGAACGACTTACGCGCCTCTTCTTCTCACATACGCCGATAAGAGGAAAAGGCCACCGAACAAACCCTCTCATCCGTTCACGACAACAAAAAGGGTAGCTTGAAGAATCGATCATCATCATGTCCCAAGAAAAGTAAGTAACCCCCAAGCTCCGCTCCGCTCCCCCCTTGCATGTAGCACCCGAGACGAGTCAACCAACTAACCACCAACAGCAAAACCGTGCTCCGCAGCACCACCGACACAATCTTCACCTTCGTCGCCCTCTACTTCACCACCCTCTTCAGCCTCGACACATGGAACGCAGCACGAGGCTCCCCGTACCGCGCCCCGGGAACATCCACCTACTTCCGTCCCGCGGCGGGCAACCCCTCCGCCGATAGCTACCAAGGCCAAATGTACAACGGTGGTAGGAACGGCGGCGGCGCCCGCAGGAGGGATATCGGAAGGGTGCCGACGGCTAGGGACTCGCGGCCGCCGTTGAGGATGGGCGGGACTGCGGCTTGCGGCGCGTGCATGTCTTGAATGATGGGCTTGAACGGCGATGGGAAGGGATTGAGTCAGATCGATATGTCGAGGTTGTCTGGGTTCTAGTGCGACCGGAAAGGGGTCCCTTGGGGGAAGCTTCTAGGCGGAAGGCGTCACCTGAAGATGCATCCTCTTTTCTTCTTTTGGAATTGCGTTTCAGTGGTTTGGAGAGGAGGGTGCTAGTATATCTATTGTGTGATGGTTTGATCTGATGAAGATTCGAGCCTTTTTTCCCTTTGAACAACACCATGAGATTTGTATTCATATTGCTTGGTTTTCTAAGCGTACTCGATAACCTAGCTTTAGGTGATACGCCTGCAGAGGGGACGTCATCATGAAATGGTAATCTGGAAGTTTCTCTACGTCCGATCTCACAATTATCTACGTGAGTGACTGTGAAGTCGATGAACGGAACCGCACATTTTGGAGTGTAGAAAACGCAATCAAGTGTAGCTTCATCAAATACATAAATTAACATGATAGATGCGGCGTTGAGGCCCTTTTATCTACATAGCAGCCGTCTTGAAAATCGACATGCGTGAAGAGTCATGACTAAATGTGCCACCAAAAAAATTATAAATGATCTACGTTCGATGAACGCAATTAGGACGTTCCGCTATAGCGTCTTGGTTTCCTCGACAGCATGTGCCCCTACCACCTCGTTTCTTTTGGCTGCCCTCTTCTTCAGGACATTCTCAATGAAGGCCTCTCCGGCCTTGTAACTGGAGCGTACGAGTGGTCCAGACGCACAGTAGAGGAAGCCCATGTCCAAGGCTCGCTGGCGCCACATCTCGAACGCATCAGGGGTGACGTATTTCTCAACTGCCATGTGTCGCTTTGTTGGACGCATGTATTGCCCGAATGTGACGACATCTACATTGTTCTTTCTCAATTCTAAATATCAAGTCAGCAAATGGAAAAAAGCATTTCTAGTGAACAATTAAGAATGCTCACCTCGCATAGCATGATAGATCTGCTCATCAGTCTCTCCCAAACCCAACATCACGCTGGTCTTAGTAATGACGTCGGGATTGGCTTCCTTGGCCGTGCGGAGGACTTCCAAACTCTGTCGGAATTTGGCCCTGCGATCTCGAACGAAAGGTGTGAGCTCCTCCACCGTCTCGATGTTGTGCGCATACACATCCAGTCCACTCGTTGCCACCAACTTCACCATCTCCAAGTCGCCCGCGTAGTCTCCCGTCAATGCCTCTACAAGCATAGTAGGTGCCTTCTGCTTGATTTTCATGATTGTCTCCGCGAAATGATGTGCACCGCCGTCTGCAAGGTCATCGCGGTCAACAGATGTAAGCACAACATAACCAAGACCCCATCTCTTCAATGCTTCTGCTGTGTTCTCCGGCTCGTGTGGATCTAGTGGCGGGGGCTTCCTCGATGTCTTCACGGAGCAAAATCGGCATCCTCTGGTGCATGTGTCGCCCATAAGCATGATGGTCGCTGTTGCCGCACTCTTAGAGCTACCGCCCCAGCAATCCGAAATGTTCGGACATCGTGCCTCTTCGCAGACTGTGTGCAGATTGAGGCCCCGCAAGTCGTTCTTGATCTTCTTGAAGTTCTGGTTTACCGGTATCGGCGTCTTCAGCCACTCGGGCAATCTTGTGATGGTTTTCTTCTTGCCCTCAGGTCCGACTTGGGCGGTGCGAATTTCGTATGCTTCCGAGGCTGCCAGTGGCTCATCCGGCGATACGAAGTCAGAAAATGAAGGCCCGGCGTTCAACTTGTCCTGAAACTTTGTTGACGGTCGTGCTGGTTTCGAGGCTTGCGGGTTTGGAGTGGAATCTATGGTGGTGGCGAAAGTCCGAACGCATCGCGATGATGGCCTGCTCGCTCGGGGGATCGACTGCAACGTCGACGATGCCAGCACACATCCTGAACGAGAAATCGAGCCTGCCATGGTGGAATTGGAGCAAAAGAAGGCGATGGATGAGTGTTGAGGGACAAAACTTGCCTTCGACCTTCAATAGCCGTCGCTGCTTACCTAGCCAAATTCGGAAATATTTTGCCAAGCATAATCGGGGATACATGTTTGGTCTGTTTGAACACGCCCACATTTACCTGCATCCCTGCATCGCCGGAGGACAACCACACGTAGGCCAATTCACGACTTCTCAACCCTCCGAGCACCCAAGCGCAATTCCCTCGAATCGGTCCCCCCCCTTGACTTCAGAGTTTTTCACGATTATTGCCATTGCACACGACCGAGCCCGCGGTTACCACTCCCCCACTCGAGAGGACACGTTTGGCGGAGAGCTAGGAGAGGGACATCGAATTATATCTCCAGCAACGCTCGTTGCGAAGCTGGCAGCACAACAACAAGATGGACAAGAAACATGAGGATGTCGCCATGGTGGCGCAGATTGACAAGACTTCTGTCTTCCAGGAGGGTATGCTACATGCACTCTTGGGTGGTTCCTGGCGGGGAACTTGGGGAGAGATGCGGTGGGAGAGAATATACAGCTGACACCGTACACAGCACGAGTCTTCAATCAGAGCCCCATATCTCCACGGAAATGCAGAGTTGTATGTTCAACAATCAAGCATGTTCTGATGATTGTATTTCCTCTGACGCTTGCCAGATTTTGACCAAACTTGCGCTCTTGCTCTTCACCGGTGAGAGCTGGGGAAGGCAAGAGGCCACAACACTTTTCTTCGGAAGTATGTGAGCACCAGCTCTGCGCATTCATACAAGCACTAACCTCTACAAGTTTCAAAACTCTTCCAGAATAAGGATGCCTCCCTTCGACAGATGGTCTATCTGGTCATCAAGGAGCTCGCTAGCTCCGCCGACGACGTTATCATGGTCACTTCTTCCATAATGAAGGATACGTCAGTTGGAAGCGATGTTGTCTTTCGACCCAACGCCATTCGCGCCCTTTGCCGTGTCATCGATGCTTCGACCGTACAAGCAATTGAGCGTCTTGTCAAGACTTGTATCGTAGACAAGAATCCCTCGGTCGCCTCCGCCGCGCTGGTCTCCTCGTACCATCTCCTTCCCGTAGCCAAGGACGTTGTCAGGAGGTGGCAGTCTGAGGCTGCCGAGGCCGCATCGGGTAGCAAATCTGGAGGTGGATTTTTGGGTGGATTTGGAGGAGGCTCGCAATCCGCACTGCAGGCTGGTACCAACTATATGACACAGTATCACGCTATTGGACTCCTTTATCAAATGCGATCCGGCGACAGGATGAGCTTGGTCAAGATGGTCCAACAATACTCGGCAGCCGGTGTCGTTAAGAGCCCTGCGGCCACTGTCTTGCTCGTGCGCTTGGCCGCCAAACTCGCCGAAGAGGACCCCAACCTGAGAAGGCCCATGATGCAACTGCTTGATGGATGGTTGCGACACAAGTCTGAGATGGTCAACTTTGAAGCCGCCAAGGCCATTTGCGACATGAGGGATGTTACTGATGCCGAGCTTGTTCAAGCAGTCCATGTCCTCCAGCTATTCCTCACCTCACCTCGCGCCGTTACCAAGTTCGCTGCCTTGAGGATATTGTCATCCATGGCCTCTTTCAAGCCCGATGCTGTTCGATCTTGCAACCAGGATATTGAGGCATTGATCAGCAACGCGAACCGCAGCATTGCGACTTTCGCAATTACCACACTGCTGAAGACTGGTAACGAATCATCCGTGGATAGGTTGATGAAGCAAATTACCGGCTTCATGGCTGAGATCACAGACGAGTTCAAGGTTACCATTGTTGAGGCTGTCCGGACGTTGGCATTGAAGTTCAAGGCTAAGCAGGCTGGTTTCCTCACTTTCTTGAGTGGAATTTTGCGCGACGAGGGTGGTTACGAGTTTAAGCGCTCTGTTGTTGAGGCCATCATGGACTTGATTCGATTCGTACCGGAAGCCAAGGAAGACGCCCTCGCTACGCTCTGCGAATTTATCGAAGACTGTGAATTCACAAAACTCGCTGTTCGTATCCTCTTCGTTCTAGGAAGGGAAGGACCTTCAACACCACACCCAACCAAGTACATCCGATACATCTACAATCGCGTTGTTCTCGAGAATGCCGTAGTCCGAGCTGCTGCGACATCTGCATTGGCTAAGTTTGGTGTTGGGTAAGTTCAATTGGATATCCCACCACTCACAAGTCTAATTATTTCCAGACAAAAGGACCCCGAAATCAAGAAGTCCGTACACGTCCTTCTCACACGCTGCCTAGACGATGTCGATGACGAGGTCCGTGATCGTGCTGCCTTGAATCTGCGTTTGATGGACCAGGATGACGATTTGGCACTGAGCTTCATCCGAAGCGGTATGTATCAGCTCTTATTTCTCTGTATTCATGCTAAACCTTCCAGACTCCATGTTCTCTCTCCCCGTTTTGGAACACCAGCTCGCAATGTATGTCAGTTCCGATTCACGAGATACCTTCGAGCAAGCTTTCGACATTTCAAAGATCCCCACTGTCTCCAGAGAGCAGGCAGACGCAGAAGACATCAAGAAGAAGACCGCTTCCACAACACCCACCATCAAGGCGCCAAGTGCTGGTCCTAAGGCTACATCAAGATCAGGAGCCGATGCTGCTGCTTCGGCGACTGCTGCCGCCCAGAAATACGCCACGGAACTCCAGAAGATCCCCGAGTTGGCAGCATATGGCGGTGTCCTCAAATCAAGTGGACCCGTCGAACTCACCGAGTCCGAGACCGAATACGTCGTTTCCGCTATCAAGCATATCTTCAAGGACCACATTGTCATCCAGTACGAGATCAAGAACACCCTGCCCGATACTGTTCTGTTGGACGCCCAAGTTGTCGTAACTCCCGAGGACGACGGCGATGTCCAGCTCGAGGAGGAGTTTATCATCCCCGCACCCAAGCTTGCCACAAATGAGCCAGGCACTGTCTATGTTTCCTTCAAGCGCCTCGAAACCGAATCGCAATTTATTGCCACTTCGTTCACCAATGTGCTCAAATTCGTCAGCAAGGAGATTGACCCAAGCACCAATGAGCCTGAAGATGGCGATGGTTACGAGGACGAGTACCCAGTCGAAGACCTCGAGCTCAACGGCTCCGACTACGTCGTTCCAGCTTACGCTGGAAGCTTCGACAATGTTTGGGAGCAGTCAAATGGCGATTCGGCCGTCGAAACCCTGCAGCTCAGCGAGGTCAAGAGCATAGCCGGTAAGATGCTACGTTCCCCCAAAATGTTTGAACCATCGCTAACAAATATTATAGACGCAACCGAGCAACTTATCAAGACACTTTCTCTTCAACCCCTCGATGGCACAGATGTCGCCCTTTCCACCTCCACTCATACACTCAAGTTGTATGGCAAGACAATCACTGGTGGAAAGGTTGCAGCATCAGTACGGATGGCATACAGCGCCAAGACTGGCGTGACTATGAAGATTGACGTGAGGAGTGAGGAAGAGGGCGTGGCAGCTTTGATTGTTGGTAGCGTAGCATAATCTTGATGGCCCTCCTGTTTTGAGAGAGCAGTACATGGTTGTTATCATTGTTTAACTGGTTGAAAAGCGGACATGAGATAGAGAGATATGCAATATTAAGCATGCAATTGTTCAATCCATTTCCCTTCTATGCGACTTTCCTACCACATAAGCACTCTTCGCAGGTAAGCGCATTCCAATTTCCCGGGACTCACTCGAAACCATGGGACGGCAGCTGGCCTCTACCCAACCCGCCCTTTCCGTCCAGTCCGTCCAAAAGCAGGGCCACTATCCATGCTCGGAGAATTGCTTTCTACTCCTTATGATAGTTGTACATCCCGTTTGCTACCAAGTGGCCACAGAAATGCGAGCCTTGATACTCCTTCCATACCTTGTCGCTGTTTCCAACCCCACCGAAGCAAGACTACTCTGCGGTTGCCAATGTGGTCTACACAGAGGCAGTGTTCTTGTGAGAGTAGTAGCAATCCAAGCATCTCACAGCTAGCAAGTTGTCCGAGCGATTCCTCTAGAATATTTGACTCGACTGTAGTGCGTTATTGGGGCTTTTGAAAAACCCACCCCAGTCTCCATGATTATCAGCGTCGACTTGATCCGGATATCCTGCAAACAGGCAAAACCTTCTTTAACGGCCATGCTCCAGGAACTATGACGATGATCCACCAAACCATTTCCGCCTTGTCTCCTTTGGTGCCTCTTCTGGCGTTCCGTCGCCCATCTCCACGACACCTGGTCTTGCGAAGTGATACTCGTGCTCCAGCTCGACCGCGCCTGCCGCTGGCTCCTTGAATCCTGAATCATAGCTAGCTCCATTCTGTGGCTGTCCATACTGATATTGACCATGCTGACCATGCTGACCGTACTGTTGCTGCTGGTCGTACTGCTGCTGACCAAACTGGGGCTGTTGGAGTAATGGGCTTGGACCCGGCGCATATCCTGTATGTACGGGTTGCTGATGGGACACTTGCCCTGGAATGTATCCTTGCTGGCTCTGAAATATCGAACTTGACCCATTTGGCGGCACATAAGCCGTCGAAGTCTGCATCTGCGCCGAGGCCGGTTGCGCAACAATCGTTGTTGCGTGTTTCCTTCCCTTCCTCTTCCCTGCACACCATAAAAAGATTCCTATGCCGATTATGAGGCCAACAGCGAGCAGAACCCCGACGGCAATTCCAACCTTCGCGCCAGTGGACATTCCGCCACCGCCACCACTTGAAGTATTGCTTGTTTTGGTCGTGCGTCCCCCTGCGGCTGTCGCGGTTGACGGCGCGGTGGTTGTGCCCGGCAATGCATACGATGGAAGCGAGAGGGAGTATTGCGCCAGAATTGAAGAGTACTCATTGGGATCGTATGAGTACTGTGCTAGTAGCGACGAATAGACATTAGGGTCGTATGAGTAGCTGCTCAGTCCATACATGGACGAGATGTCCGCGAGGAGGTTTGAGAAACTCTGCGCATCGAACGAGAAGCTGCTTGGTGATACAAACGATGGAATCGCTGGAGGAGGTGTAATTTGAGGTGGTATTGGTGCCGATTGCGGTGCCATGTTGAGTTTACGGAATAGAGCACTTTGTTCGTTTGGATTAACAGTGGTTCATATGTTTTTGACGCGTGGGGAGACGAGACGAGGAAATCGCAAAGAACGGTTTATCAGTTGGGAACGACCACAAGCGCTTAGAGTACAGTATGTTCCTCTTCAATGAAATATTCGAGCAGTCGTTACTTTGGGCGTTATCGTACTCTTAGAACAGCGTAAATTTAATCCTCCTGTACGTACGTGTATGAGCGAGGAACGACGATGAAGGTAAGTCGAATCCACACCACGAGGGGCAGCCGTTGAGTCCGGATGTCTCCATAGTCTCAGCCTCACCCAGCCCCGTGAGGAGAGTACCTCTTCATCGCGCTATTGATGTAACCTGAATCGAAACTGAACCTTGAAGTCATAAGCCAATGGTTGTGCTTCGTTAGCGAGATGGCGTTCTAGATACGGCCAGGTCAAGCCAATATTGGCGACGCTCGTCAAGCATGTTGTTTGAGATTGGCACTTATGAACGGGTCCTTCTTGATAAACATGTTCAAACTTAAAGTTCGATGTCGAGATTGAATGTACTGTGTAAGCGTCCAAAGCGGAAAGCAACTCTCGCTGCATTTGTGCAAATTGAATGCTTTGATTGCTTTAAAGTTCGGATCTATTTTCGGCACATTAACACTCAAACTCTTAGTGGCATAACGCAAAACAAGCATATATAGAGATGAATACCCCAAACCCTCTTGACACAGCTCCATCTTGGTCTTAATTACATTTTCAGAGATTTAATATGTCGAATGAATGGATTTTCTTCCACGTGCCAGTGGCAACGAAACTCCCTAACTTGGCAGTTATGTAAGCTCACCAAGCTTTGGCTAGAGCCATAAAACAAACATGTCGCTACTCCATCAACACCCAACAGCAGACTAAGGCCACAGCATAGTAGAATTATCCAACTGTTGGCAAGCAGATGATAACCGTTGGTTACTAGTAAATACTACGATTATTCACCAGCACGTGGCCGGATCTTGGTTGAACTCATTCAACTAACAAAATCAAGGCAACAGTAATCATAAATGACACTTGTTCCGCGTCTGGGGAAGTTGTACATCACAGATACTTTTCGGACCAACTGCGCGCTTGAAAGGACAGGGAATCGCTATACCATCAGTCAATCCAGATGAGTGACATTTGAGAGTCGTTAACTTCATGGTGCATTCGAAAAGTCATGTTTGGGCAGAATTATGGACTGGATGCGCTTCTCAAGCGCCCGCAACCAAGCAGATGGCAGCAGTTCATCAAGGAACCATGTCTGTACCTAGCAACTCTAATGTATAGATGCCGTCAAGTTATCAACATCGACCCTATCAACCCTATCACCATCGTCAATATCTCAGATACTCACAACTACCAGCCACCTGATGTTCCGCATGGCGAGATCCTGATCCACGCTGGAGATTTGACACAAAATGGCACCTATGAAGAAGTACAGACGACCATTGATTGGCTTCAAACACTACCACATCCCCACAAGATTGTAGTCGCAGGAAACCACGATACCTTTCTGGACCACAGTAAGCGTCCAGCAAACATGGTCGCCTCGAGCGCATCTATTCAGTGGGGGAATATCGTCTACCTAGACTCGGAATCAACAACCATATCCTGCGAGAACGGCCGTGAACTCAAAATCTACGGTTGCCCCCTTACCCCGCGCCATGGCAACTGGGCGTTCCAGTATCCACGCACGAGGGACACATGGCACTCCACTGTTCCCACGGACACAGACATCCTCATCACGCATGGTCCACCCAAAGGCCATCTCGATTTGAACACCTTGGGATGTCAGTTTCTGCTTGATGAGCTGTGGCGTACGAAGCCTATGCTGCACGTATTTGGGCATGTCCATGCGGGGCACGGAACGGAACATATTCAGTTCGATGGGCTTCAGAAAGCCTACGAAAACACAGTTGCAGACCGAGGGGGGATTCGTAACCTCGGACATGTGCTTGTTGAATTTGTTCTTAATTATTTCACGCCTCGGAAGGAATCGACGGCTCTTTTGGTCAATGCGGCCATGATCGGAGGTCTTCGGGACGAATACAGACGACGCCCGATAGTTGTGCATATTTGATGTTGACTAGATGGATAGGAGACATTCAATGGGCCAGTACAGACATATTGATCAGCACTCCATTCATATCCGAACACCGAAACGCATGTTACACGAAGAGGGAATCTGATATGATCACCTCCCTAGCTAGTAGGCTCAATCCAATGGTTGAATGGTTCTTGAACACCAATATACATTGAATGACTGATACTCTGGCACCCACTCATCAGATGCACTATCATGAGTCATCGATAAAGAAAGAATTTGTCTCCTTCCCAATGATGAAATAGCTTTGAAAAGGGAGTGAAATTCTATTTCGTGACACCTGGGGTCTAGACTGAATCATTTACTTGCCAAAGTCACAACTATGCCATGTGGGGGAATTCTCGTAGTAAAGCCGAATATTGTAAACAGCCTCACCGCTAATTTAGATAGTACCTTGTTGTTTTGTGGAGATACCAAAACCCTCGTGACGGAACTTCCATTGCATGTGGTCGTTCTATTGGTGCATACATTTTGATATGTGCCTGTGTATTGGCCAACGCTTTGTACATATACGATCCAATGCCGGTGATCTAGGCCACATTGACTGGCCTTGCAAAAAGTCTCTGTCACTCTTTCGCCTTGCCATCGTTGGTCCGAGTACTGATCCGGGGTTTCTTCGCTGAACTTGAAGAGGCGTGACACTAATGTCGTAACAGCAATTCTATCCAACTGATTTGCATCTCACTCGAACATCAATATGTGGAATTTTTAATCTCTAGGCACCTATGCTATTATGATGTTGTCTTGTTGACACACAATCCCACCTCTATTCGTTTCTTTTACTCAACCACAGAAACAGTATTGTGTGCAGTTGTAGCGACGTATTTCGTTATAGACTAGCATTGCCTCAACATAGTATCATAATCCGGTGGAGGTGATATTTCGTTACTGGAGATCTCGTACAAGAGACACTCGGCATCGCACAACTTGAGGATGACTGAAGTCTTAGAATCTGTATTGACTGCTCACCAAGCATAGCCCTGGCATGAGTAACACTCAGCGTTCATGCTTGTACCACTCCCAAGGCCAGATGACACAACTCCGGTCAACACCAGATAGACTCGGGGGATAGTGCACAATTCCGTTTTGGACAAAACAGAGAGAATGTCCAGAAGGTCCGAAGAGGTGTTGCAGTTATGCATACTCATGTTCTTGTGGGATCCTGTCGGCACGCAACCTTTGTTCCGTTTTCTTTGGAGTTCATCTTGCAGGAGGCTTGCCTTGGCTGCTCATGATAGCCAGGACGGTGATGTTCTCGAAGGGAATCCGGTGCGGCACCGCGACTAGTGTTTGGGCCATGGCGCCCGTGGCAGGTAGAGGACACGATCCTTTAGTCCGCATAGGAGAAAAAAGGTACGCGAGATTGCCAGATGTAAGCGAAAGTGCATATCCAAAGGCGTCGTGGCTTTCTAAAATACTGTGTTGAAAGGGCTTACAGTCACGGTCGGTGTTATTGCGCATATATACGGCCATGGGGGGATCTAACCCGTGTTGCTAACTTGCATACCAATCCTGTCCAGTGCGGGCATGTGATTTGATATGGTAAGCCGGCGACGTGCTGAGTACAACAGTACGACGGCGATCAAAAACGTTATTAAACGATAGGGGCGCTTTTGAATACCTTTCATGGGCCTAATCGGCGAACAGGGAGTCTATGCCATCGGTTTGTGCGTAATCTCTTCATGCGGCTAGGTGACGATTCTTTGCATGCATGCTGCTGCTACTGGTCCTTGTAAGCTGGCACGTACATACAACATCCAGACAGTAGAGTGAATTCGACAATTGACGGACTGGTTAGGGAGAGCATGGAAACTTGGCACCAGCCCCATCCCCTCCGAGGTTAGTGAATTCGCAATTAACAAGGTCGAAATGGGGTTAGCCATGTTATTTCTCTTCACTCGATGGAAAGAAAAGCTTCAGGCGATTGACAGCAGGGATGGCATAGGTAATCTGATTGAGTGAAGGCGTTTCGGCCCGAGGGATTTCGAAAGTGCAAAGTTCCTTTGAGATTGTGCACCGCCGCACATCAGTATTGACAATCCCATGTGTATGCAGGGCAGGCCAGACCCCAGGGCGTTCAACGTTGGATGGATGCATGGGATTGCCGGGGTAGAACGCCACGGATGAACGCAGTTAGCAAAGGCTGCAAAAGGGAAATGGTTACTCTCACAATACGGAAGCATGCAAGGAGGTAGTCTTTGGATGGGTGGTACATAATCGTTACCACAAGATCTTGTGTTGTGTTCTGACGGTTTGCCACCATTGAGTATGAGTATGAGGAACTGGTGGGCCGTTGGCTACAGCACGAGTCTATTTTTTTTCTCTCTGGAGGGAGCATTGTGGGCACCTCGTATTGAAATAGGCGCAGTAATAGCCTCATGTAACCCAGGAGACAACGGGTACCGTGAAGCATGGACCCGACATCTGGTAGCCATCGGAGATAAGATCATACCGGTGTTGATGGGAATGTTCAGGATGCAATGTCGCCAGCGAATCTTATACTATGTTTGATGTGTGCAATGTGTGCAATGTGTGGCGCGACGTCCTTGACAATGCCGCTCCCTCCAGGCAGAAGTACTTCGTGTCGCAGTACGTCAGACTCACTAGTGCTTGGCTTTCGGTGCATATAGACGTTGCAAATGCTCGAGACTGTTCCTCATGCTTTCATGAGATGAGAAGACTCCGAAATGGGATATATATAAATGTCAAATAGTATAGTTGTAGGGATCTCCATCTATCGGACAGCTGCATCCGAAGAGCTACAGCAACATCAAGTCAACTGTCTATTACTTCAAGACTCAAGGATACATTCGTACAGTCTAATCGAACGTCCTTTGACATCTAACCTAACCCAGTCAGCGATAATTTCTCGATTACGGCACTCTGAAAATATAGCAATGTGTACTGCACAGACGACCCTCTGTAGCACATGCAGGGACGCTACTTCCTTTATGAACATTCTACGAGATCAACTGCTTAAAGAATAAGACTCGGCAGCGTATGCTACTCCGTCAACCAGATCAAGTGAGGTCTGCGGTGTTCAACTTGTATCAAGGCTGCGAAAGCGGAGAGAAGACGGACCCCGTTGGCTGGGTGGCGTTGATATCGAGTCTAACCTAGATGGACGTTGGAAGTGTTTGTGAACACTGAGAGATGAAGGACTTGCAGGATCACTAATTGTTCAAAGGTTGGATGATTATTCGTTGCCGTCACCGTCGGCTTAGATGCCCTGAATTCACACAATCCTTGGCGACTTTGATATTTGCCCTCATTCTACCTAGTTAGTTCTACCCCTCCCCGCCTTACGCCTACTTCGTACCTACTACAAGCACTGCTCGCCGTTCTCCGAATACCATGTAACTAAGTAATAGTTGGATGGGATGTCCTTATTTGAGCACGCAAAGACGGCATGATTCAAGTTCAACGGAGTTATGGCTAGAATCCTTGGTATCTTGCACCATGACATGGAAACGTGGAATCGACACTACGATGCTGTGATTGCAGTATCTTCCATCAGGGTCTGTCCTTGTGTGTGGTGCCCTCATGCGTGCCCTTGCCCTCCCACCCGACGGTCACCACTGGAGGTACGTGCAGCTACACACTTGTATGCTGTCGTGCATACAATACTTACATGGTATACGTGTAACCGTAGGTGTTGCAGCGGATATTCTGTGAAAGGACCACGTGCGGTACTGCGACGCAAGGATTACGAAGCCGAAGCCCCAAACGACGCCATGTACCGAACGGATCTGAATGGTCGAAATCCCCAAAAGCCATATCGAAGCCTTGATAAACCAAACAAGCCTGCCGGATAATTGGAATTATACCTGATAGCAAAAACGACTAAGCTTGAAACGACCCCGTGCGAGCGTCCTCTGTTGGTGCTGGCGCCGTCGATCTGTGTGGTGCAGAGGAAGTTTGGAACAAGGGTCCTGTTGGCAAAAACCTATGAGGCCATCCCGGAGCTGTGCGACGGCTCTCCTCTCCAACGAATCGTGGCTGCTTTCATTTGCATCTGTACCAGACCCTTGAAGACCAGCCCGTATCCCGCCAAGGTTTCTCGTTGAATTTTAATCTGTTCGCATAAGAGCTCTGAAAGGTAAATCAGCAGCTGAACCGAACATTGCTGCGCATACAGTGAGTGCACTGGGAGCGGTAAGCCGACCTCTTATTTGTCGAGAGGAGTTACGGTTCGGACAGACCGAGAGGATTCGCATCTTGTTGACCCCTACTACGACGTCTTTGAACGCTTCCACGAGGTTCGGACAGCGTTGCGGGCTTCAGGTGGCATTGTGGCTGGCAGGATCACGAAAAAAGGTCGTTGCGGCGGTACGGCCCCCATAATTACACCGTCTTGTCACGACCTATGAGAGAGATGGCGCTGCTGCCGTCAGCAAAGCGGAAAAGAACACGAGCAACAGTCGTTCGGGGAGGGATCAGGTAGATCGATATGGGATGGATGGTTGTCCGGAGGTAGAATGGTGATGAGGGATAGGAGAGACAGTGGGCTGTTATTCCCACGCTGCCAGCGAGGGATGACTATTCAAGCATTGCGGACAGCAGCGCACTATAGCAAATGTCGAGGTTCAGAGGTAGATCTATAGGTTCCCGTAGGGTACAAGGCAAAAATGTAGAAGGCGCGTGCAATGTCAAAACGGTCGCTGAGTCGGATCCACCCAGGGCTGAGAGGGCGCCGTTGCAAAGCGGTCGGCGCCACGACGCTGCTGGTTTGATTCCGCAGAAGTTCCCATTCTCCTTGGTAGATACGGTTCGCGAGCAAATTGATTCCATGGCCTTCGCGAGTAAGCTCAGAGCGCAGTCAGGAACTCAATTCCACAGTAGTAAGTATTATAGCCTCGGGGATAGGAGGAGAAGCAGGCCAAGGGACGAATCCAATACGCCATTACAACACTGCTAGCAACGATGAAATTTGCCAAGTGGGATGACGATACCACTGTAATAATTCCCTAAGAAACTCCACCAGCAGCGAAAGAAAAATGCGGCTGGACAGTGCGTACCAGGAAGCAGGGGTAAGGGTTTGCATGGGAGAACATGGGAGCAAGTCGAGACAGAGAGCATGGGATAGTTAACTAACATGTGGGGGTTAAGAGTCAACGCAGAAGAGATGCATGGAACAGGCGGGAACTTTGGAGCCACGTCTATGTCCCATGATTTTTCCTTTCATGAGCAGTTGCGTTTGAAGTGCACAAACTGCTGGGGTTCATACAGAACTCTGTACTGTAGTTATAGTATCCGCTGTTGCTGTAGGTAGCCTCTAGGTAGGCAATTAATCACTGTAACTACGGAGTATGCAAAGCGGGATGGATATGACTCGTGAGGACTCTGGTGGGAATGGTCTGGGCTGGGGTATACACAGTTACCTACACAGTATGTAGGTACCTAGGTGGCTACTACAGTATTGTAATCACTGTATTGTATATTTTGTAGGCAATAGGCAAGTGTGTGCGAGAAGAAAGGAGATTGTGTGTAGGGCCACTGTAGGTAGGCTGTAACTATTGAGTATGCGGTGCGGTGAAAAGCGTAATTCTGGATGGCGTTGATTAGCAGTTGTAGTGCGATTGTCCGCGACTCCGCGTATGCCATACCATCCATTCCCATGCCATTCTCATGTTCCATACCATACCCGATCCATACTCAATCCATACATGTTCGGAACTACTGTAGACTACGAGTTACTACACACACTCTAGCAGCTGCTGCACAGGACATGGAAAGTGGAATAGATACAATTTGCTACGGCGTCAAACTACCCAGCTAGTTCTCCTAGGTAGATGTCACCAACCGCTGCTACTCGTAGGGTCGAGCCTTTGAAGTATCCCTCCGTCCACTCTGAGTCCTCTCCTTCTGAATCTCCTCCTCCCGTGCTGTGGTTTGCCCAGTCTATGTACCCTACCTACCCTGCCCTACTCGAACCCTGACCCTAAACTACCTGTGCATACACCCTATGGGCCTATACGAACCTATCCTACCCTACCCTACCCTATCCTGTCCTCTTCTAATCCTAATCAATGCGTGCACTTAATTAATGTGCAGAGGTCCGGAATCTCACTGTCTAGCGCCCCATTTGTAGCCGTACTTTAAACGCTGCCCATGCCCACCCTCCCACCTTTCCCCCAGATCCCAAGCTTACGACCCTGGATCGCCTGAATATCTACCTACCTCTATATCTCGTCTTACATCGTCCTCATCTCTTCCACAATTACCTCTGTCTTGACTCTTGGAATCGTTCTTCCTTTTACGTTGTCTACTGACCAAACAGCCACTTTGGTCACCTACCTACCTGTCTTTCGCCCTCGGCCCTCGGAGATAGACACTGATCACCTCCCGGCACAATGGACTACACCTACTTTGGCACATCAGCACCGCCTCAGCCCTATCAGTATATGGGCATGCCTCCAGGCCATTTCCCAAATGCTGGCGTTGATTTAGAGACAGCTCGCAGCATTGTATGTAGACCCTCTCCTATCTCCCCCGGTCATACATGCAATGCAATGCAATTTCTATATTCGCGAGGCCGACGTGCGCACCTTGGAACATGGAGGACTTGAACTGATCAACTATTTGTGCTTGCCTAATAGGAACCTCTGGAGAGCAGCTTTCTTCCCACGTCTTACGATGCTTTTGCCTATCAGCAGGCTCCGCTCCCTCCTACCACAAACAGCTCCCCCGACCCCGCGGCAGCTCAAACACCAGCTCCTACCGGTAGCGTTGATAGCGGCCTTGGAGGGGAGATGGACGACAATCGGACAAGCAGGACCCGAAGTAGTAGCGAAGAGAAGGAGATAGGCCTTACGCCAGCTCAGAGCAGGAGAAAAGCGCAGAACAGAGCAGCGTAAGTCGTTTGCAATCATGTCGTCCGTAATTGTTGCAGGTTTACTAAACTCGTCTGCAGGCAAAGGGCCTTTCGTGAGCGCAAGGAGCGCCATGTGCGCGATTTGGAGGCCAAACTGTCCGTTTTGGAGAACAGCGCCCACTCGTTGCAGTCCGACAATGAGCGCTTGAAGCTGGCCTTGCAACGTGCTCGCACCGAGAATGAGATTCTGCGTGCCACAGGCGGTCAGCACTCGCCACCTTCTTCGCGACCCGTCTCGGCAAGTTACCCTTCCCCTGGTGCCCACCTCATGGATGAAGACGACTATCAGGACAACAAGCCATACAACATTCAGGATCTATCCAACGGGAGCGTCATCAACAGCGAAGATAATGTACACCCTACCGGGCCCCCCAGATTCAAGGGAAAAGAGATTCCAGCATCACAGACCTGGGATGTTATCCAATCGCATCCTTTAGTCAGGCAAGGGCTCGTTGATATTGCCGATGTTTGTGAACGACTCAAAGGAGCCTCGAAGTGTGACGGGCACGGTCCCGTTTACGAAGAAAGCACCATCTGGCAAGCAGTAGAGGATTCACGAAGAAGTGGAGGGGACGAGCTCATTTGATATTCGCACTGCTTCCACGCATCTGGTTTATTTGGAGTTAAAAGGGAGGTTTGATTTTGATGAATACCCGAATTGACCACTTCATGAGTGGATCCTGTTGATCAACGGACGGTTTCTTTTATGGCACTTCCATGTTGATCATGTTGATCCTGTTGCTAAATTGCAATAGATATATACTATACGATTGAGAGATGTCCTTCCATATCGTCTCAAAGGAAATGCAGGTAACTAGATGAGAAAAAAAGAATATATCAACCCACAGCGACAAAGATCGCCAAACAAGCATGACTTCTGTACGCGCATACACATACAGCCAATGCGACCTCCAGTGCAAAGGAATGTGATTCGAAATCATTATTGCGTTAGTTATTCCAACGGCTTACACCGAGGGCAGCAAGCTGGTACTGCCACATTCGTCACCAACGCACGTTTTCGACGATTGCACGACCAATGAGTGGTAGTGCGCTGATAATGTCAACATAACTGTCCGACTGTCAGTCTGCCTGTTACTGTACCGTTTTCGATGTCGACGAGTAACCTATCAGGATAAGCTCTAACGGGAGAGAGAGATGTTGGATTCTAGATGGCGTTCGATTGTTCAACAACCCCCGACCCCTAAAGCATCAACCAACCATCTGGGCGCACTAATCACAGCTCCCCCCATTATCCAGAGGCGCATCTCACTCGCCCTTTGTCTTTCCCATCCATCCATCGATTCCATCCACCTCATCCCCACCTCATACCAATCTCATTCCATCTACCCCGCACGTTACCCGTCTATGCCCCTCGCCGGCAACCCATTTCCATTCCAATCAACAGCTCCAGGCAAGTGTCATACGAGATACTGTCGTTGCCTCCCAAGCCGCCTGCAATAACAACGGGGCTCTTACTCGTAGGTGTGGTCACAGATTTATCCATCTGACAAGAATAATAGTGCAGGGGTTGGGATCCTTTTGCACCAAAAGTCGTTCGACGACCTTGACCGAGTATCGTGTCATCAAATTGGCGGCCAGTAAGCATTTGACCTGGACGACCTACAGTTTAGTAGACGAGCACCACCACCATCATCGTACCTTACCGAGTCGACCATCAATATGCAATGCTTGGTTTTGCATGCTGTTATTGCATGGTCATTGTTGGCACCATGCTGTTGCTGAACCGGATGCCAGATATTGTGAACTTGAATCTTGGACAACCTTGACAGTTTTTTTTCACTCGCTACCAAGTCCACGTCATATTTGATGATGGTCAACGAGCAGGGAGCAAATGTTGGGAGGTACATCCGTCCGCTTTTGGTGTTACATGCCAGGGAAACTTGAAAGGGGCCCAGATGAGTGGTGGCCCCCCAGGTCGCTGTTTGGCTGTATGCACGCACCGGACGCAACGGCCGGTGCGATTGTTAGGTCGGGGACTTGCCTAGGCATCACTGCAACTCAATCGTCAATGTTGCCGATAGGTGCGGACCTTACCAGTACCCACAATGCTCTGGCCACAGACGCAAACGTGTTTAATAGTTAATACCTAGAAAACATCATTGCATAGATCGAGAAAAGATTCAAATCATCATTGGCAGCAAACTGTCCGTAGTCGCGGAGTACCTTGTGGTCTCCGTCGGGGTTGAGCGTGCGATCGTTACACTACGGGCACTGTAACACCTGTCGGTGGCAACGAGCGAGTGAGTAGTTACACCCTGCGGAGTAGGACACCAGACTCGCCTGTACGTTCCCCCGCAGGTAAGGCTGAGTGCGCTCGAATAGGGCTTGCTGCTCCTCGTACCCGTGGCGACCGCAAGGTTCAAAGGCCTACACCTGTAACTGGTGTACCTCTCAGGCCACGCGGGGATGTGTCGTGGCGGAACATTCAACGGCACATCCGTAGCTTCGACTGCAGGCTGGAAAGATTGAAAGGGCACTCAGCATTCGCATACAGCCAATCATGACAGCCGCGACTGGGGCTCGTCAAGATGCTCGGGCAAAATATTTGGACGATCTCCTACACCATAGGCCGTCGAACAATGGCATTCCCCTTCAAGTTCAGTTGCTTCGATGGCTTACCAGTGATGAATGGGCGGACGCTATTACAGTGAAAGCTTGTCACTACACTGAAGCTCAGGCCAGAGACAGACAGGACGACACGATGATCGACAATGAGATGGCAATGCGGGAACATGGACTGGAAATGCATTCACATGTGCGAATGGCATGAGGGAACCACGATGCAAACAAAATATACACCTACCTAGAGCCCACATGTAACTGGTGTACCATTGAATCATCTCGCGTTAGGATCCCGAAGGAGTAAGGGCAACAGAACAGAGACCACCAAAGATGGTTGCGCGTGGAATGCAATCACACCAAGACGTGCGTGGCGTCAATAGGCCCCCATTGAAGACCGCTACCACAGCCATTTGGCTTGTAACCAGGCGTTGGAGAGAGAATGGCCCTTTCAAATCTGCTGAATGAGGCTCGTTCAACCCATCCATCGTTTAGGTACGTACCAGTTACACGTAGCTATAGAAATATCACTCGTCAAGTGATCAACATGTCATTGAGATCTACGCAGAAAAGTCCACAAACGGCTTTTTGAGACGGCGACATGGCATTGGTCCAGAATATCATTAAAATCGGACAACATAACTACGGACTACCAAGTGGGTGCAAGTAGTGGAAGGATGAGCAAGAATGAATACTCACTCAACGTACGAGGTTAGGATAATTGTGGATTTCAAGTTGGATGTCAGACTCCGAAGTGTGAGGGTGGAAGCACTTGGTTGGCATTCTGTCACACACTTAGTGCCACTACTGTGGCTGTCAGCTATTCATAGTGAACGAGACGGCAGAAGTTGTGTGGAGTATCAAGGATAGTTCCCTTCCTATGCACACCTGCTGCCCCCATTCCCGCATCAAGCAACATGAATACCGTCGAATGATAGTCCAGAGCATGAGCTGCATCTTTTCTTAAAATTATATTTGGAATTCTCTCCCCCACTCTGCCTTACTCGTATAATTCCTTCTGGTATCCTTCTCACAACTGTCGAGAAGGTGGAGGGGAAGGGAGCATGCACGAAGACGGAACGAATCTGGTGGCTTGCCAAGTAAGCAAACCAAAAAGCGCATGCATGCATGCACTGTTGGACTACTCTGTGGTGTTGGGTTGGATTTTGGACAACCGAGATCTTCGTCTAAAGAAAAGAGATAATTACTGGATCACAAGTCAGCTTGATTCGTCCCGGTGGTAGGCTGGTAGCATAGTAAACGGCCGACAAGAACACACAACACGGCCCAGGCAAGGACAGGGCGACGAGCCTCCGTTCCCAAAAACGCATGCATGGGGACTCGGAGTGCTTATTTTTTCCCTTGACTATACTATCGGTGTTCCCTATTCCCTCCTCCCTCCATCGTATTCGGACATTTCCCATGTTTTCTGTCTGGCGAAAAGTCCCTGGACGGAGATATACTCCAATACATGCGTTAGGTACATGACTACGGAACGTACTTACATAGGTACCTCATACTAACAGACATACCAAAAACGCAGACGTGCATAGATGCCGCTGCCGCGTCCACCTTAACCCTGCAAGCTCTGTACAAGTTGTCAAGGCGTTGGCAGTAATGGGTAATTTACAAAGTAGCTAAGCAAGCGTCGTGGCTTGCTACGCTTGACTAATCTGGACCCTGATAACTGTGCGCATCGGCAAGAGCATGGATATGGGGAAGGGGATGCAGTTGGCGCCGTGTCGTGGGAACGTGGAAGCGAGACAGATCATCTCGAATTGGATTGTGTGATTGAACGACGATGAAGCGGCGGGCGGCCTTATTGTGTGCAGTAGTTCACCTCACCAGTGACCTTTGGGCCGGCTTTGCAGGCAGTGGTCCTCTGGCGTCTTTATGTTCACATTCCTTTACCGGTAGATGGTAGACCTTGGGTTGCAGCATGCTTGCATGAATCGCCTAGACGCTCGGGAGTTTGTGTCCTTTTTGTTTTCTTTTCAATACTTGAATGATCTACGCATGGCTATGTTGTTCCGAAAATCCTACGAGTCGCTTGGAGCCAGCTTGCCAGCCCTGCTGGATTTGCTTCCGATCGGTTTTAATTTGCTCCCGTACACTGCAGTTCTAGTCCAGATGTCTTGATTTCTTTCTCCCCCAATGCTTCCCTGCAGATGTAACAACCATGTATCCAACGGGCGTGTACCGAATGCATCAAGAGAGAAATTCCCGTCCACCCTTCGGCTATCTCCCACTCTCGTATCGCGTGGGGATTTCTCCCTGGCCTCCGGATCCAACGAGTCGCTGAACATTGATCAATTCGATAGGGATTTCAACTTCCAGAATCCCTCTAGTGCCATGATGGAATTCTTCAATGCCCGCGTGCCATATCCCCTCCCCAGGGTTGGGTCGAGAACTGGGGGCTGCAGTGAATATCCTTGCCTGAAATGAGATATGTGCTCACGGAGCCGTTGGACCCTTCTTGGGGAAGTGGCGATGGCGACGTGGTCCGGCCGTATCTCTTTTCTTTGCTCTTACTCGGACCCTCAATCCCAATCGCTGTCGTCGTCGTCCCCGCCTCGTCCGGCCGTGTTGCCTTGCCTTATCTTTTTTGAGCTCTGCTCGCCATCTTTGTCGTTGTCATGGCGCTGTAGACGCGAGTCTCCAATGCGGACGGCTCCGACGTCTACCAAGATTTTTTCCACGTCTGTATGTAGTCAGCACGACAATACATCTCCCTCAAGCGAATCTCTTGGAATTCAATGCAACCCGATGTCGGGGAATGATTCAATCACTTACCTGCAGCCTTTGTCCTCACACCCTGGAGTTCTCTCAGTGTGACTAGTTGCTTCTTGATATCCCCATCCTTGTAGACTAGCACTGTGGGTGTGTTCCTCTCGGGATAGCCCTCAATGCAAAGCTCCGCGCGGATCTGGCAGAACTTGACGTCCCCGAACCGCTGGGCAAGGTCCCGCCATATCTCGATGAGGACGCGGGATTCGACATTTGTCCCTTGTGAGGACGTCAACAGCACAAACACGTATGCCTTCTGTGACGCTTCCGTGACATCCTTCGCGTAGTCAGGCTTCTGGAGGTGGTACACTTGGTTGAATACTGAGGCGGTGTTGATCGTCGCGAGCTCTTGGAAGCGTTTTTTTCTACAGATCATCGATCTTCATCAGCACCAACCCCTTCCAAAATGAAGTCTTCCCGGGACTGGAGAGCTAACTACACACAAGAATGCAGACGTACCGGTATTGCTCTAGAAACTCATCATCTTCTTCATCTTCCAGCTCCGCCAATTCGTCCAGGTCTTTCCCCTCCAGCCTGTTCTCGTGCGCGAGCCGTCGTGCTTCCTCGAGCGCTTCTTGGATCATCGGCGTCGGCGACGGAGGTTTCTCTGGTATTACGCCATGCTTGCGCAGGATATCGTTCCTATTCAGGTGAAGTACATCGTCAGTATGGGAAGCTTGCGACTACCTCGAAAGAGATTGCATACCATTCTGTGTCTGCATTTGGGTCGTCGATGGGGACGTTGACGGGGACATCGGGCATCTGCATGTTGCTGGCAGATGATGTGTCGAATAGACAATGACAATGGTGCTTTGACGTGTAGTTTCAAACAAGTATGAGAGGAATTCGTGTGAAAAAAACGTTAGTGGTATACGGAAAGCTGTGGTTGCTGCCTTGGAAGAGTCGTCGTCGGCGAATGTACGTAACCTCACGGAATTTTGATGACCCCTCCATGGAATTGAACCCGTTAATTCTCGGCAGCACACCCCTGCCGATCCGCCACTCTTTCAAATTTCGTCACCCACAACTTATTTGTACAAGTATTGCAGGGACCGGGGAAGCGTCCCGAGTCGATGCAATTGAAACGCTCATATTCAGAAATGCATGTTCTATGCGAAAGTAACTTCATAACATTAATTCCTAGGACAGTAGAGTTAGAGAGCCAGCTGGTGTCGCGCATTCATCGGCCTAGGAGAGATTCAGAATATTATAATATAGCAAGAGATACATAAGGATAAAATGCCCTATAATAGGTTATTATTTTGTACTTTCATAGGCTACTTATCCTAAGTAGCTATATATTTATATTATAAGTATACTACACTAGAGCTTAGGTATAATACCTACTAGGAAAGCTAGTTCTCTGTCTAAAGTATATATAATAATCTAAAGAAGAGGCATAGATAGTAACTGGCAGCCTGAATTGTTGATTGAACTATGCCAGATCAACAACTATGCATTGCCAGCCAATTCAGCGGACGATATCGAAGAGAAGTGATTGTTGAGCGCGCACTTGCTGATTTCTGTTGTGGATTGCTACCTCTGGTGAAGGAGCGTCATCCGCGCCGTTTCAAAGAATATTAACGGTAAGGCAGGTCATATTCGGTATTCCATAACCCGAAAAAGCTCATGGTAAGTTTTCATGGTTGTGCTACGAATGCGTTCTAACACGGCAAGTGGTGAGGACGTGCTGGATGGCCTCAAGCAACAGCCACAGAAACGAAGCACTATCCAGGATTTTCAATCCAATCACGGGTTGCTTTAGGACCTACCCGACGCTGCTGTGGGTGAGACAGATAAATCTCAACACGTATTAGTTATCGCGGAAAAGGGCATGCGGGTTCTGGACATCGTCTCTACCGTACTACATCCCCCAGCCACCTAAAGGAAAATGGGAAACGAACCTTACGATTCTGAAGTCAGACAAGGATCTCTCTGGCATAGAGCCTACCAAGGACCTCAGTCACAAGAAGTCACCGCTGACGGCTGGATTGAACTTTTTTTCTTCTTTCAAGTAGCACGAGAATCGTCTGCCTTCTTTCGAGTAGCACGAAATCGCTCGAGGAAGACGGTTGCCTCGTTTCAAGTAACTCCAAGAAGGCCTCTTCCCTTTGACATCTCACTTGGAGATTTTGGAGTTTCGAGCGTGTATGCTGATGACAAGCCAGTTCTCAAGGCCGCCTCTACATTCTCATCGAATTGTAAGGACTCCAGTTCATAATTCACGCCATGGGCCGCTTGAAAGGCAAAGAGGATATGGGCCTGCGCAACTTGCGCACAACCAAGCGCCATAGGTACGGTGTTGACGAGATTGGAGATGCTCCAGAGTATTTTATTTTCACGTCATAGCATCTACCCTTATCAGAATTCTTCGGAACTGAAGCGGAGCCGATTGGTATGTCGCGCATTTATCGGCCCAGGGGACATTCAGAATGTTACAATATAGCGAGAGATACACGGGGACAAAATGCCCTGTGATGGCTCGTCGTTTAGCACTTCAACAGGCTGCTCGTCCCAGGTGGCCGTACGTTCATGCGAGCATGTTGTGCTGAAGCCTGGGTACAGTGCCCGCTGGGAAAGCCGGTTCTCCCTCCGAAGTACGTGTGATAATCCAAAGAACAGGCATGGTCGGCAAACGGCAGCTTGAATTGTTGATTGAACTATGCCCTGAGCTGCCTATCTGGACTGGTGCTTGAAGCCTAACTCTCCTTGCTCTTCTCTACCCATTCCCGCAAGTATTTCTACGTGGGTGATAGTGTAGATCCAGAAACATGTCGAACCATAGATAAATATATTCTTAGAAACGGAGCGTGTCCAGCCGAGATGGCATGAGCTCAAATATCATCTGGAAAATGGTGCTTTAGCGATTCTCCATAATGCGTAGCGAACGTGTTGCTTCTCTATAGACCAGTCGTACTTCATGGCTACGTACTACATGTACTTCCCATTCCTTACCTGCGAGGTGAAGTGCAGTGATGCAGCACTTGATATTGCAGACCGACAGAATGCCTACAGCATGACACTTGCTCTAAGAGCCACTGTTAAGCTCTTTCGACTTGTTAGTCGTGAGATGGAGCTTCACCAAGAGATTCTTGCTTTCTCAATCTCGCATAATCACAGGTTGGTGGGAATCTATGGAAACTACCCAGTTATTGATGGGAAGGACACTAAGTGCTATCGCCATCTAATACGCACGTTTGATTTTACTGAGCTGGATGGAAAGGAGAAATGGACAGCATACAAGTTCACTAAGAATGTGTACGACATATATATGCCAAATCACTTTCAATTGCAATGTTCAGCTAAAGACCAAATTCCGGCAGATCTAGATTTCAGCGTTCCGCAATTTTCCCAGAGTTTTGGACTTTCACAAGACCTCGAGCGCCACCATCTCTCGGGGTCGAGCCAGCCCGATTCTCAATCACAAGAGCACAGCCAGCAAAGTACTGGCGACGCAAGAAACACCACTCACAATACCTCCTTCACCGGCCGAGGCGGATCGAAGAGGCCCAGGGAAAAGCTTGCTGAAGGAGGATAATGCATATCGGCAACGATTGTATGTCATGGTTCGTCTAAGTATTCAGATAATTCGATTTATTTCGTGTTTTGCAATGCTACAAGTGCCCTGACAAGTCTGCACAGTGTCCCCATATAGATGTTGATTTCAGCGAGCGCAAGATCATTGACATCCTCGCTCAGCATCAGGGATGCCTTTCGTATAAATTCCTCCTTCGACATATACCTCTTCTTGTTCCAGCTTCGACCAAGTCTGTTCGGCTTTGCTCCAGCGGTAATTATTCCGTTTCCTCTTTTTACCTCAAATTGGATTCAACAAACTCGATGAAGATTGGAGATTGGGTTTACCTCGATTGCGAGATCTTTGAGCTCGTACGTTCTCCAACTCTTCTTCAGTATCATCAACGGCTTCAGTCTCATGAACGGATGTCGTGGCCCGTCGCTAGAGGTGAAGCGACACCAAACTCTCAGCGCCCTCAATGTCGATTGCGCCGTCATGGTTCCCATTACGTGAGTCAAACTTACGCGTGTCAGTAATGGATAGTACAACTTTGGCTGAGAGTACGAACCTCTCCCTCTTGGATGCTTCCCAGTGAGGCCATAAAAGTCTACACAAGCAGCACCAAAGGTCATCATGTCAACGAAGACGACACGCAAGGTAGTCGAGTGCAGCGCCCCAGTATACTTACCCCAAAACCCCAGGCTAAGAGAAGGGTGACATCGCACATAATGTACCAATATAGACACTTGTTTATGATGACCAACGTAGCCACTTGATCGGAAACCTTCCGTCTTCTCCAACCGAATGCCTCAATCTGAAAACCTTATACCAGACGTAGCTAGAATGACAGTGACGATTACCTTACAGGGCATGTATGCATGTAGTTCAACACCAAAAAGAAAAAACCGCTTCGTTCAATCATCTGCTTTTGGTAACTAGCTACCTGGTATCAGATAGTTTCAACCAATCGATGTATTCCTGAGAAATCCGAGTTGCATGAACGCCTAATTACTGTTCACGGTGCCGAATACCGGGCTAATTACTCGATGAGTTGGTCAATCAATCCTGTACCGAGTTTGATACGAGCTGGGTTGGCCTGATTCTTGTCAGCCTAAGCTCCTTTGATTTGCTGCTTAGCACCATGCGGATCGATCACACCTGCGCCCCTCGTCTCTCTGTCTTCAGGTATCAGATTGTTTCCTGTTGCTGTTGTATTACAATTGTTCGTCTTCTTCTTTTTAAACATCACGTTGATTTCAGCTCTCAGTAACAAGTTTCTCGTTCAGTCAGTCGACGTGCGCTTCGTCGGTCTTGTAGTTCTTGTATCGGGCTCGAGCGCCATATATGTGTATGTGCCTTTCCTGGTCGAAAAAAATGTAGGATTTCTGTTCGTCAAAATAACATTACCAATGATGCTGCCTATGGAACGGGCAAGTACACCTATCTCACAGTCATCGCGTGCGAAATAAATGAGCAAACTTAATAGTGCAGGACAGCAGTACATAGAAGAAAAGGAAAAACATTGCATGAGCACAAAAATCAATACAACTACCACAAGAGAGGATGTTTCATCAAAGTTAGAACTCTGATCGATTGCAGCATAGACCTGAGGTTCTCTTATTTATTAAAGATCACGCAGATGCCGAGTAGTGAGTCAAGTTCGTAAGGGGTAATGATCCTACACTTGACTTAGATTGGCAGGTTCCGGCCCGTTCAAGTCACTAACCTCGACATATTTGCTGGGGTACACTGCTCAAATTAGCCAGATCCTTCAAGTGGATGGCCTTTAAAAAAAGGATGCTTCCCCAGGATTTCTACCTCTGACGCATTATCTGACTCTCGTTTTTTTCGTTTTTTTCGTTTTCAATCCACGCTCGCTATAACTACCAGTATCATGAAGATCACCTCACTTTGGGCGACCGTGGCCCTGTTCACCTCGTGTGTTCCAGCAGCCCTTGCGCAAGCCACCCCGACCACAGCTTCGCCAACCACTGCCACCTCCGCGACACCAACTTGTACGGCTTCGCTCATTACTCGTCTTTGCGACTACAAAGAACCAGGCCCGGAATTCGCCGTAGCCATCGAGAGCAACGCCTCCTGCTGGCGCTACTGCGACGCCCACCAGCCCTGCAACTTTGCCATCTTCGCCGCCGGAAACCCATACACGGGCACAGGCACATGCTGGCTCTACCCAGGAGAAGATTTCGACAAGAGCGCCGGCAACACAGACTGTGGGAATCCCTATCTGTACGTCTACAGTAAGCCGGAATGCGCTGGTGGTAGCCCGACCTCTGGGGGCGGCGCCTGCTCTGCCACAGCGTCTCCCTCCGCCGTCGCATCTGTCTGTGGTTACCCACCGCCCGAGGACTGCTTCTACAGCTGCATCGCCAGCGAGGGCGCATCGAGCTGCCTGAGTTCGTGCGCAAAGGCCGACTCGTGCAGCTACGCCGTCTTCAACCCGCACAACCCGAGCAACTCCCCCTACGCCTCCGGCACCTGCTGGGTCTATTCCAACGGCACGTTCGACGCTGGATCCACGACCCCTTGCAGTGGCGGCGCCGAGCAGTTTGTCTACAACAACGCGTGTCCCAAGCCAAAGCCATCGCTCTCGCCTTCGTCGCCCTTCTCGTCTGGTGCGGAATCGTCTTCTTCCCCGTCCGCGACAGCATCCACCGGCACCGTGGGAGTGGGGAATGCTCAGTCAAACCCGACTGGAAGTAGTTCAAACTCCGCACCTGGCATCCTCTCGCCCTCCAACCTCTGGGCCGTAGGCGGTGGCATGGCTCTGTTCACGTGGCTGCAGGGTCTCTGCTGATAGTTCACCTTTCGTGCTTTCTCTTCATTCTTTCGCATAAAAATTGGGGATAAGCTGTCGCAAGAGCGGGGGAGGGGATATACCAATGCGACGATACATATAATCATGTCTAATATTATGATGAAAAAATATTGATCTGTAATTATTTAGATGATAGTCATACATACTATTTCATTTCCATCAAATACCCCAAATCAGATTGATGACTCCTTCCTTTTTCCATGTCCTTCTCTTTCTTGATATTGTTCTTCCGATTTTTTCTTCGTCTCGGCCAAAGTTTGTCGACAATAGTCGACGGAAGTGAAATGATATTTAAGAGAGGGGGAACGATACATGTACTACTCGTAGCTCATCAAATAAACATTGATTATTGTAGGATCGGAGACCGGGGAATGAATGGATTGGGTATTGGAAGGATGCAAAAGTTGCGAATTACGGTAATTATTTGAAGCAGGTGTGAATGGGAAGAAGGAGTACTCCGTACAGACGTCTTTCTTCTTCTTCTTCTTCTTCTTCTTCTTCTTCTTCTTCTTCTACTACGCTGCTATGGCATAGGGATGGGGGAAAAGGTGGGTGTGTATCAACGTCCAAACCCATTCCAGTGCCCAAGTTTCCTGATCGAGTAGGTTTACGAAAACCGTCGAAAGCTCATGCATTTGAAGGACCAGCGGCCCTGCCAATCAACGTTCCAACCGATGAAGTCCGTGTGGCGTTCACAGGGGCGTTCAGCAAAGGCGTTCAGCAGGAGGCTTCTGATTTGCTTGACGGGACACTCACAGCGCTTCCAGTGCTCAAGTTTCCCGATCGAGTAGGTTTTAGGATATCTGTCGAAAACTGTTGCATTTGAAGGACCAAATCACCTGCCAATGAACGTTCCAACCGATGAAGTCCGTGTGGCGTTCAGCAGGAAGCTTCTGATTTGCTTGAGGGGACTCCTGCAACGCCTCCAAATTTCTTGACCGAGTAGATTTTCGGATCTCCGTTGAAAGCCTTTGCATGAAGGACCAAAGCACCTGCCAATCAACGTTCCCAAGTGATAAATTCTGTGTGGCGTTCAATAGGAAGCTTCTAATTTGCTCGAAGGGGACTCCCACAACGCCATTCCAGTGTCCACGTTTCTTCATTGAGTAGGTTTTTTGGATCTCCATTGAAGGCTTTTGCATAAATGACCGAATGCGCTGCCAATCAACGTCCTACAATGCCATTCCATTGTCTAAGTGGCCTGATCGAGTAGGTTTCTGGATCTCTGTTGGAAACCTTTGCATGAAGGACCAAATCACCTGTCAATCAACGTCCTACACGATGCAGTCCGTGTGGCGTTCAGTAGGAGGCTTCTGATTTGCTCGATAGGTCTCCGGAGGAAGGGAGAAGGAGAGTGAGCCATTCCAGTCCAGGTTTCCTGATCGAGTAGGTTTTCGAATTTCCGTTGAAAACTGTTGCATTTGAAGGACCAAATCATCTGCCAATCAACGTCCTAGCCGATGAAGCCCGCGTGTGGCGTTTAGTAGGCGGCTTCTTATTTGCTTGATAGGCCAGGGGGGGCAGAGAGGAGAAGCGAGAGTGCCTACGAGGTATGAACGTCCTTTAACAGCCATTCATTCCTTCGTTCCAGTCCAAGATTCCTGATCGAGTAGGTTTTGAAAATTCCGTTGAACCCTTTTGTATTATGTTTTGCATATAAAGGACGAAGGACCAGTGAGCCCGCTAATCAGCGTCTCAGTCGATGTCCCAGCGGCGTGTTCTGATTTGCTCGGTAGGGAGGTGAGAGGGGGAGAGGAGAAGGGAGAGTGCCCTATGGGGTATGAACGTCGTACAACAGCGCTTCCAGCGTTCATGTTTCCTGATCGAGTAGGTTTTTAAAAATTCCGTTGAAACCTTTTGTATTATGTTTTGCATATGAAGGACGAAGGGCCAGCGACACTGCCAATCAACGTTCAACCGATGAAGTCCGTGTGGCGTTCAGTAGGCTTCTGATTTGCTCGATAGGTCAGGGGGGAGAGTAAGGGAGAAGGGAGAGTGGCTACGCGGTACAAGGTATAAAATGTCTGACAACAGCGCTTCCAGCGTCCAAGTTTCCTGATGGAGTAGGTTCTGAATTTCCGTCGAAACCTTTTGCATATGAAGGACGAAGGACCAGAAACACTGCCAATCAACATCCCAGCCGATGAAGTCCGTGTGGCGTTCAGTAGGCTTCTGATTTGCTCGGTAGGTCAGGGGGGAAGAGTAAGGGAGAAGGGAGAGCGCCTATGAGCGTCCCCCAACAGCCATTCATTCCAGTCCAAGTTTCCTGATCGAGTAGGATTTGAATTTCCGTTGAAAGCCTTTGCATATGAAGGACGAAGGACACGTGACCCCCGCCAATCAACGTCTTCTGATTTGCTTGGTAGGTTCCGGGGGGAGGGGGGGGGGAAGTAAGGGAGAAGGTGAGCGCCTATCAACGTCCCCCAACAGCCATATATTCCTTCGTACCCAGTCCACGTTTCCTGATCGAGTAGGTTTTCGAATTTCCATCGAAAACTGAAGCATTTGAAGGACGAAGGACCAAATCCCCTACCAATCAGCGTCCCAAATGATGAAGTCCATGTGGCGTTCAGTAGGCTTCTGATTCGTTCGGAAGGGAGGGGGGGCAAGTGAGGAGAGGAGAGTGCCTATCAATGTCCACCAACAGCCATTCATTCCTTCGTACCCAGTCCAAGTTTCCTGATCGAGGAGGTTTCGAATTTCCGTTGAACACTGAGGCATTTGAAGGACGAAAGGGCCAGTGACCACGCCAATCAGCGTCTCAGTCGACGGAGGCCGTGTGGCGCTTCGTGTGGCGCTGAGTTGGAGGCTTATGCGTGAGGATTGTTGCGCGGACTTCCGCGGAGGGGTTTGTGTCCAACTTGCCTAATCGAGTAGGTTTTCGAAAATCCGTTGAAAACTCATGGATTTGAAGGACCAGAGCGCCTGCCAATCAGCATCTCAGCCGACCATGTCCGTGTGGCGTCTTGTGTGGCGGAGCTCCGCGGTCTGGACGTTGATTGGCAGTGTCGCTGGTCCTTCAAATTCATCCGTTTTCAACGGAAATTCGAAAACTTACTCGATCGGGAAATTTAAACTTGACTGGCTGGTGTAGGACGCTGATGGGCACTCTCCTTCTCGCGCATCTTAGTTTCCTTATAGGACTGGATTGTGCCGAAGTACTCGTAATACGTCACAGACATGCACAAATGTCTGTTCAAAATTTCACGAATAATGAAGGAAGATAAGTCAGGGATGTTAGGCAATTTGAACAGGTCGAAGAGAAAAGATACTTTGTCATTTAGATGGTGTCCTATCCTTCGTGATTGCTTCAGTCGATGGCGACGGCGCCTTCGAGTCGCGAATAATGAATAAAAACGGGAAATCCGTGGTATCAAACAAGTAGCAGGAAGAGAGAAAAAGAAAGAGGTATGTATATGCAAGGTGGTAAAGCGGGAGATGGAAACCAAGGGTCGTTACAGAACTCCAGAGCGCTTTGATGCAGATGATTAGACAAGAGAGGTGGGGACGAGACGAATTGATAAAGACAAAAGGGAGAGGGTAGACCAGATCACAAGACGGGTCTGTCCATCTCGTCGTCGTTGTCTTCCTCGCAACCTTCGGCGCGGATTTGCACGACATGGGCGTCGCCGGTCCACCTCTTCTCGTCCAGATAAGCAGAATCTTTCAGCACGTCGGCAATGGAATGCGCCTTGAGTGATTTCTCGTCGCCGGAAAGTTGGAGGCGCTGGCCCTGCTGCTGCTTTCGAGTGTACCTGTTTGGTCATGGTGTTAGTTTTTCTCCTCATTCCCGAGTGGGTGGAGTTTTGGGGGAGAAACGAACCAGGTGAATGCAAGGGCAGACGCCTCGTACAGACATGCCAACACTGCGCATGCCACAATCGCATGCAGCACCCAAAGACCCAATGCTGAGGCCTTGTACGCAGACGAAAAGCGCGGTTCGCCATGGCACACGATCCTCTCATTACCACCATTACTCCTGCTGGGCGACTTGGATGACTTCCCTCCGCTGAACTCGACTCCCAAGAAATTCAGGTCGCCGTACCGGGCGGCGAGCTCCATCAGAATGGTGGTCGGCATGGGACCGTTGACAACATCTTCGGTGGCGGTCGGGGCGACCTCTGGGTTTCCGGGGTTGATGTAGCTGCTGTAGAGATCGGGGTCCTCGGATCGCAGGTACTCGAGCTCCCAGCCAAGGTTCGTGCAGAGGTCGGCGGAGCCGGCGGAGGTGGTGGAGAGGAGATCCGTCTCTTGCTGGGTGAGGAGGGGACTTGGGGAGATGATGGTGCAGCGGCAGTGAGTGCGCGCGGGGGCGGCATGTGTCGCTGTGAGGAAGGACGACAGGGCCAATGCGAACGGTATTGTCGAGAACATTTTTTTTTGTCTTTTGAATTTCACTTCGTTGGCAAAGCGAGAGTTGGAGTGTTTCTTTTTTGTTGAACTCTATTTCAAATAGGGTCGTGGTGGAGTAGGTCAAGTCCGGAGAGTGGGAGCGAAGGGATATTCTTTTGAGTCCAGACTGGGAGGAGGAAATTAGTTAGCTGTGCCGACGGACTGGCGATAGATGTAGTGATGTTGATTGCGGCGCAGAGGGTAGGTGGTTAAAGAACACGAATGGTGTTTCACCGTGGATGATATTTGTCCAGAGTGAGAGGGAGAAAAGGGAAAATGGTGATTGTGAGTTCCGGGAGGGGAGGAAGGGAGGGGTGTATTTGAGTGTGGTAGAAATGTTACAACAATTTAATGTGTACGGTGGAAGAGGAACTATGATGAAGATGGACGATGGAAACACGATGCGAGCAGCTCGTATTAATGGGAGGGAGGGAGGGAGAGGGACCGACAGAGAGAGAGCGGGATAGAGTAGGAAGAGTGGTGGGCATTAACCATTAACTAGGTAGGTATGAGGGGCAGGAATAAGAGGCGTGTAATGTATTGTAGGTACTGTAATGTATTGAACGAGTACCGCCAGCACTGCCGCCAGCACCCAGCTCTGGAGACGACGGGGGGGTCTAGAAGGCCTAGGCGGTTCCGGCGCTCACACAAGCCTTTGAGAGGAGGGAAGAGAAGGAAAACGAGGTACCAAGTGGTCCAAGTCACTTACCGACAGGAACAGACAAGTGTGAGTGGGTTGGGCAATACGAGTATAGCCTTGCCTTGCGCTTTGATTATGATATGCTTTGATGCGGATCCTACGATAATACAAGTAACGACAATTAACCAGGGTGAGGGTGAGGATGAGGATCGATGCACTATTCCGGGAGGTGGTAGCGCGCTCTGCTTTGCCTTTTTCGGGTCGGGTCGACTCCTCTCGAGGGAATCAATGGGTGAATGGTGAGGCTGTGATGAAAATAGAGAAGTAAGAGAGAGAGAGAGAGAGAGAGAGAATAGAAAAGAAATGGAGGAAGGGTTACGGGTGGTAGTATGTAGTATGTAGTATGTAGTAGTAGTAGTAACAGTGGCGGTGGTGGTGATTGAGTATTTATCGATGGAAATGAGGTGATGGCGGGGGATGTTTTCATCGATATTTCTTTTTTTGTTCTTCTTCTGGCTCCTCTCTCCTTCGTCTTCGTCCTCGTCTTCTTCTTTACTGTGTAAGCTTCGGGCGGGCTGGCTGGCTGGCTGGCTGGGGAGCTCTGGCTGGAGCTGGAGCTGGAGCTGGAGCTGGAGCTGGAGCTGGAGCTGGCTAGAGAGAGACAAAGTGTGTGGGTGAACGGGCGGTGCGCGTGGGTTCCGCGTTCCACGGTACCGTACCTCCACTAACTGAGTACCTATTCCTAGGCACCCAGGTACTGTACTCTCCTCTGCTGCAGCATTAACTAGTAGTACGGAGTGGTAGTACCAATTACACCTATTCCGTAACTTGACTTGACTTGGATTGAATTGAATTGAATCGACTCAAGAATCGACTCAACTGTATGCAATGGAGATCAGCCCACTCTGCGATCGAATCGTTCTGGTCGGAAAGCTTGGATAGAGCCCTTGAACCACACGATGGTACGGTACAGGCTGCCGGTACAGTACTAAGTAGTTGTGGAGTAGCGTACGTGCGTAGGTACAGAGTACACTCTCTGTAGGCAAGGTTGAAAGAAGAACGACTCCAATAACAGGGACTAGTATGGTGGGTGGGTGCGTGGGCAGATGTTTGGTCTGTGTCTGTTCTTGTGAATGGGATCGATCATGGGGAGGGTAATAGCCTTGAGAAGGTCGGGCGCTCCGCAACGCCCACGGACGGATAGAGTCATTGAAATATGTACCCCATAATCATGTGTCTACCGTAGTCTGTACGTACGGTAACGTACCTACTGTGTACACAGTATGGCATAGACGGAGTCTCTAACAAGCTAATTCGTTTACTGTGCATCATTATTGTACAGCTACTGTGTAGTAGTAACTAACGTCCATCTCCTGGTCTCCGCCGAACTGCTACGTTTACTGACTGAAACGACTCCGTACACTCCCGCCTCTACATGAGTCCAGGTCCGACTCCTCTCTAGTCTCCTCTAAGGATTCCATAGCGCCGTCTTGTCTTTTTGCAGATGCTCATCGCATCTACCCATACCATGATTACCCACATCCACACGGTATGTGCACCCCACCCACAGCCCTGGTGCACTGATGCACCGATGTTTTGATGCGGATGTGGGCCAGGGTCGATGCAACAGGGCTGTGACTTTGTGACTTCCCACTGTCCAGTGACCAACCAGTCTACTCCGTACCTCACTCTGCATCGCCCTCTCTTCGTCTGATTGCCGTCTGGGTGTCTGTCTGAGTGAGCAACCCATCCCCCTTCATTCCACCCATCACTACAGACTATCCTCAGTTGCTCTGTTGTTATTACGACATGTAACCATGTCTCGTTATGGGACATCTGATAGGTACCTGGACCATCCCCTTGATACGATGTGCTGATTAAACGAATGCTGTGCTGCCGACTCCCGACTATTTTGGACATGGCGCGATTTCTCACAAACGAGAGGTTCTAGATCCATCATCGTCCATCCGTTCGTTCGTTGTCGCTTGCCCGTCTTTATTGGACCTTGGAAACATCTGTTCTTGCTCTCTATCTCCCTCCTTGGGTTCAGCATCTCCCCCTCTTCTGTACTACATGTCTAGTTGTACTAAGTACAACAGTCTAGGTAATATCTCTCTTTGGAGCTTGATTCACCATGCAATTTGCCAGCTCAGCCATCATCTTATTACGCCAGTCTCAGTCCTTCCTCCGTAGAAACGCCGGGAGAGTTGCGTTATTCCCACTGATCGACACACTTGCCTTGCTTGCTTCAAGGTGCTTGCCAGCTAGCTAGCTAGTTAGCTGTTTGTCCGCATTAATTCTCCACCATTCAAGCTTCTCCCGTTTCGTTGGTAGCTGCGCTGCACTGCACTGCAATGCTTCGCGGCTTAACTCTTTTCACCATGTTGTTAGCGCGACCCTGCTCCGACTCTTCTCCATATACTCCGTACCGTTACAACATTTGTTATTTGAACTTATTATTACTACAGAGCACCGTACCGTGCCCTGCCTTACCTTACACAGTTACACTAACTGCAAGTGCCCTATCCAACGATTCCTACCCTGCAATATAGTATTTTGTACGGAGTGTCTACTCCCCTATTGAGAGGTGATGTGCCATTCATACAGGTGCACAGTACTCCATACAGCCGACCTTCAACGAAACCTACCGAAACGTCAATGACGCTCAACCGTGACGAATGGAGCAGTTCGAACCTCGTTCGGACGACGGTTTTGGGACAACTTGGTATCCTTCTCTAAGCTGACGACACCTGTCGCAACACTACCAGCATGAACATCATCATACGCCGCAATGATCTTGTCTTCTTCCCGTGCACGATCTCGCTTCTCATAGCTGTCTATAATCTGTCTGCCTGCCTGTCTGCCTGTTTTCAGGTGGACAATCTATCGATGCACCACGCCGCCAGCGAAATTACACAGTTACACCGAACCCCCGGTCCATTTATCCATCGATTTCCATCGCATTTCCTATTGTCCGATCCTCAACCTGTTCAGTAAAGTCCTCTCCGGCTCGACCGGCCGGCAAGCGGTGCCAGATGTTCGATTGCCTAACTCGTCCTGTTCTACGTTCGTTCGGCCGTTTGCTCGCTGTTTTCGAGTAGTCTGTCTGGTCTGTTCGTTCCTGGCCAAAGCTTCGAAAGGGCGTGGATGATGTCCAGTGCAAGCGCGCGCAGGGTCCAGCCAATTCACCGCACGGTGTCGATTCCACTCTATTAATACCACTGTCTTGATTTATTCTGGCATGGCTAGGTGGCTCGCCCGCGCGCTCATGTTGCTTGCTGGTCGCAGATCCCGCGTCTCTCCGAAAGTCTGCCCTGTAATGTATCGTCTACACTTGAAGGTAGAATACGATACGACATCGCTCCGTCTCAGAACAGAAGCGTCAATATTTGCTTGTGTTGGACAGTGACCGAGGTGGGATCCACATGTTTCCCCCTGCTGCTGTCACAGCAGACGGCTGTTCCCACCTCCGTCAAACTGTTCATTTCTTTTTGTTCAGTCAAGACTTAAGAGTGCAACCAAATGGGGAACACAAAGCATGATGGATGCATAGGAGATTAGAACACTACTGTATGCATCGCGCTCCTAGCATGCGGAAGCCCAAACATCAACCGATTCCGGGCAAAGCCACCCGTAAAGGTTATCAGGAGGCCAAAGATTTGGATTTAGCCGACCGTCGAAACGATGGGGTTTCTGAATACTGACCATGTTGTGTGACCTCCTGACGCGAACGTAACCATCTGGGTTTGAAAACATGTTCCAGCAAAATGAAACGAAAAAACACTTCTCGCTCATCTCTCTCCAAACCTTGCTCGGATTAAAGCTGAGAGCAGGGAGAGCGCGGATGGTGATCTGCTAATCCATGTAGTTGAGGATACAAACGCAGTATTTGGATGAATTGACCACCCGCCCACCGTCCACGTGGATAGCACAGTGAAACCGGCATCGCGAAATCAATGATCCTGTGTGACAGTGTGATGTTCTGTTCTGATTGGTGTCTCTCTTTAAGGTCAATCAAGCTTCCTATCACGCAAAGCTTCTTTCTGGATATGTCGGCAGCAAAACTGGGGGGAGACGCGCATCGACGCAGCCCGTGACGTCTACTTGTATCTTAGCATGTATGAGAGAAACAACGCGACCGTTGAGAAACGACACCAGGAACAAAAAGACTCACTGCGGTCATGACTATCGCGATGGGTATCGTAGTTAGGCATACAACACGAATCACGATGCTACTACCCCACAAAGCGCCCGCGCCCGCGTCTACCGTCCGTCGCCGCCGCCGCCGCTGTACCTTGCACCTCAAATTTCCTTTCCTCGCCATTGAGGATTGTGCAGCGCGCTCTTACTTGCCGAACATGTACAAGCCTGCGTTGTATTTTACTTTTTGTCTAATCATCCAAAGCATGGATTTCTAGGAATAATACACGTAGGTACGAAGCAGTTAACCAACTGATTCGTTAATCCAAAAGTAGGAAATGGGTTCTCGCATCTCTCTCCAAGTCTCATCCACACCCACTACTACTACTACTCCGTTCTGTGTACTCCGTATCATTTGGCACTCACAAAACCCACGACTAACCTATCGCTGGGTGCACTGTATCGCTGTATCGCCTGGTCCTGTTACTATTATTGTGAATATGCTCCCGCCCTTGCAAGCCATCTGAACCCGTCGCGGCCCGATAAGACTTAAGTCACGATGATGACCTTCCCTCAGTCCCCACCCGGCAGCGCAATCACTTTCTTTTCCCAGACTTCTTCCATGTCTACACGCAACAACGACCGATCAAGACAATCAAGAAGGAGAAAAAGAACCCACTCAATCCAATCGGGATTCAACGCTCGCTTCGTTTCCCGTTCGGATGAGCAGGAGCAGGAGCAGCATTACAAAGGCTGAGCCTCAAATAAGCATCAAGGCCGCGCGTCGCACGCATCGCATGTCTATCGCTCACTCACTCACTCACTCCAACCCACGTTTCTCCTCCATCAACGAGCTTCCAGATGCAGTCAGCGGCAACCTCATAGTCTCGATCCTCGATCCTCGATCCTTGAAGATGACGTCCACGTACCAGAGATACATCCATAATAGCACAAGTCGTCACAAACACCAAGATGCGCAGCGAAGTCTTGGTATCAGTCTTGGTCATGTTGGTTTTCCTCCTAGATGCTCCCTAGATACATCTCCACCACCACCATCGTCATCATCATCTGGGATCGTCCTCGCAGTAGTATTCTAGCTGGGCACATAGCTCCGCCTCAATTGCTGCGTACGAGTGAGTACGTACGTATTTGATGCGCGGTATCCGAGGGAATCGAGCTTGCTTACGCGCGTTATTGTACATGCGATAGCGAACGTCTCTTGCTGATCGGCATCATCTAACTAACTAACTATCTGCTTGTTTGGCAAAGGAGGGAAAGGATGAAGACCGTGACACTACAGTACTGACCGCCTAGATACCGGTGCAAGCACTCGAGGAACCATAGAGCCTGCATCACAGTTACAACCACAATCAGTACTCCTCGTTCTCGTAGCAGCTCCGTCTCGAAGCCGTGCCATTTCAAACGGCCTTAATCGAGATAGCATACTTCCCGGGTCAGCTCACATGCGTAGCATACAGAAAATGGCCTGTTACATACTGGAAGGCAGAAACGTCATTCTGCACAAAGTAGTACATTGTTCAATCAATTGTACAGTGAAAGTAGTGTGCGATTTGATTGGCAGAAATGACTGGGCTTGCATTTGGTCTCAGCGCAAGCTGGTTGATACCGTTCGATATCAGAGCTCTACCTCCCTATACATTTGCGCTGGCATTCATTTACATCTAGGTATTTGCCTTGCCCAATACACGCCTACGGCCGGCCGTTATTCAAAATGTGGCTTGTAGCGTGCGTCGTCGTGGCTGGTGGTATCGGCTTTTCCTGTTTGCTATGATTATGATGATGGCATGGCAATGGATCCGTGGGTGGGCGGAAGCCATAAAGAAAAGCCAACAGAAGAAAGAAAACAGTGTTCAACACATTGGAGGGAGGGTCAAAGTGGCTTGCGTACTACACTACTATGGTGAAATGAACAACGAACAACAAAGTGAGGTTCTTGCGCACGGATGGAGCGATGCCAAACAGGGCAAGTAGTAGGTTGAGTTTGTTTGCTTGCTGTGAAAGGACAAAGGAGTAGTTGAGACGAGAGAGGAAATGTGAGATGCATGTACATGTACATGTTTCTTCAGAGAGAGTGTGACAAAGAAAATCTGGCAAACATACACGCCCCTCGCAAGTGGTATACAAGAACCTCCCAGAGAGAATCCTAATCCCTCTTCATCCATCCCCCTCGCTGCTTTCGGAACGTACGTCGGACATTTCCCAGAACTTTGCTCGTTTACTGAACACGATTCAAAGCGCAGCGATTCCGCTTGAAGAAAAGGAAGAACAGAACCTGCGTTATCCAACCCGGCGAAAAAGCATCTGAACTTCCTCTTCACGCAATGGCCAGCGTGTATAACCCTCCAGTGTCTCGAAATGCCTCCCCTGGCATGTCAGTCGAAGAACTCGCCGCCCGGGAGTACAGGGAGTACACCAATCATCGATTTCGCTCTGCAATCAGATACCTGTGTTCGGAGGGCATATCGGATTCGCAGGACAACTACGATGCAAGAGTCCGCAAGATCAAAGAAGAACTCATCGACCCGTTCGCCGAAACGCAACAGGATAACGAACTCTATCAAGACCTAGAGGGGATGGTGGATCTGGAGTTGACGGCGCAGCTTGCTGGTGGAAGGGCCAGCCTCGTCGAGGTTCCCCACGACAGTGGTGGCGCCAGCGGACATGCGTCAAAGGTATCTGCCTCATATGCCGAAGACGATGAAAGCTTGATATCTCCAGATCATCTACTCACACCACTACAGGCAGGAGAAGCGGCAGTAGTCCCTTCTTACAAAGTCAAGGGCAAAGCGAAAGCGAAAAGCCCATCCGCACGCCAGCACTCCGGATCCAACGCACCCGTCAAGCCTCCCGCGAGAGGCGTCCTCGACAAGTCCAACGGGGAGGACCGCGAATCGACATTCTGCTACGGCGGCCCGCAGAACGAAACCGACACGTGGCACCGAGACGCCCTGCGCATGTTTCCCTTCGGCGAGACGCTGTACATGCAGGCGTGGGACTCGCTCAAGGTCACGTACGACCTCGCGAAGAGCGCCGACGAGCGTGCGAACGGGAGGACTCCCATCGGGAGGACCACCGTGCCGTACGAGGTTGCGGGGAAGATGGTCAGTTACAAGGGTATGTTTGACTCTGGCTCTCGGTTCAAGCTGCCCAAGCCCTGGAAGAAGGTTCAGCGGTGGTCGCTCGCTCATGATGCTTCGCTTTTCGATCTGAAGGGTGCGGTGGAGACGTTCAATGCGGGGGGTGAAGAGGAGAATCGAGGCAAAAAGAGGTTCCTGCCGAGGATCTTCTTGGAGAAGATCAAGGTCAACAACGGTCCCAAACCGTATGATGCCGATATAGTGGAAGGCGAAGTCCACCCCGGCAAGGCCTCGAGAGAGAAGTTCGGAGTCCCTGAAGGTATACATTACCATTCCTATAGGATTCCTTGCACCAAAACTTTCCCAAGAATTGAAGGTATTGGTCACATCGGCCCAGGACGAGATGAGGCAACGGTAGAGGAAATTCTCAGGAATCTTACGCCAGCAGCACCTGTTTCATCTCTACAGCCCCTTCGGTCAACAGTAAAGGCTGTCGAAACAGAGACCGGACCGGCTACCAAAGGAACCCCGCGCGCTCGCGTACAAGCAAAATCAGAACCGACTCCCAGCCAGGCAACGGGAAAGACACCAAAGAGGAAGGCTGCTGGGCCGAGAGTGCCACGAGTGGGAAGAAGGCCAGGGTCGTACCTGCCGAGCGGTCGGAGACAAGGAAAGTCTCGTTCGACAAGAAGGCAAAGTCCGGGAAGTGAGAGCGGCAGTGTATAAGGGAGACCGATGTCCTGCCGATGATGCTGTATTAGGGTATCTAGGAACTCGAAATGTGTTTTGTAGTTAATGTTCGTGTCGTATTGTTGAACAGAGAATATGCCTCCTCGTCTCAGTTCGTAATGCCCACCCAGCCAGCTCGACCAACAAAACCTTCTACTCCTTCGTCAGATTCGACTTCTGCAGCCAATCTTCCCGTGATAACGCTCCGTTCAACCCCTCTGCCTTGGACTAGAAATGGTTCAAACCCGCCCCTTTCTTCATCTTGCATCCATATGCCGTCGCTATTCTTCACGAACCCACTAGAGGCCCGGTCAAGTGATAAAAACCACTGTCGCTGATGGATGGAACCTATACTGTTTGTGGAGCCGGGATATGCGTTATTAATCCTTGTTCGTATCTCTCCTTCGTCGTCTGTATCCATTCCAGCTTCTTTGCATTCTTCCTTTCCCTCGTGCCCCGCGTTCTCCGGCTCGGAATCCGTAGTATAAGTGCTTTGTCGTGTCCTCTTCCTCTTTGTTCTGCGAGGTCGGAAAGCAGGCGAACTGGTCATTTGCGTCCGTACATGGTTCGCCGTGGGAAGCCGGAGCGTCACTGTATAATTACTTGGTAGCCGTCGCCCATGCAGCCGCAGGCGTATGTAGCGCGTCTGGAATGCTTCTATGAGCTTCTCATTCTCATGTTCTTGGCGATGTCGCCATTCGCCCTCAATTTTGATTCCGGCTTCGGATTCATCGTCCGTGGTCTGTCGTGTGGGGGCCTTAGTATACGCTTTGATTTTCCGTGGCAGAACCGTGTAGGTCCCGGTGTCCCAGATGAGAAGAGATCCTGTTCTAGACGACGCGGATTCGATCAGGTGATTCCAAAGATTGTGAACTCTCGTCTCAATTGCCATCCGTCCAATGCTTCTTGAGTTGGGATTTCCCGGTAGGCCCTTGGGTATCGAAAAGGATACAGAACTGGATTCGGAGAATTGCAATCGCAGATCGTAATGTACGCCAGCTCTTGGATGATTGTGCTGGTGAACAACGAAATGATTCCCGTGTCCGTGCTCATTGTTCCGGTAAAGCTGCACGAAATCCTCAATGGACAGCCTGGGAATGCCGCGATCGACAGGCTTTGCTACTGCTTGAAGGTGTGTACTGAAGTATACAACGTGATCTCTCACCCTGGCCTTTCCAGCCTCTACGGCAGCCAAAGCGGGTTCGGTGTTCGATTCATTTGGACTTCCTTCTTTCTTGTATGGTAAACTTGGTCTTTGATAGTACTTTCGGCGCTTCGATAATCTTGGAGGTGACACTTCTCGAGACAGGCTGGAAGGTGTGTCTTTGTCAATGTGCTGTGCCTTAGAATCCGCGGTATCTGCACTCATAATTCCCGGGAAGAGCCAACTACCAGCTGGCAGAAATCACTCAGTAATTCATAGGTCATATTAATTGGGTTTAAAAGGTTTATTAGGTTCTCTTTTTGCCGTTGGTCGATTACGAGTGGCGGAACTTGGTGATGGCATGGTAGATAGTATGCTAATCCCAATTCGAATTAGCCTACCCCCTCATCTCAACGGCGTGTGAGCTCAGCATGTCCATTTCTCAATCACGCAGGATCATGTTATGAATTCGATGGTAGATAAGACTTCCTTACGAAGGTGGACGTTTCCACTGATATCTTTTGTTGCCACTCCTAAACCGCTCGATGTTGATATCAATGATACTCGCACCCCCGAAGAACTTGGTTTGAGCGACAGTATATTCATTGCTTCAGGAGCAGTCAGGCGTGCTCACGAGGCAATTGACTACTGGTATTCTGCCTCCAAATCGCTGGCAGAGCTCCTTGCTGCTAAGCATAGCCTGGAAAATGCCATAAATCAAACATTAACAAGAAATGCCGATACGCTATCCACTCGCAAGGAGCGTTGCATTGCGTTCTCCACCTTGGCGACAATATTCACGAGCTTAGGGGATTTTGAGAATGCCCAAAGAATTTATGCTACTATCAAGTCAATGATATTGCATTCAAATCCATCGACAGGCAATTCATTTGTGCATACCTCGGAAGCAGCAAATGAATACAAATACGACATCTTGATGGAGTACCTGGAATTTGCAGCGAGCACGGGATACGATGTGGGGTTTGCACGAGAGCTTGCTATTGATTTACTGCATGCGCCCGGAACCAGTGAATGGAAGATCAGTACAGAACCGGATATACTCATGACGCTTGCTCGTATCAACCTGCAGCAAAAGAAATCCGAAGAGGCATTGGCAAACATCAAAGCCACCGACCTTTTCGAAGATGTCAACAATGCAGGCAACACAAATACTGTCATAAATTACTCCTTGACGCGAGCGAGAACTTACGCGACTATGAAAGACGAGCTGACCTCGCGATATCATTTCCGCGTTTGTCTTGTTACTAGTTCTGTGTTGTATGGCCTTTGGCATCCTGTGACATTGGAAGTACTCCACTATCTCGGCCTAGCCCTTCTGAATTGGGGTGAATATGATGCTGCTGCTACAATCCTGAGTGAGACTATACATGGACGAAGTTTCCGACTTGGTCAAGAGCATCCACTCACACAAGATAGCATCACTGCTCTATCAGCATGTACGAGTAAGGAAATATTACCTTCTCTGCTGGCATCATCACCGAAAGGCTTCGAACTTAGCCACAGTGCTGAACTATCACAAGCGTATGAGCATATTGTTCTCAACAGTGTTGTAGATCTATTGCTACTGGCAGGGGAGACGTCTTTCGCTACCGTCGAAGAAGAACTGCAAAGGTTGGCCACTCAAAGACTGAACATCAAGACAGCAGAGCATCCAGCGATTCCCGCGTTGCGTATTCATCGAGCAATTGCCCGGTGCAACTTTGAACAAGGCAAAGTTGAAGAAGCTGTCACCTTGTTAGACGCAGTAGTACCTGGCGTGAAACGAAGTGCTGCAAGCGAGTTGCTATGCAATTTGGACAAAATTATGTTTTGGTCAAGCAGCAAAAGCACGAGGAGCAAGGCAATCGAGCTCAGCAAATCCTTGTTCTTCGAGGTTGATTCCAAGCTCCAACCAGACCAAGCCGAGGCCTTCCGGCGTAGACTTGCAGCGCTCGACTGCACGCATTTTACATATGAGACCAGCCCTGACCAAGCACTTCCCATCAAAACGCTAGAGACCGTTGGTACAGGGGCCTATGCGGCTGTCGAAAAGGTTGACATATGCGGTCGCCTGTACGCACGCAAGTCGATACTGCTCCCAAGATACAATCGAAAGCGCGCGCGAGAGACACTCCAAAATGAAGTCGCCATCATCCGCAAGCTCGAACACCCACATATTGTTCGAGTCCTCTGCACATACGAAGAGAGTTCTCGCTTCGCTATTGTTCTTGAGCCTCTCGCGACATGCGACCTCGAGGTCTACCTTCATCGTACGTCCAAACCGGAATGCGCCGAAAGAAAGTCGATAACCGAAAAATGGCTCGAGTGTCTGTCTGGAACCTTATCCTTCATCCATGCTAAAGGGGTCCGGCATAAGGATATCAAGACGCGGAACATACTCGTCAAAGACGGTGATGTGCTCTTCGCCGACTTTGGCTCCAGCCACATGTTCCATGATGAAGACAACAGCATTACCGAAGGGCCTGCATACGGACACACGTTGATGTACTGTTCTCCAGAAGTGGTAGAGTGGCAGAAGCGAGGCAGGGCAGCAGATGTTTTCTCACTTGGCTGTGTCTTCACCGAGTTGCTTACCTGGATGGGCGATCATACCGTATCCGATTATCATCTATACCGGACCAGCGATGTGGGCGGAAGCCGGACTCATGTCTACCACGCTACGCTGGACATGGTCGACAGCTGGTTTCATGAGATCGATACTAAACGCCTACCTTTATACACAAACATCATAAAACCAATGCTCGCTGAAGATGCAAGCGCTAGACCAACTGCTGCTACTGCCCATGCCACGATTGAAAAACTGTTTACTAATAACGCAATGGACGCCATTGGTTGAAAGGGGACTATCGACCCTCCAAGAGTTCTTCCATTCATTTTTAAACCACTACTTATCAGTGCTGCTAGGGTCGGGATGAATTGTGATAGAAATTGGTGCATTCATTGAAAGTGCTTCCACGGTAGAAAGGGACGTACCAAGGACAAATGTTTCGTCGAGGGAAGATAGACTTGATCATAATTTTATTGAGCTAACCTGCATTCTCCGTCTGTCTCCCCTGAGTTTTCCTCCAAAGTAACCCCCAAGTAAAGTTTAAGGTGCTCGATTGGAGTGAATTAACCCGTGTCTGCTATGGAAAGAATGAAAATGATTCGAAAGCTGACCTGGAGTGCTCCGAAGACCTCGTGTGGAGCATGTCCTCATTCATCATCATATCGTCGTATGCGGTCTCTACTGCTCATAATCTCCGAGCATGAAGGTGTGCATTTGCACAATGGAGGAAACAATTCGTCAACCGATTGAACTGCCTCTCGGGTTACGCCATGCTCGAGTGGGTCGGAATTTCCACTTGCCAGACTTCCCCCTGGACTGTCGAGTCTCACCCCTCCGGTGCTGTCTGCATACAAATCTGCCAAGTCTTGAGATGTTGTCTTTCGGGAAAGTTCTGCCTTCGATTGCATCTCCTCGAACCTGATCCTCTCATTGGAGTCCATGAAGCGTTTCACCTCAACCTTGAAGTCGCTTACTGCCTGCATTTGAGCAATAGCCTCGTAGATGTACCGGTGCAAGGTGCGATGGCATCGTGACACTGGATGGAAAAGCTTTACGGTGAATTGGTATCTACGATCTCTCTGATCGTCCGGCAGCAGGATTTTGACCCGTTTGAGGTTTGGGAGCCTGTTGAATATGTCGTAGGTAGTGTGGCCAGTTTCCCGTAGCTGGTCAAATCCGCCGACAGAGACTTTGAAGAAATGCATAGCATCCCAAGTGCTTAGCTTTAAGTTCAGGTGCCGTATGCCATGCATCATAGTGGCATATCGACTAAGTTCTGGGTAAAGCTTCGGGTACCGATAGTAGAGTAATGCTGCGGCTTTTGACTGCGCGTCAACAATGCAGCTATCGGCCTCCACAACTTGTGCACACTGCCCGAGACGCTGGAGCGACCATAGCATATGGTAAGACGAGGAAAAATAGAGACCAAAGCCATCTGGTAATTTGTCGCTCTGAGTAAGGCAAAGACGCAATGTAATACACCGTGTTTGGAAGTCGGCTTCGAGGAGATGCTTCCAGTCCCGAAGCAGGGCCACGATCTCAAACATGGCCGGGGCATATGGATTCTCCCACATGTGTATCACCCGGTCATCTCGGTAATGTACGGGGGGATTGGGCGGAGTGATGCAGAATTCGATGACGCGCGTCTTGAGCTCTGTGGGTAATTTCTTCCAATTGAACGTCTTGCCGTTGACATCCCACCACCCACTCATCTGTTCCCTGGTGGCACATACCGGATTCTTTGGAGGAGGAAAATAGATTTCAAGAAGTCTTGCGAGCGTAATCCATTCCCCTTTTTCTTTGACCTCAACCGCTTGAGTAGGCTGGCCTTTGCGAAACACTGGACGGCACACCCTGGGCACACTCTTATACCAAGACCATTCTCCAACATCAACTTTGAACCAGATTGCGATTTGGAGGCTTTCCGTGAGATATTCGGTCTTGACTTTCGACTTTGAAGAGATTTCAGCGTGGAGATCCAGGCAAAAAAGCTTCAAGGATTTCTTTCGATATTGCTCAATGCCCACGGCGATGTTGTCGAGGAGTGGGTGCGTTTGATCTAGATTCCATCCACATGCAGTCATGGTGTAAGAAGGTGAAGCCCACGGCCGTTTCGACGGCTGGATGAAGTCGAAAGTTTCCTTAGTACGGTCGGATTGACTATGAGATGAAGTCTTTCGCAGAATTGGAATTCTCGCCAAGTTTGGATCGACCAAAAACCCTCTCATGATAGGAACCAAGTTGGGAAGAGGGTAACAGGTTGAGAAGAGGGTAACAGGTTGAGAAGAGGG